CGGCCATCTCGTCCGGAGCGCAGGCGTGGATGGTGAATGTTGTCGACGAGTGCATGATTGCCTCGACCTCGTCTGCGGCAATGGTGTCGCAATCGATCGCCTCCGTGTCCCTCGTGTCGGCGAGCTCGGTCTCCTCCGTGTCCGCTGCATCGGCCTCCTCCGTGTCTGCTACGTCTGCGGCATCAGTCGCCGCTGTGCTTGCGTCAGTCGCTTCCGTGTCCTCTGCGTCCGCCGCGTCTGTGATCTCTTCATCCTCAGTCGCTGCTGCTTTGGCATCGGCTGCCTCTGTGTCCTCCGTTTCCGCGGCCTCGGTTACGTCCGCAGCCTCAGTTGCCTCCGTGTCCTCCGCGTCTCCAGCGTCTGTTACTTCTGCAGCCTCCGTTGCAGCCGTCTTGGAGTCTGTTGCCTCCGTGTCCTCCGTGTCCGCCGCCTCTGCAGCATCTGCAGCATCTGTTGCTTCCGTGTCCTCCGTTTCGGCTGCCTCCGCTACTTCTGCAGCCTCCGTTGCCGCCGTCTTGGAGTCTGTTGCTTCTGTTGCGTCAGTTGCTTCCGTCGCCTCTGTTGCCTCCGTCGCCTCAGTTGCTTCCGTGTCCTCCGTTTCGGCTGCCTCCGCTACTTCTGCAGCATCCGTTGCCGCCGTCTTGGAGTCTGTTGCTTCCGTGTCCTCCGTTTCGGCTGCCTCCTCTACTTCTGCAGCATCCGTTGCCGCCGTGCTCTCTGCTTCTATTTCTTCAACCGCTTCAGCATCAGCTGCATCCGTTGCATCGTCCATTGCACAACAAGGTGGAGGTTCTCAAGACTCATCTGCATCCTCAGCAGCTGCCATCGCTGGAGCTGTTGCGTCTGTGGCGGTTGTTGCGATCATTGCATTGATGTTAATCGTGTTGCGACGCCGGCGCTCGCAGAGCTCAGTCACGCGACCGAAGGAATCTGCAACGGACCCTGCCGATCCCGTCTATCAGGAGGCTGTTGAAATGACAGTCTCCCCTCTTCGATCTCCCCAAAAGGAGGACATTGCCGCTTATGCCACGGCAGGTCAAAAGCAGCCAGAAGCGTTGTACCAAGCCATCTCAACGACCTCTCCCGAGGTGATATATGATTATGCGAGCGCGCATGTCGCTGGCAGCAATTCTCGTCGCGTTCGCGAAGGCTTGACCATTGTGAAGCACCTCGCCAGCGGCAACTTTGGCGATGTAGCACTGGGTCAAGTCCCGCCTAGCGTACTGCCCCTACGAGCACAGGTCTTGCTTGGACCTGCAGCATCCGAAACCGTGCAAGTTGCCGTCAAGTCTCTGAAGTCTGATGCAGACGAAAAGTCCCGCAAGGACTTTGAAAGCGAGGCGAAGTTGATGGCGCCGTTTGTGCACCCCAACGTTGTTCGCCTGCTTGCAGCTCTTGTAGAGTCAGAGCCGCATCTCGTTCTGCTCGAATTCGTGCAGTATGGAGATTTGCGCACGCTGCTGCAAAAGTCCAAGGCCCAGTCGCTTTGGTGGATGTACAACGAGCAGATTCATGCGATTCGTCAGATTGCACTCGGGATGGAGTATCTGGGCACGCTCCACTTTGTGCATCGTGATCTTGCTGCTCGAAACTGTCTTGTGGGGCAAGGAATGGTGGTGAAGATTGCCGACTTTGGGCTTTCTCGCGTGCTGGCCTCCGAGACCGACTACTATCGCATGCAAACGGGCGGCAAACTTCCGTTGAAGGTGGGTCAAAATGTGTGGCCAGGTTGCCACTTGCTTGCGGTTTTGATGCTAATTACGATTCTGTTAACCTTGCTCTCATTTCAGTGGATGGCGCCGGAAACGTTGAATTTCCGCAAGTTCTCATCCATGTCCGACGTGTGGTCGTTCGCCGTGACAGCCTGTGAGTGCATCGTTGTGTCCTGCTAAAAACAGTACTTGCATCTCACTTTTTGTTGGTGCATGTCGGTAGGGGAATGCTCCAGCTATGGTGCAGCACCGTACGGCAAGATGGACGGGCGTGAAACTCTGGCTCATGTGGAAGCTGGTGGTCGCCTGCCCATGCCCGAGCACTGCTCAGCCGACCTCTTCAACCTGATGCTGAGTTGTTGGAACGTCATACCCGAACTGCGTCCAAACTTTTCGCAGCTCGTCAAAGCGCTGAAAAACTTTGAGGATGGAACCACCGTCCGCGAGATCGGGGCTCTGTTGTGAGCAAAGTCTGCCGACTTTCTGTGGTTGTTTGTTTCAAACTTTGAATTATGAGTCGCGCTTCAAGGTAATTGGCAATTGGTGCGTCAATCTAAAGTTGTGTTGCGTTGAATGGGTGAAAAATACAGTGGTGTTTAACATGAGATTGCACAATCGTCGCGACGTGCCGACCTCCACAGGTTTGACATCTTGCTCTTGTATCCAGAGATACGGTTGATGCTCTGGCCAAGTCGCACTAGAGGCCTCGGGGTCGAGGAGGCAGAGGTTGGCGTTGTCAATTCTGTTTTGCTTCGAATCCAAAACCACTTGAACCACTTGGAGTGAAAGCCAGTGGAACAGCCAATCGCATCCACGATTCACCTGGACGCTAGTGAGCCATCCAACCTTAAATCGGGGTTGTCGACAACAACAAGCTTAGTGTCAATTGTTTTGTTTGAGGTCTTTTGGTTTTTCCTTGTCGTATTTGACTTTTATTGTTTAGCCGTCCAAGCGACATTGACTTTTAGTTTCTCGTCAATCATTCCTTCATTCATTCATTTTTTTTTTCTTCTTTCTTTTCTTTACTCTTTGAGATGGCAAAAGGCGAAGACATTGAGCTGAAGGAGGACAAGATCGCCTACGACCCTGACTTCAAGGTTCGCTGCTCGCTTTAGTTCTCACTGCTCTGTCGCTCGCTGGGAGTCGCCTCCGCCACCCTCGGCTCCACCCACTTACACCAGCAGCCCACCAGACTGCCTTTCCATCCTCCTCACATCATCAGGAGGGGGCTCCATTGAGTTGAGCAGCAGTGGGAGGGCATCTGTTCCTTTTTTTTTTTTTTTTTTTTTTTTTTTTTTTTGGTTTTGTTGAAACGCGCCCTTCGCGCTTTGGCCGTTTGCCCTGTGGTCTGACTGCGTCTGACCCAGCCACGTCTCCCTCCATGTGGCCCAGGGAGACATAGAGGAAGCATTGGACCTGGTCTGCCGTGTCGCTCGCGCCGTGGGATGCGCTCGCTCCACAGTGGTGCTGGTGGTTTTGCACACTCCGAACCAAAAAAAAAAAAAAAAAAAAAAAAAAAGTTGGCAACCACAACAACAACAACAAAACAGCAACAACAACAACTCCCTCTTTCACTTTCATCTGGATTGTGTCGCTGGTGGGGCACTTTTGCTTTGTTTCCTTTTTCCTCTTGTTCGACTGGTGTTGCACCTCCTTCTGTCGCCACATTCAACAGTGTGCATGGTGAGCATCCAAAACGACGGCGACCCATCAATTTTTATTTTTTATTTTTTATTTTTTGTTTGTTTTGGCATGGCAATCCTTTGCGAAAAAAAATTCAAAAATAGTAATGGATTAGTATCGCCACTTTTTATCACCTCAACTCAAGGAAGCCAGCAGAGCGCGGGACGATGGGTTGGAAGAGACAAGTGTCCGCCAGGCACGACATGCAGCTCCAGCGAAGCGAGTTGAGCGCTTTCTCTGCTTGGCCGAGCGGCAAAACTGGGAAGGTGTTGATTTTTCAAATGCGAAACTTCTCCACCCCATCAGCTCATTGTTGTGGCTTTTTCTTTTTTTTCTTTTTTCTTTTTGTCATGTTTAAATTTTGATTGTGATATTGTGCTAGTTGTAATGCGATTGGCCGGTTGGATGCTAACTTTGTCTTTTTCGCTCTTCTTCTAAAAACAGGGACCCATCCACAACCGCAAGTGCACGGATGTACCATGCTGCCTGCTGTTCATTGTGTTCTGGATTGGCATGATCATCATTGCCGCGTAAGTCCATGTTCCTCCTCTCCATTCAAGGCACAAAGCCAAAACGAAAAAGAAAGGAAAAAAGAAAAGGAAAAAGAAAAGGGAGCGTCGGCCCTTTTTTGGATGACAGCCTCGCCCCCGCCAGATCCTCCTTCCCAAACCATGTCAAAAGCCGAAAAAGATCCAAACCCGTTATGGCCAAAGCTTCATCTGATCATCCTCTTGAACACCACCGCTTGGATGAGCATTCTGCATGGTGTGCTGTGACTGATTTTTTTGTTGTCCTGCATTTCCAACCTCTTCAGCTTCGGCTTTGCTAACGGAGACCCGTTCCGCCTCATCAACCCCGTCGACTCGATGGGAAACATTTGCGGCGAGCTCAACGACGGACTGTACGGCGACCAGCGCAACAACTCGTACCTCTTCTTCTTTGACATTACCAAGTGCGACCCCGTCAACCTCAACTGCCTGCAAACCACGCAAGTGTGCGTCCCAGAGTGCCCGACGGCCAGCAAGTTTGTGGGCGTCAACATGGACTACGACGAAGCCATTTGCCGCTACACGTTTGCACCCAGCGACAACAACGAGCTCGAAGACTTTGTCTTGAACGGCACCTGCGCGCCCTACCAGCTCCAGAGCACCACCTTCCTGAAGCGATGCATTCCCGACTTTTCTGTGCTCACTCAAAACTTTTCGTACATTTTGGACGGCAACACGGTCGAGGTTGCTGGTGTCAACCTGACGGCATCGCTGAACGTTCTGCTCGACTTTTTCAACACTGCCGAGCTGTCTGGCCAGGTCTTGTCCGACTTGGAGGCTGCGTGGGTGTACATTCTCGCTGGCTGCGCCATTGCCGTCGCCATGGCGTTTGTCTGGCTCTTCCTGCTGCGCTTTATCGCTGGATTCATGGTCTGGATGACGCTTTTGGGTGCGCTTGCTGGCTCTGCAGCTGCCACCGGCATCTGCTTCCAGCAGTACAAGGAGCACAGGGACTTGAGCAACTCCCTCCCTTACAATCTGCACTTTAACACGATTGCCTATCAAGAGTATACCTTCCTCGTGCTCGGCATCATTTCCGCTGTTGTCTGCTTTGTGCTCTTTGTCTGTGTTGTCTTTTTGCGCAACCGCATCAAGATTGCCATCGAGATTATCAAGGAAGCTGCGCGCGCCATGGCCGCCATGCCCTCCATGATCTTCCTTCCGATCATTACGATGGGTGCCTTGGTTGCCTTCCTCATCTGGTGGATTTGGGTCGCTGCCTTCCTCGCGACCTCCGGCGAGGCGTCCTTCAACGACCCTTACGGCCTTGGCGTCAACATTACCTGCACGCCTCCGGCCGACCAGTCCGAGCCCACCAACTGCACCTTCCTCGGCTACACGAGCGACAGTCTCCTCCGCAGCTTCCAGATTTACCACCTTGTCGGTCTGTTCTGGACGACCAATCTCCTCACTGCCCTCAGCCAGGTCACCATTGCCGGTGCAGTGGCGACTTGGTACTGGACGCGTGACCACAAAAACCTGCCGTGGTTCCCCATCATTGGATCCCTCAAGCGTGCGCTGATCTATCACCTGGGCTCGATTGCTTTTGGCTCGCTCATCCTTGCGCTTGTGCAAGTTGCGCGCGTCATGCTCGAGTACATTGACCGGCAGACAAGAACCTCTCAGAGCGAATTTGTCAAGGTTATTGTCAAATGCTTCCGGTGCTGCCTCTGGTGTCTGGAAAAGTTTATTCGCTTCTTGAACAAGAACGCGTACATTGAAATTGCCGTCTACGGCTACAGCTTCTGCCACGCCGCTGTGCGCGCCTTCGAGCTGCTCACACGCAACATTTTGCGTCTTGCGTTCGTCGACAAGGTCGGCGACTTTGTCATCTTCCTGGGCAAGATGATGGTTGCCTGCACCGCCTCCGTCCTCACATGGTATATTCTCAAGAACCGATCAGCAGATCTCAACTACTTTATGCTCCCTGTCATTGTACGTGATTTTTTGATGGTTTGGTTTTTTTGAAGTGTGTCGAGTTCTTTGGCTCACGGGGGGGGGGGTTTGCTGTTGTTGTTGCAACGCTCTTTGTGCTTTCTCTTGCAGGTTGTTGCTGTCTTTGCCTACATGATTGCAAAGGGCATCTTCAGTGTGTTTGACATGACGATCGACACCATCTTCCTTTGCTTCTGCGAGGATTGCGAGCGCAACGATGGCACCGCCGAGAAGCCTTACTACATGTCTGAAAAGTTGCAGCGCATTGTGGGACACCAAAACGAGAAGCCAGCGCTTTAAAATGTCGATACTGAACGTTTGAGAGAAGTTTTGCTTCAATTTTGAGTTTTGTTTGTTTGTTTTCACTTGCATTGTTTGGTTGTTCCTTTCCCTTTGTTTTTCTGTTTTGCCGTTTCCATTCTACACGAGCATTATGCAAAGTAGTCTTACAAAATACACACGTTGATGATTTCTGAGCGTCTCAGTCTTTTTTTCTTCTGTTCTCGTTTTCCTTTCTTTTTCTTTCGTTCCTTCCGTTTCTTCGGTCTTTGCTCTTTTTGGTCTTGTGGTCTTTGAGTCATTGTTGCTTGTTTCCATTGGGATTGAGTGGCACCCAATAAACACGCACACACTCAGCCAGCATGAGCTTTGACTCTCCGTCCAAGTTCTTTGGCGGCTCAACGCCATCGACCAGCACGTTCACGTCGCCGGTGCAGCCGTTCCAGGCGCAGGCGACGGCTCGGCTGTTCCCTAGCAGCAACACTCAGAGCATCAGCATCAGCAACAACAGCATCAGCATGACGACGCAAGCAATGACGGCCGACTTCTTCTCCCAAGTCGCCAACGCAGCAGCATCAGACCTCGATCTGCAGCCACAGCACTACCCCCACCACCACCAGCAACAACAACAACACTTGACTAACTTGTTCACTGGCGCAGCAGTGCACGACAACGCACCGCAGCCGACCTGGTTTGCTCAATCTACAGCTCCTGCTGCTGCGTCTACGCCTGCTCACAGTCACACAATGACTGGTACTCCTCAGACTGCTCACTCTACTCCTCATACTGCGACTGCTCCTTCGCCGTTTGCATCGCCCGCTGGCTTCTTTGCAAGCGCAGGCCTCGCTGCGAGCAGTGGCCGCCCAACAAGCTCAACGGCCAACAACACTGCTTCTGCTGCTTCAACTCTGTGGGATCCGTCCGTCTCTGCCTCACACCAGACTCCGCTGACTGCAATGACGGCGCCGTCTGCTGCTGTTCCCGCGGGCAAGTTCTACAGCGGATCGATCGCGTCTGCGTCAACGTCGCGAGGCAGGCGATACTATGTGGCTGCTTCTGGATTGACAAGCACCACGACTGCTGCTCCGACTGCTGCTGCTCCTGCTGCTGTTGCTCCTGCTGCTGCTCCAACTGCTACTGCAGCCACTCCAGCAGCAACAGGTCACGCAGAGGCTGGTGCTGCGACACTCACCCACCATCCAATCTCATCGTACAATCCGGCTTCAGCACCACTCGAAGCTGGACACACCGAGCCCGGTCGCCCTACGCTCAATTTGCCAGAGGATCTCGAGCTCGAGAACGATCTGTTTACAAGCCGCCGCGCCGCGAAGCCGGTTTCGCCATCTTTCGCTCCGCAGCCCTCCGAGATCGACAGCACATCTTGGGTCGCTCCTCCTGCGCCCTTCACCGCTCCAGAAGTGCCTGTGGTCGATCCGTTCGCGGTGCAAGCTGTCTCGACGGCGCCTGCTAGTGACGTTGCGACTTTGGGGGTTACCAATGTCGAGAATCCGTGGTTTGTGGCTGGCAGCGCGCCGGGTAGCACGACTTTGACCGCTGCGCCGTGGTTTGTTTCGTCCACGTTGACGGGCCCAGCTCCAGTCGAAGCCAGCGAGGCAATCGAGGCAACCAAACCAACCGAGTCAGTACCACTTCCTCCTGCAGAAGCTGCCGAGACTGGTTGGGACGACGACATGTTTACCAGTCGCAGAGCCAAGCGTCAACAAGATCCGGAGGACCAGCCAGCTGCCGACCAGCTTGAAGCAGATACCGACAGCGGTCTGTCAAATCATACGAGCAGTGCTGGTAACCACCACTGGTCTGTCGCGAGCGAAGCTGCGATTTCTTCGGCACCCTTTTCTTTTGCAACGAGCGCAGAGAATGAAAGGCCGCCCGTACAACCGACGACCGCCAACCACGAGATTGTCCCCGAACCGTTCGCTTTTGACAAGGGCAACCCGACTCAAGCGAATGCTGCCACCCCTCCTGGTGCTCCGTGGCTGGCGGCCGCACCAACTCCGTTCTGGCAGCTTTCTCAAACCGTCCCCACACACCAAGATTCGCAAGGGCAGGATGACCAACCCTCTGGCGAAACTGCCTGGGAGGACGACATGTTCACCAGCCGCCACAGAAAACCGACCGAGCCAAGCGACGAGACCGAGCCTATCGTTCAGGCAGAACCACCCCTGATGAACAATCCGTCCGCACTTCCAAACGACCACGGATTTGTGTCTGCGCCATGGCAGACAGCACCGAGTCAACCGTTCGACTCGACTCTAGTTGCCTCCAGCGACGCTGCTGCCGTCGAGGCCGGATGGGAGGACGACTTGTTTACCAGTCGCCGACCAAAACACGAAGAAGAGCTGCGTGACGAGGCTGCCGTGTCATCGGCACCTTCGACGGACGCTGTTGAATCTGGATGGGAGGACGACATGTTTACAAGTCGACGACCAAAGCACGCAGAGGCGAATGACGAGGCTGCTGCGTCGGCACCCGTGATGAACTCCAGCCATCACGATCTCGCTCCAGAGCACGCCGCAGGAGGCGACGTGTTCACCAACGCTCAGTCCTTGAGCGACATTCCGCTCGAGTCTACTACTTCAGAACTAGTCGACGACACTCCTCGGCAAGAAACCGTGGCTGCCCCTGAAGTCACCGAGAACGGTTGGGAAGATGACATGTTCACCAGTCGCACTCACAAACGGCAAGTTTCTGGCGATCAAGAAGTGGATTCGAGAGATGATCATTTCCAACAAGTGGATCATTTCCAACCCGTCAATCATTTCCAGCAAGTGAATCATTTCCAACCCGTCAACCATTTCCAGCAAGTGGATCATTTCCAACAAGTGGACCACTTCAAGCTGGCGGATCATTTCCAGCCTTCTGCGGCTGAGGACGGCCCTCAATTTGTTCAGTTTCAGCCAGTCGATCAGCTCCAATCTGTGGACCAATTCCAGCAGATTGATCTACATGCAAGTCAGCAGGCGGCATGGCTTGACTTGCAACCGGCTGATCGTGCATCGCAGGACACTAGCTTGGCCCAATCCTTTGATCGTGAGTCGATTCCACGCGAGGAGCCCATTGCGGGCTCTCAAGCAACCGAGATGTTTGCTTCAGGCTCCGCCGCTTACGCCAACGGGTACCTTGGCTCTGAGACTCTGACTGGCACGAATTCTGTTGATTTATTCCCCGCACCGAGCGCCAGTCAGCCCCAGCAACCACCACTGCAACACCTTCCACAACCATCATCATCGTCATCATCACAGCAACAGCAATTCTTCGAAACGCAACATCAGCCCGCGAATCCACAAAGCTACGAGTCTTCTTCGTCGTCTGCCCTCGTTGCTTCGCAACCTCTTGAGCCTTGGGCAGTTGCGCCCGAAGTGCAATCGTCCCACCCTGCTTGGCTTGCGTCGAGCCCCAGTGCCACTTACGGCGAGTCTGGTTTGCATTCACACGGAGCCGCGCCCTCCAATGACGACAGCTGGGCCGGTTTGGATGACACGATTGAGAGCGACATGTACACGCGGCCCAAATCCAGGCGCCAGCAACCTAGTCTGCGGGCGAATCACGACGAAACGGATGATCGCTCACCTTCCAACCCTCCGCCGCCAGAGGCTGATTTCCAACACCCAGAAGCAGCGATTCCGGTTGCTCCAGCCGATGACTTTGCGCTTGCAGATACCAGCACTGCCGACCAGAGCGCCGATTTTGCCGCAGCATCCTTGCACCAACAACCCGAGACCAGCGCGCTTCCTTCCAGCAGTACGTCTGAAATTCCAACTGCTCCGCTGTACTCGTCACACAACATTGCTCTCGAGTCCGCTCCTTTCGAGCCAGAGAATCAACAGTTGCGCCTCGAGCTGGCTGCTGCCGAAACGCAGAAACGCGAGCAAGCACAGTTGGAGTCTGCAGTTTCAACCGCTCCCGAACAACATGTTGCCTCCAACTCGTCCGCTGCCTTTGAGACAGAAAATCAACAGCTGCGCTCCGAGTTGGCTGCCGAAAAGCAGAAGCTTGAGCAAGCGCAGCTCGAGCTTCAACAACTTCGCACAGACCTTGATTCCCAAGCCACCGAATTGAAGGGGGCTGTCGATCGCATTGATGTGCTCACTGCAAGCCAACCGGATCCTGTGCCGCTCCAGCCAGCTGTGCAGCTTGTCGACGCATTCACTCTGACCGATGTCGAGCCTGCTGTGCCAGCGCGACCCCCAAGCGCTCATGCGAGCACCTCTACCTCGCTCGAGCTGGCCCCTCAGCGCGTGGATGCAGGCATCTCTGCATTCCCTGCTCTTGTCGATGCAGGCATCTCGGCCTTCCCTACTCTTGTCGATGCAGGCACTCACGCGCTCGATGTCGAGTTCGCCCCGGCGCGGCCAACCACAGCCGAAGCGAGCACCTCCACCTCAGTCCTTGCCGACGAACCTCCAGCTGCGGAGCATACTCCGAGCTATGGCTATGGTCCTTCCGAGGCCGACTTGTCGACGCTGGAAGGCTTGCTGATGGACGGTCGATACGCTGCTGGCTTTGATTTCTGCGTTTCACAACCGCAACCACATCTGCTGCCATTCGCAATGATTGTAGCGTGTGCCAAGCTCGACTATGACGTGCCCAAGCTGCAGCTTGCAGTGTCACGCTTTGCCGAGACGAGCCTTGACCCTTCTCGGGCTCTGCATGCTCTACTCTCCCAATGGGCCGTCCACCTGCAAGCGCCTCCATCGACCGCACCACCTCCCGCCTCGTCGGTGCGCCTGTTAACTGTTGGGGACAGCCTGGCACCCGCCCCAGAGCTTCGTGACACCGGATCCTCGCCGCTTGATTTGGAGTCGACTGCGCCGTTCCCCGACCGCACTCACGCCATCTCGCTCTCTGCTCAAAGCTCGCTTCGACTTGCCACCGGCACAACTTTGCTTGGCGGGGACGGCACCTCGACAGGCGAACCTCTGCCCGCCTCAGGCCGAGACGATAGCGTCGATGTGATGGACGACGTCGACTTGAACTTGTACATTGACCCCGCCGAACTCGAATTCGATCCCGATTATGATCCGAACTTTGACATTGACGCGCCTCTCCCGCAACCTACGGCATTTTCCAGCACTGCACGTCCACTTTCCGGTCAGTTTGGAGACCCGTCCGAGCCACCAGGATATCGGTACGACATGTATTCGACGCCACTCCCTCGGTCGCACGAGTCCGCGGGTGCTCGTGGTGGTGGTGGTGGTGGCTTTCTTCCGGCCTCCTCTCTCCCTCCTCTGCCACTCTCGTCGCAGTCCATGGCGAGTGTCTCTGGTTGGGCTGCCACGACAACAAGCGGATACACCGAACAGCCCACCTTCGCGCTTCATGACACGACCGTCCGCTCCTTTGCTGCAGACTCGTCGTACATTCCGAGTACGTTGCACACGAGCGCACGCCTGACGTCTGCGCCCCTTCAATCTTCGGACGAGAGCACGCCGCCGCAAAACCCGGCGCCAAGTACCGAGTCCATGTTGTTTTTCGATCCCACCGCCACTGCAACCAATCTACTGGGCGCCAACGAAGGTGCCGGCTCTCTCATGTCGTGGCAAGCAGCGGGTTCGAACGCTGCAGGGCCGCTTTTTGCGGATGCCGATTCCGCTCCGACCCACTTCTCCGACAATCATGCAACTTCTGCCGATGCCCCTGCTGCAGCCGAATCACACACTGGAGCAGCGAACGGCGTTGAAGATGAAGATGACCTGGGATTGTACACCAATCGGAAGCGGTCCAAAAAGCCGTCGCAGGCCATGTCGTCCGACACGAGCACGTCGGGCAACAGCGAAGAAGCGGAAAATCCCGACGCCGATCAAAGTTCTGGCGCCAAAGTTGATCCATGGGCTGGTGAGTCGAGTCGGTGGCTTGCTTGGAGGGGGGGGGGCGGAGCAGTGTTTCTTTGGATTTATGTTTCATTCTTACTTATGCTTTCGCGTGTGTTCTAGCTGCCGAGGAGAAGAAACGAGCTGAAGCGCGCGGTCAAGGCTGGCTCTCGTCCCTCATGAAATCCGCCTCGAATATCCTGCCGAAACGCCCCATCGTTGCCAACCTTGGCGAGGAAAATTCGATGGTGTTTGATCCCAAACTGAAGCGTTGGGTCTCCAAGGTACATTTTGGGCCTCATGTGGTTTGTCTGTGTGGTTGAGATTTCATTTTTTAAATTGTTTTTTAAATCTTTGGATTATTCTTTTTGGAACAGAACGGGCCAGTGGAGGATGACGGCGCCGCGGCCCCTGCTGCGCCTCCGTCGGACACGGACTTGGGGCGCGTCGCAACACCAGCACCCCAATCACAAGCTGGGCCGTCTGGCGCTGCTTTGACAACCCCGGCTGCTGCTGCTGCAGCTGCTGCTGTTGCTGGTGCCCCTTCCTCCGCTGCAAGCGGTCGTCGCTCTCGTGCGAAATACGTGGATCCGTTTGCCAAACCAAATTGATTCTGCGTGTGCCCTGGGAGAAATCAATAAACGTCAACACAAACAACCCATCCCTGTTTATCGCAGGCCATAACTCTATTTGTAACATTTGCTTGAAGCACACCTCTGTGACACCATCTGCTTTTGCGAAACCATAAAATCAAATCATCAATTTTATTGTTATAATAGTGAGTACCGGATTGGCGACTTGAGAGAGTTGGCATGAGAATACTGTCGATGCGGATTCTAGCGCTCGTGAATGTAGGGGCAAGTGTCTCCGCGTTTGCAGCCGACGCGAGTGCCGAAAAATCGACAAACGCTTCTGCCACTGCCACCGCCACCGCTGCTGTGTCCGCCGCTGCGTGAGCCCTGACTCGAACCACCGCTGCCTGAACGGTAATCCCTTCCATCTCGCGATGATGGCTGCGAGTAGTCGGGTCGGTTTGATCCTCCGGAGAATCCGTACGGTGCATGCGATGGCTGGTGGCTAGGCTGGTGGGATGAGCCATGGAAGGACGGTTGCATCGAGGACGGCATCGAGCGATCATGCATTGACTGAGGCTGGAAGGAAGGTGGTGGTTGCTGCTGCGCGTATGGAGCGGAATGAGATGGCATTTGGGCTGGGTAGTGGTGTTGCTGCTGAGGTGGTGGTTGCTGCGCGTATTGGTGCTGCATTGGTTGGATGGTCTGCTGAGAAACCTGCGCCATCGGATTGGTCAAGGACTGGATCGAAGCTTGCAGTTTCGCAAACATGGAAGGGTCCAGCACCGCGCTAAAGTTGGGCGTGGAAGGAGGGGGAGCAGCAGCCGAAGCCGCAGGGGCAGCCGGCCCAGACCCGGACAGAGTCATCGGCAGCATGGAGGATAAAGAGCTGGAAAGCGCAAACGCAGTCGGAAGCGCGGTGGGAAGAGAAGCTGGCAGAGATGCTGGCAGAGATGCTGGAAGAGCCGAAGGAACGGGGTTGGTAGGAGCCGACCAACGCGAAGTTGTTCGTGAAGAATGCACGGCGGGCAATGAGGGAGTCGGAGCAGCGCTAATGGTGTGAGGAGCAGCGCTAATGGAGTGAGGAGCGGCACCTGTCGGGTTGGCCTCGGTGATGGGCCACAGCGGAATGGCCTTGGGGAGGGCGACGCGCTCATTCGAAATGTCATGGTCGGGTTCTACGGGAGACGGCGGAATGTCGGTTGTCAGATAGTAGACGGCTCCAATCACAGTCTCATTGCGAGCAGCAAGCAACTGGCTCTCGACACTCTTGGCGCCAATCTCATGGACGCAGCTGGCATCGAGTTCCAGCGCCGCAGGGCGAGTCCACTCGATAAGCTCGCCATCGTGGTGACTTGCCTTCTCGCGTGCATGCTCTTGCGTAACGGCTTCCGCGAACGCAAGGTGCGCGGCTGCTGGACGGTCGTCGTTGTCGCTGTCATCAGTGTCCTGATCGTACACAAACCGCTCCACTTCCGTGACACGCACCAGCTGGGCGTCCGGGGCCCAGGTGACGCGCTTTCCGGGCTTGCCTGTCGAGGTTTCCATCGGTACCACTTGCGAGTTGGATGCACTGGGCAAATCGGACAAAGACGCAGGTGGCGGGGTCGTTGATGATGATGCAGCAGATCTTGCCAAGTGACTCGCAATAGAGATTCGCTTGACACGCTCGCCATCGAGGCCCACAGGTGCTGGTGCTGTGGAAGACGCGGGCGTTGCTGTCGCCGCCGTTGTGGTGGCCGGGGAAACCTCTGTCGGAGATCGCAAGCTGGCTGCCGCGCCTGGCGTTCCATACGTGGTTCCAGTAGCCGCTGCCAAGCCACCAACAGCAGGACTAGCAGACGTATTTGGCAACGACAACGGGGTTGTTGCTGTTGCTGTTGTTGTGGAAGCAGGGCGTTTGTTCAACCAAGAACCGGGCCGGTTGGCACTCGAGAACGACGATGAGCCGAAAAAGCCACCAGCTGACGCGCCGTAGGAAACAATCTTTGGGGCAGCGGGTGCCTCCGGGGCGGATGCGCTCGGCAATGGCTTGGGGGCGGAGTTAGTGGGACGCTGCACGGGTTTTGTCGACGACGCCCCAGCAGTGCTCGTTGTCGGGCTGGACTTGGGTGCTGCCGAACCTGCTGGAACTGCCCGCTTGTCAGACACTGTAGTTGCAGTCGCGGCCTCAGATGCACGAGTTGCCGGCGTTTCAGGGGTGTCGGACGATTTCGAAGACTTGGATTTGGAAACGTCAGCCTGAGCTGGTCGAGATTTCTCTCGACGGGTTGCAGCACCAGGTTGCTTGGAGTGAATGCGGTTGGATCGGCGAGGGGGCTCCATCCGAGAGGGCAGGTCGCCAAGTTGCGCGCCGGCGGGCAACAGGGGCCGACGCCGCCGTCCGCGACCATCTTGCTCAAGGTCACTGGCGTCCTCATCGCTGGAAGACATGTCGGCCTCGTCGTCGCTTGAGAACAGCACCACTTCGAGGTCGGCGCGCACCACGGCGAGATCGTCGTCGCCGTGGATATCCGCCGTGGCCTCGAGATACATGGGCTCCTTGTAACTCATCAGCGCGGGCTGCTTCTCGTCCTCTTGCGCCTGCGCTCGGGCAATAATCTCCTCGTCAACCGGTAGCTCGTGAGAGGGAAGTTGCTCGTCACGCCACTGGTCGAATTTGGCGCGGATGGATTGTGCAAGCGCACCGGTAGCAGTGCGCGTCGTCGGCTTGCGCGAGGAGGTGCCGTTCTTGTTGTTGTTGTTGTTGTTGTTGTTGTTCTTGGAGGCAGGAGCGGAAGCGTGCGTGCGCTCGTCACTGTCGCTGTCATAGTCGGACGACGATTCTTCAGTCTGGACTCGGGCGACTTTGCGACGGCCCGCGTCTTGACGCCTCGATTTCCGGCCATTGGGATTGGCTTGTTCCGAGTCGTCGCTGTCGCTGCCGCTCTTCTGATCTTCGGTGGCGTGGTGTCGCCGCTTTTGGCTCATGCGAGGTCCTTCACTTGTGACGACATCCATCGCCTCCGACGCACGGATGCGTGGTTTGGTGGAGGAGGAGGCTGGATTCTGGGCGGGCGTTGCCGATTCAATGTCGGACGTGGACATGACCGTGAGCAATTTCGACCTTGGTGCAAGATAGTCTGGATACATGGATGCAGTAACTTTTGGTTTTGGGTTTCGCGCAAGAGTTGCACTTTGACCATGTTGAGCATTAACAGTTGCAGAAGATGAGGTGGTTGAGGATGAAGGAAGGTTATTAACAGATTTCGCCAGAACTGGGGCGCTGGTGGTGGTGGTGGTGGTTGTAGGGTTGGGCGACTCTACAGCGCCGGCAGGCCTGGCCTCCGCTCGCCAAGCTGCCCACCGTTGAAACAGCTCACCGGCCGCACTTGAAACGGCAGCATCGTCTTGCTTGTCTTTCATCTGCTTGACATTTTTGGCGAGATTTCCAGCTCGCAACAAAGGGGCCGACACTGGGAAGCGGAGCAATAACTGGAAGAAGATAAGAGACAAGCAAGACAAGAGAAAGTGAGTTGTTTCATTCGAAATACAGCGGGTGTGTGTGTGGCTTGTCGGAGGAGAGAGAGAGAGAGAGTGAGTGAGAAAGAGAGAAAAGGTAGATGTTAGAAGCAGGTCGAAAACAAGAACAAAAGCGGCGTGGGTTTGGGATTGGAAGCGGGAGAAGCCCAGTTGGGCATGGAGGAACCCGTTTGGGAGCATGCTCCTTTTGTGATATCCATCATCCAAAGTGTGCTCCATTGGCTTTGTTGGACATTTGGTCCCGCATTGGTGCAGATTTGCCAACATTCATAGAATGCTCGCGCTTTTTTGTCCATTGACGAAATTAGCACACTCTTCTGTTGTCACGATTCGAGGGACAACGGGGGGCCAACCACGCTTTGGGGGCTCGTCTTTGTTGGACTGCGCGTCTGCATGGCTTGCGACTTTAACAATTCCCTTTTTCGCCTTTTTTGTTTTGCGTGGCTCTCCACAGCAGGCGGATTTGTACGACCGTGGATTAAATCGAACAAAGAAAGAGTCAAAATTGTGTCTCCGCAAAAAGCAACAACACAGATCGAACGGCGGTGTACAACGCGGAAAGTCAACAATGACGAGCTTGCTGCAGACGGCTCGCAAAGCATTCACACTGTAGACAGCCGGTGCGTGAGCTAGCATGTATGTGCTTACCGTAATAAGACGAATAGGATCAATTTCTCGATAAGCGAACGCATCAAAGAGACCAACTGAGATTGCCACGCCGGCTCCAAGCTGCCCAAACCTTTGATTGTGCAGCGTCGATTAAAGTCAGTTCCGATCGGTACCCAAGCAATACCAAGAAAACAAAAATGCCGCCATTCTTTCGGCGCGCTTACTTGTTGAGAACGGACGAATCTGTCAGCTCAAGTGCGGTCACGAGGACGAGAAATGCGTTTCGTTGCTCTGCCGTGAGCGCAAATCCCTCGCCCGGCTGGAAGGCGCGGACGAGAGCGTCAATCAACGGCGGCGTCAGCAACGACTCGTCAATCTCGGGCGAGTCTGCGAGCGGGTCCTTGAACAAGGAGCGCACGGCATCAAAGACGCTCGTGGCCATCTCGCGTCGTCTGGGGGGGGGGTTCAAAGCGGCGAAACGAGTAGCAGGTCGAGCAAAAAGTCGGGGGAAACTGGCGGTGCGATCCGAGCCACAAGTCGTGAGCTTCTGTAATACAAGTTGTTCCATTGAATGGTGAGTGACGACCCAGATCATCACGACGGGTGAGTGAGTGAGTGCAGCAGCCAAGAGAGAGATCTCCCCTTCGTAACTCCACACACACTCACTCTCACTCACTCTCAGTCTGTACGCTGCAATCATAAGCCACGCGTCTGCCATGTTTGATAGAGTTGCCCCATCCCGATCACAGCACATCACAGAGCACAGCGGACGACTGCTCGACGATGCTTCAGCAGCTGCAGAAAGCCCAGTCCTTTCCCCACCTTTCCCTTCCCTTCCCTTCTCCACGGCGCTCAGTGCACTTGTGCTGATCAAGTCACTGTCTGTAATGCTGACGAGAGGCGGCGAGTGGCGCAGACCCGACCGACGAAACGAACGAAACAGCAAGCAACGTGGTCCAAAAGAAAAAAAAAAAAGGAAAACTCGACAAAAACGACAAAAGGTCTTACGGACTGTTCACTGACTCACCTAAGAAAACGCAAGGAATAAAACCAGGCAGCAATAGAAAATGACTGAACAAAAAACTCTTTCGATTTCATGGTTTTACTATGTTCCAGACAACGAAACTCATTTTGTCCTCAGTCCTCAGTCTTACAATATATAATTTCTGACATCAGAATCGCAAAAAATGCACGCTTGGCTGATCGACGAGGCGGCGCTGGCAGAGCAAGGCCGCAAATCGCTCGCCCAGCAGACACCGAACGTGCCTGTGAGCGGCGAGGCCCTGGTTGAGCTGGGCGTGCTGCACTGGCACTTTGACCCTGCGACCGAAATGTCCAAGGTCGATGCACTGCGCAAGGAGCGGAGCTACAGCAGCGGCGACGAGGTACAAACCATTGGGCGTTGATTCTGCTCTGACTACGGCGCTCGTCCACTCTGCCACTCCGTCTGGGGTGGTTGGGATTTGACATTCTTCCGTTCACGCCCCCACCGACTTGTGTTGCTGATTCGAGACATTGCGGCGCAACGCAGGGCAATCTCCGTCTGCCAATGAATTTTCTCCGTGTCGGAGTTTGCCACGCTCGTTTTCTCAGATTCTGTGTTCAATCCACACATGATTCTTGATGATTTTTGTAGGTCAACATCACACCGGCAGGAATCCCAAAGGAAAAGCACGAGCAGTTCTTCCAAGAGCACTTGCACGACGACGAGGAAATCCGATACATGCTGGAAGGCAGCGGGTTTTTCGATGTGCGAGACCGTCAAGACCGATGGGTCCGTATCCATCTGACTCGAGGCGATTTGATCATTCTGGTGAGTTGTTGTTGTTGTTGTTGTTTGGTTTGGGGGTCGGAGTTGGACTTGTCCTCGAAAGCGCGTTGCATGGCGTTGGATAATCGGATTGTGTTCGATTTGACTGATTTGAGGTTGATTTGGTCGTGCTTTTGGATGCTGGTAGCCTGCAGGCATCTATCATCGATTCACTCTGGATGTGTCCGACTTTGTGCATGTCATGCGCCTGTTCAAGGACGAACCCGTGTGGACGGCGATTTCCCGCCCGGCCGATGATCGCGCGGTTCGCAAGGCCTATCTGCAATCGCTGAAAGTCTGAGAGCAAGTGGGAGTTGGGGGGCTATTGTAACATTTTGTCGATTGCATTGGTGCTTTCAAGTTTATCAATGAAAACCTTCACGTTCGATTTCCAAAACAATGTAGATACTATAGCTCGTCCTCCTGCTTGACTGTCAACCACCCGCACGTGCTGAGCGCTCCCAACCCTTGTCGTCTGGCTCACTTTTGGCATTCAATGGACAGAAGCCGGTTCGCTGGTGAACAACCTCAGTCTTTCTTTATTTCACCCCCTTCGACATACAACAACACCTCGTTTCATTGCATACTGTACAGCTTCCCATTGAACCGCTGACTTTGATTCAGCTTGCCATCCATTGAACTTCTCATCAACTTAGAAAACGCGAATACGCTGCGTTTGTTTGTGGCGAAATCTTCCGCAATTTTGAAAGCGGAACAAAAGAAGAGCGATTGATATCAATGAACGAGCACAGCAACGAAGCCGACAGCGACAGCGTGCAACGAGCACATGCCGAGACTCGCAATGATGATGACGATGGGGATGATGGTGATGACACGTCGGGCTTGACAAACGCGTCGGCGGCGGCAGCGGCAACTCACGCTCACCGCTCGCGACTGCTGCACTACTTTCGCTCGCACGACGGTGAAGACATTGAACAAGACGGCGACGACGAAGACGACGATGACGATGATGATGGCGACGACGAGGAGGAGGAGGAGGACCAAGACCAAGAGGACCAGCAGGATGAGGCAGCCGACCAGCAGCAGCAGCTGGAGGATGACGACTTTGGAGTCGACGCCGACGACGAGGAGGAAGACCGCTTTGTGCGCATGCTACTCGAGCAGGAAAACCGACGAGACATGTTCCGATGGTCGAGCAGCGACGAGGAAAGCATGAGTGACTACGAGGTCGAGATTGCTGGCGGGATACGCATGGTGATTGCACTCCGACGTCCGCGAGGTCACTCGGCGCCAGTTCCTCCAACACACGCTGCTGCAGAGCTAGCCTCATCGTCGTCGTCGTCAGCATTGCTTGCTACCAGTTCTGCAGCTGCGGAGGGCGACGTTGGGGACGCAACTGCCGCCGATTTCACGACAATTCTACCGCTCGAAATCTTAGAGTTCATCCTGTCCTTCCTGGATCCGGTAGACTTGCATCGCGCGGGGCAAGTGTCGCGGTTCTGGCATCAAATCGCCGACGCAGATACGCTGTGGAAACCGGCGTGCCACCGCCTGTGGAAGGGCAAATTCGGCATGTCGCTCACCAGCTCAGATCCGCCGCGCTGCATGGCCCGCGAGGAGTTTGCAGGCCTGCAAGAGCTCGACATTTGCCGGTTTAAAAAGTACTACTTTGCCACACTCGCCGACTCCAAGCGCACGGTCATCTCGTTCGACGAGGTGGTCGATTCGCAGTGGGATCTCCGGTACGGCCAGGCTTTTGAGCCTTGTTCGAACGAGAGACGATGATGATGGGCTCTCACCTGCGATTTGTGCTTTGGCTTTGTGGCACACACTCTTCATGGCTCTCACCTTCTTTTTGTGTTGTTTGTGGCACGCACTTCTGACACACGCAGATTCCGAAGCCACTTGCATGTTGCACACAACACAAACCCGAGATTCTTTAGGAATGGCACATTCAGATCGAACATGCATCGCGAGAGCATGGTCTGGCGTTTCGTGGACAACACGCACACCATTCAGGTTGCACACTTTCCGCCCCTGGTCCCGTCCAGATCTACAATAGACTGGTCCTTCAAGCTGAAGAATCCCTGGGTGATAATTCGCACTTTGGATGCCAATTCGATGGCGTCTGCCAAGCCTCAAGCATGATGTCAACATGGGCGCGCTTTGTACATAGAAATACAACTGAAACAAACAAAAAACAAAAAACGATGCTTTTAAGGAATGAATAACAAAGGGAATACACACATTCACACACACGCACGCGCGCGCGCGAGGGGTTCTTATGGCAAGCGGATTGAAAGAATAGAGCGAACGTCGTTGGTGAATCTCAATGCATTCAAGAACGGGAGTAGGTCGAGTAGCGCCTGGTCCTTGGGGTCGCTATACCAAGTTTCGATGGGAATCCCGTTCTCTGTAGTAGGATCCATTCCAAATGAGAAATTCACAAGCACCAAACAAACAACGAGACGAAATCCGATGCGACACAAGCTCGAAATACGAGTCTCCCACCTGGTTGTATGGCATATGCGCCAGGCGAATTATCAATGAGGCAGACTCGTGCGAGATCCGGCTCCACCAGCGTGAGGTCCTTCATAAAGTTGCCATTCTCCTGTTCAAAGCAGGGGGTAACCAATGTTTCAAAGCGCAACAAAAAAATTGGTATCTTTGACAAATCCATCACCATTATTAAATCTCCTCCTCCCCTTTGTTTTGAACATACCTGCACGCATGATTCGCGGAAGAGCCGGTGCCGGAACAATCCGCGCCCGAGGTCGAGCGAGTCAATGACGGGGTGGCCGTACTGGTGCAAGCTGGCCGTGAAGATGACCAGATCGTACCAGTGGCTCGTCTGCTTGAGGAACAGGTCGACGTACGGCCGCTTGTACACGTAGAACACGTAGACGAGCTTTTCGATGTGCACGTCAATCTGCATGTCGTGCACCCGCGGACCGCCGGGCTCGAGCGTGCTGTGAATCAGCGTCTCGTCGAGATCGAGCACGAGTGTCTTGCGCTTGACGTGCGGCTGCGGCACCGGTCGCGGCACGCCAAAGTCCCAGAACAGCTGGCTCGCTGTGCGGAACACGTCGGCCATCCAGCGGAGGCCCTGCCGTGCGACTGTGGCCGACGAGACGGACGAGGCAGCTGATGATGATGCTGAGTTGTTGTTGGCTGCGGATGAGGCGAGTGCGCGTCGCTTGCCGTCCTCCTGCCTTCCATTGTTGTTGCTGTTGTTGGTGGTTGTACTGAAGGTGGTGGGAGACTGCCATGACGGTGACGATGGTGGTGATGGGGATGCTGACGAGGATGACGAGGAGGGCGGTGAAGTGAGGACGCGCTGCCGTTGCGACAGCAAGTGTTGTTGCTGATGCTGTTGTTGCTGCTGTTGCTGTTGCTGATATGAGTGACTTTGGTGGTGGTGTTGGTGGTGGTGTTGGTGATGGTGATGGTGATGGACACCCGGTTGATCTGAGGCAGCAGCAGCTGAACCGCTTCGACTTCGGCCACTTCCACTGCCACTTCCACTGCTACTGCTACTGCTACTGCTGTAGCTCACACTCTCAGATGAGAATGTCGGGGATGGCGGACCGAAGGCGGATCCGGCTGCCGACGGATGGCCATGTCGTGTGAGCATATGACAGCAGAATCAAAAAAAAAAAAAAAAAACGTCTCGCGCTCTGAGCCGATCTAAGTAAAAGTCGGGATCTGAACCGAAAGTAGTGCTTTGTTGAGCTGTTTGTTAGTGAATTGGAAAAGTGGACTAAGCACCAAAATAACAAAACTGTGATATGGATGACTGAACGGGAAAGAAAGTTCCGAGGACGTTTACGTTGAACTATGTGTTCACTTCTTCCCCCCCCCCACCTTAAATACTTCCCTTTCACATAATGATCCACCAAACCATTGAACGAATCGCCCTTTGGTGAGGGACGGAAATAATGGAAAATCTTTGAAAATCTTTGGAAATCTTTGGAAATCTTTGCCTCTGTAGTTTTCGTCCGTTCGCCTCCGCTCCAGCGATATTACTCACCCTGCTTTCTCAATCATTCCAGCACACTTTCTGAGTTGCGGTGAAATTCACTTCTTCACGAGCAAACCCCCACTTTTGCGATGAATATGCAGTCGTTCTTTTTTCAATCATGGCTTCATACAACTATTCGTACATTTTCAAGTACATTATCATTGGTAACGTCTCTATCTCCCTCTCCATCTCCCTCTTCTGTTTATCTTCAGTTTGCTTCAGTACTACAAGTCTTTGTGTGTGTGTGGGGACTGAGGGGACGCTAGCATCAGCGCTCTCTTTCTCGTCAGCTTTTACTCTCCGTGTCCGTTCTGTCGCCCCTTTCCCGCATCACCTCCCCCTTGCCCAATGCGACAACTCTCTATCTGCCCCGCGTGCGTGTGTGTGTCTCGACTCTCTACGTCCCAGGAGCGCGCGCCGTCCCTCGCTCGCTCTCTGCCGCTCTCGGCTCTTTTTTTTTTTTTTGTTTTTTCGCTCGTAGCCCTCTTGCTGAGCGAGGTGGTCCTGCAGTGCACCTCCACACTTGCACACTCACGTACTTCCTCTCTCATCATCCCATTGTGTGCGTGGGCTGGTTGACTTGCGCTGGACAACAAAAACAGCGCACATTGCGAAATCACAAACAACGATAATCCAATACAAAAAAAAAAAAAAAAAAAAAAAAAAAAAAAAAAAGCTTGCTTTCTATCGCTTTTCCATTGGCTTTTGTTTGTTTTGTTTCCATTGAGCTTTTGCTGTTGCTTCTCTGACTTGTGTGTTTCTGCTTTTTGCTTTGTTTGCGTTGTGCTGTTTGTTTGTCTTTCCAGGCGACATGGGCGTCGGCAAGTCCTGCCTGCTCCACCAGTTCACCGAGAAGAAGTGTAAGTCCTCTCTCCCTCTCTTTACTGCTCCCTCCATTGCCCCAACTCAAGTCTTGCTCTATCGCGCTCTCTGTGTCTCTCTCATTCGTTCGAGTTGGTCCTGCCCCAACTCTGTCGCATCTCATCTGCCCACCACTGCCTCTGAGTCGACGTGCTTTTTTTTTTTTTTCTTTTTTTCTTTCCTTTCTCTCTTCCTTTCTTCCTTCGCTCCTGTTCCACGCGTCCTTCCGTTGGATTCGCTTGTCATGACTGCGTGTTGTGAGTTTGGCTCTATTGGAAGGGCGGTTGGGGTTCCAGGTGAAGCAACAGCTCTGTGCTCATGTCCCAAACTCGTTTTTCACGTTGACCGCACTTTTTTGACATTGTGCCTTTTTGTTCTTGTGCCTCTCGAGTCTGAAGCTGTATTGAATGATTGAGGGATGCAGGGTGTGTGAAGAGGGATTAGTGTTGGATGTGGCTGCTCGACGACAACGAGCTCTGTTCAAAACGACCAAAAAAAGCTGTCGTTATCAGATTGGTGCCAGTTGTCACCTCACTCACTCACTTTGGCCCGGCCCTGCTTGCCGGAAACGAACAAAAACAGTCTTGCCCGACTGCCCACACACGATCGGCGTCGAGTTTGGCACTCGCATCATTGAGGTCAACGGCCAAAAAATCAAGCTCCAGATTTGGGACACTGCTGGCCAGGAGCGCTTCCGTGCCGTCACCCGATCATACTACCGCGGCGCTGCTGGTGCCCTGATGGTCTATGATGTCACACGGTACGCTCGTTGGACCCCTTTGTTGGGGTGTTGTCATTGGGTGACCTCATTGTCATTGTCATTCTCACTCTTTGGTCCCCTCTTCTCCTCCTTCGTTCAACTTCTACGCAAACAGGCGCAGCACATACAACCACCTCAGCAGCTGGCTGACCGATGCTCGCAACCTGACCAACCCGAACACGACCATTTTCCTGATTGGCAACAAGTCCGACCTCGAGTCCCAACGCGACGTCACGTACGAGGAGGCCAAGAAGTTTGCCGACGACAACGGCCTGACTTTCTTGGAGGCCAGTGCAAAGACGTACGTCCAGATTGTGCGGTGCTGTTGTCGGGGTTGAGTTTTGTGGAAAACAGGGGTTTCTCATTTTTTTTTTGTCTCTGTCTCCTCATCCACACTTTCAATGCCCTCAACCTTTCTCAACAGTGGCGCCAACGTCGAAGAGTCTTTCATCGAGACCGCCAAAACCATCTTCCAAAATATCCAAAACGGCTCGCTCGACTTGAACGCTGCCGAGTCTGGTGTTCAACAGAAGACCCAACCAGCGCCCGCCGTCGACTTGGGCGACAAGCCTGCAGCTAACTCTGGCTGCGGCTGCTAGTGGAGACGCGTTTTGCTTCGAGATATGGGATTTTTTTTTTTCGTATGTGTGATTTTGTGCTGCCTTCCTTTTCGGGGGGCAATTTTTGAGTCTATTTGCCCTCTTCTTCTTCTTCTTCTTCTTCTTCTTCTGTTTCTGTGCATCTCCTTGCGCTTCAGGATGCCTCGTATTGTGCGAGCGGGTGCTGCGCCAGCTTGTGTGTACATGTTTTGGCTTTGTGTTCTTTTTCAAAACAACAATGAAATTGAGTTTTTGTTGGCATTGTACTCGAGTTTGAGGTAGTAAGGCCAGATATACAGGAGAATCATTCGCGACACAGTCACCCTGAAGAAGCTGAGGGGAGAGCGTTAACTTTGCAAATGTGCGAGATGAAGTTTTTGGTCGACGAAACGCAGAACAATCTATCATTGCGACAACGACGAGCGGCGTTCGCCGAAAACATGCAAGTTCAACCAATAAACTGGTCGCACACTGTCACACACATAGAACGGAACGCTTCATTCATTGGAACATGAGGTTGCCGATCTCGGTGCCGCGGCGCGCAATCTTCTTGCCATACTTGTCGTACTGGAGGCAGAGCTTGCTCTCGTGCTTGCAGGCGCTGCTGGTTGGATGGAGCAACATCAAAAGTGTGTGGGACACAACGAGGAACCAAAAGTCAGTCGAACGATTCAAAACCTTCCACTCCAATCTTTTCCCCGCCCCCCACTCCCCTCAAACAAACACCAAATCACAAGTGGAGTGGACTCACGACGACATGTCCTTGTCCTTGAGATCCTTGGCGCGGCGCTTGTCGAGCTCGGACTGCGTGTGGTGGCGTTGGGTTTCAACAATGATAAAGTTGCCAATGGCTTCGATTTCGTGGCCAATGGTCTGGAGGAGCTGTGGCGAGTCTGCCGACTTGCCAATGAACGAGGGGCGGAACATTGAGAGGCCGGGCAGGGTCTTGGTGGTGCCTGCCATGCGCACCATCTCGGGCGTGCACGGCGGCAGGGATGCATCGACCGCCTCTGGATCGGCGGGGTCGTAGCGCACAGCGTGGTTGAAGAACGAGGACGTCTTGAGCCACGCGAGCTTGCGGCCCTGGCGCGAAATCTTCTTGCTGAGGCGCTCGAGCTCGGTGAACTTGTCGACGTTCGCCCTGCCCAGCGCGGGCTCTTCCTTGCTGCGCGTGATGGCGTTGTCGTGCTCCAAGACTCCGATAGCACGGCCCTTGCTCTCGGCGGCAACCAAGGCGAGGTAGTCACCAATCAGCTCAATCTCGGCGCCGGCCTTGCGGAATTCGAGTGCCGTGTTGAGCGACGAGCCAGGGGCAATGGCACCGCAGGCTCCCATGGCGTGCGAGGTGCCACACGGCTGCACGGGCAACGTGGACATGGGCATTGGGACGGTGGACATGGGCGCAACGTTCGACATGGGCGCCTGCATCTGGGTGGGCGGCGCTTGCATCTGGGTCGGCGTTTGTTGCCGCATCACGTCGGACTGCATGCCCTGCTGTGTGTCCATGGGCAGAACGTTGGCGCTGGTTTTCACCTGGTTGGGCGCCGGCTGGTTGACGGTCTCGGGCGCGATAATGTTGGGTTGCTCGACTGGCATTCTTGAAAAGTGTGCTGCGTGATGGAAAAGTGTCGGGGGTAGGTGTGACGTTGTTTTTGAGGAAGGAAGAAAAAAAAACCAAAACAACAACGCAAACAAAAACAAAAACAAGAAGACAGTGAATAATCAAGCTGCAGAAAAAGGGCGACTGAGCTTACGTTTCCGAGGAAAAATGCCCAAATCAAGGTCCACCGACCTCTCCTTTTATACCCGCTTACCTAATCGGGAAGCAGCCCAAGCACGCACTTGCTCCACTGCGATATGTTTTTTTTTTTTTGTGTTTGAGTTTTTTGTTTTCTTCCTTTTCTTACTGCCTTACTGCCGTGCGCTTCCTTTCGTGTTGGCGTTCCCGTGCTTGAGTTGTTTGTGTTTTCGGGCGCCGTTCCTTGACGATGGTATGCCTGTGCGTTGAGAAGCTACAACACAGAAGGTTTGGAGCTGGCAGAGTTGGATTTTTTGCGTCTGCTCAGACAGACTGCGCAAATTGGATGTCGTCGTTTTGTCGCTTTCTTGTTCGGGTGTCGTTTCGCGTTGGCTCGGTTTCTTTTTCTTTTGTGATACAAGGCGTGCATGACGGAGACGGAGGGAGGCGGGACCTTTAGGAGGCCTCTGTTGTCGTGGCTGGAGTTGGAGCCAAAGTAGGAAGGCGCACTGCGTCCTCGCCACGAAAACCGACCTTGTCTGTGAATGGGACGTAGTCGGACTCTGCGCGGTACCGTCGACTCCTACCGCACGACGTACATTTGACCACAATGAACGGAGCACGCTTGGAGGCGGCTGGGGTTTTTGTTTGGCACGTCAGCGACAATCAATGCAAAACGAACGGCAATTCCAAAACTCACATTGAAGGCGAACGGACGAGGTCAAAGCCGGGATGAGTAGCGCACTGCACCCCTTGCAAACAGTCCGCTTAATGGTGTGATCACTAAAACAACAACCAAACCCCCAAAAATAAGCACACATCCAAACTCTGAGCGACACACGGCTCAGAGAGAGACACTTACACGCGCAGCACGAGTCGCTGGCGAACGCCCTTGAGCGTCTTGAGCAGGTGCGTGGACAGCCGCGTGTTGGCCACGAGCGGTTGTTGATCTTGTTGATCGTGTTGTTGTTGCTGCTGTTGCTGCGTCTGATCTGCGGCTGCATCGCGAGGTTGCAGGACGAGGTGAGCTGCTTGGTACAGAAAGTTGATCCGTTCGTGCCCTTCGCGGTTGGCGACGCTTGGTGCTTTTGAGTGCTGTTGTTGTTGCTGTTGTTGTTGTTGTTGTTGTTGCTTTGGTTGTTGCTTTGGATGTTGCTGGTGCTGCTGCTGCTGCTTTGGTGGTGGCTGCGATGGCTGAGCCGCGCTTTGCCGCTCACCTTCCTGCTCCATGCTTCCAACAAGAAAATAGAGACTAATTCATCCATCAAATACATTATCGAATCAACTCTTGTCATTGGGTTTGCAGATCGGATGAAAATCACGAATCATCATCGACTTGTCAAAACGGAGGCTTTTTTGTTTCGAGCTCTTCATTCAAATGGTGAAATTTTTCGCTCTCGTCCTTCATCATTCAATTTCTTTTTTCTTCTTCTTCCAGTCGTCCTTTGTTGTTCATTTTCTCCATGGCTGTGGCTCGCCGTGAGCGCGTAAGAGACAAAAGCTCTTTGTTTTTTTTTTTTTTTTTTCTGTTTGTCAAGAAGGTCCTTTCAGTTTTGATGCTGTCGAGCGCCGAGTGAGGCGGTGGAAGTCCGAAACCCCCCTTGGACAAATGCAAACAGCATCTTCGTTTCGCCATGCGTGCCTGCGCATTTTGTGGGGGGTCGGGGATGCGTGGCATGGCGAGGCCGCGGTTGTGCCCTTGTTTCGTTCAAGCGGTCGCAGCATCGCCGTCGAGGCTGATCGTTTGCGTGATCACCCCGCATCCATCCTCGTCTCCCGCCTCTCTCACTCTCTCTGCAAATCGCTGCTGCTGCTGTGATCGTCCAGCAGAGAGCGCGGCTTTTTTTCGCACCACTCAGATCACTTTGCTTTTTTTTTTTTTTTTTTTTTTGGCTCGTTTTTCATTCCAGCTCCTTTGTTTCTTTGTCGGTCTGCTGGTCGTGCTCTCCCTCACTCTCCAAATCTGCTCATGTCTCGATCTTGCTGAGCTTTTCCTCCTTTTCGCCTTTTGTCCCCCCCCCCCGCCTTTGTCGTCCAGTCCAGCTGGATCACAACCTCAAACAACAAAAACACCCAAAAACAACAGAAAAAGGAAACAAAAAAAAAAAAAAAAAAAAAAAAACGAAACAAAAATGATTTTATTTTTATTTTTTTATGCTTTTTTTTTTTTTTTGATTGACATTTTGACCTTGCGTTTTGACAGTTTGAAGCGCTTTTCAACTACACTCCGCACGCGTGGGACGAGATCGAGCTGGAGAAGGGCGACATTGTGCAATGCGTCGAGCGCTTCAGCGACGGCTGGATGCTGGGTGTCAGCGAGCGCACGTCCAAGGTAAACCTCAAAATCACTTCACTTGGTCATTCTTGTACCTGAGCTCGTGCATTGTCAACTCGACCAAGGCGCCATTTTGTAATTGTACACTCAACATGGGATGAAACTCCCCCAAACAACGAAACAAAACCGCATCATCATCATCAGGCTGGCAAGTGCCCCGGCAATTTCCTGCAAAAGATCGTCAAGACCCCAGAAACGCGCGCCATTCCAAAACCACTGGAACGCACATCTTCGACAGAATCGAGAGACAGTTCCATCAAGAAACGAGCCAACATTGCCGAGGAGATTGTTTCGGTACGGGTCAAGCGCGTGATGGGGGACGAGGAGAGCTTGTGTGTTGTGTGTCTGTGCGCGCCCGCTCAAACTTTGCGCCCATTGCAGACTGAGCGATCGTACGTGAAACACCTGCACCAAATGCAAGAGTTGTACTATGAACCACTCAAGAAGAAAGGCCTGCTCAAGCCAGAAGAGGTACGAAGTAGTCCGACAAACAAACCCAGCCTCAGTAACTCACTTGGTGTTTGCAACCCGCTTGTTTCTGGGGGGGGTTGCGCAGCTGGCTACCATCTTCCCCAATGTGCAGTCACTTCTGGGCATCAATGAGACGCTGCTCAAGGACTTGGACGAACGTGTCAAGGCCTGGGATGCGCAAACCACCACCATCGGCGACGTGTTCAAGCGCATGGTGCGTTTCTCGGTTCTTTTTGTCCCGGTCCAGTCGATTGATTCTTGAACTGACATGATGGTCGTGTGTCTGGTGTGGTCTTGGCCCCCATGGATGATAGGCGCCATTCTTGAAACTGTACGAGACGTACTGCAATCAACACGGCACTGCCACGCAAATGCTTTCGCGCTGTCAAACCAAGTCTGAGAATTTCTCTTCGTTCTTGAAGGTACAGTGTGGTTGCTGATTGGTGGAGCTGGGTGGGGGGCGGAGGGTTTTCTAGTTCTTGGCTCTGCAACTGTCGAACTCATCGTCTCTTTTTCCTGTTGCAGACTACCGCTGCCAGCTGCTTTCAGACCTTGGACTCGTTGTTGTTGATGCCGATTCAGCGTATTCCACGTTACAATCTCTTGCTCGAGGTAGAGTGCCATGCGCTGAACTGTTTTGTTGTTAGACCTTTCTCGCATCACCTAACGCCTGAGCCAAACACAAAACAGGACCTGTTGAAGCACACTCCTGAAGAGCACCCGGACGCCGAGAAACTCACGGAGGCGGTCGTTTCGTTGCGAAAGATCTCGTACGACTTGAACGAGAACATTCGTCGCATTGAGAACGAGCGCCGCATCATTGCCATTGGCCAGCTCTTTGTTCCAAACGATTCGGTCGACCTCATTGATGCCAGCCGACAGTTCTTCCTCAAGAAGGTTGATCGGAAAGCGCGCGCTGCGACCATCGAAGGCGAAGACAGCGCCAACACGGCTGCACCGCATGTGTACACGTCGCGCACCTACCAGCGCGAGGGCACCCTTCTTGTCGAGAAGGTTCAGTCGCTCAAGACGGTCGAGCGGTACTTTTTCTTGTTCAACGATCTGCTGCTTGTGGCTCGAGTCAAGGGTCCGACGTTCAAGCTGAAAGAGCGTGCCGTTTTGTCGCAGTGCTGGCTGGCCGACTCTGTCTTGGATGCCACCAAGGGTAATTTGATTTGGCTTGACTTCTTGGGAGAGGGGGCACCTGTGCAATGGGTCGGTGCTCACAACTTTGTCTTCTGGACCTTGCAGCTTTTGAGTTGGGCACGCCAAAGAAGAGCTACCAGCTGATTGCTTCTTCCACGGAAGAGAAGGCACGCTGGTTTGCAGACCTGTCCCGCTGCATTTCCCAACAAAAGGAGCAGTTGTACAAGGTAGTGGATGCAGTCCATGTTTTCATGTTTAGCCGTGGTCATTCTCGTTTTGTTTCTCACCATCGCTGCTCGATTCCTGTAGTATGTTTCACTGTGCACTCCGCGAGATTCTTTTGGCTCTGGCAAGAAGATGAAGGCATTAGTGGATTACACTGGTTCGGACGTCGGTGCGTTCCCTGCGTTTCTTTCAGATGTGAACGTGAATGCACGGTGTCAAAGATGGCTAAATCGCCCCCCTTTTGTTTTCCCACTCCACAGAACTCAGCTTCAAGGCAGATGAAGTGATCATTTACACGCCCTTGGTGTACGAAAGCGGCACCGTATCGGAAGAGTGGGGCCAAGGCATTGCAAACGGCGTTTTTGGCTGGTTCCCGCTCGCTTGCGTTGTGCGCCCTGAGCCCGAACATGACCCGTCCCTGGTGGAAGAGTACAAGTTGTCGGTGAATGACATTTTGTGCATCCAAGACCGTGTCAAGGCGGTACGTGCGTGGGGTTGTCTCGGGCTGGTGGCTTGCTGTTTGTTTTGCTCGCTGTAAGGCCGTATGCGTCGAGGCTCTCACTCTCGATTACTTGCATGCTCCATAGTGGAAGGCGAAAACTAGCTACGGCACCACGTCTGACGGTGCGCCGCGATCAAATGCAGTGCTTCAAGTGCATGAGGTGGACGGAACCTTCAAGAGCTTTGTTGTTCCCATCAACGCAACGGCAAAGGAGGCTGTGGCCATTCTTTTGGACCGTCTCAAGCGTGCTGACAATCCTGATCACTACGTGCTGTGCGAGGTTGCTGGCGAGCGTGAGTTTGCATTTTTTGTGTTTGAAGCTGAAAAACTGTTTCGCGCAGGCAGGTGCTTGTGTCTGATTATGTTTTGTTGTTGTTGTTGTTCGTTTTCCAGAAACGGAACGTCGCGTTGGTGACCTCGAGCAGCCAGTCGAACTGGCTTCAAACTGGTATGCGAGCAACCAGCGCATGAAGTTCCTGCTGCGCACTCGAGCCACCGATACATAAACACTTGCCGGCTAGGTGTCGATGTCTGCATGGTGCTTGTGTGTGCATGTGAGTGTGCGTGTGCGTGTGTGTGTGTATGTGTCTCTGTGTTTGCTGTCACTGTTGTGTGTCCAATTTCATTACACTGTCGCATTCGTTGAAAGAAATTCAGTAGTATTCACACAAACAATCAACAAAACAATCAACAGATAACCATGAGAAAAATTCAAAAATGGGGGACTAATATCAACACATGAAAACAAGCATTCACTCAGGAGGGAACGAATCCGCTCACTGGTAAACAATGGTAAAGTAGGACAAAAAGTTGCCAGTGGCCGTGTGGGAGCACACGACACCCTTGTCAGTGAGAAGCACAGAGTCGAGCGGGAAGCCCAGCGCACCACCGGCTGTTGAGGGGGAAAAAAAAAACCAAGCCAAACACAATTTGAGCAAGAGCAGACGCAAAATAATCCACAATGTCAATGCGCGCAAAGCACTCACTCATCTGCAAGCTGGATGGGCCAGAGAATCCTTCAAGACGAGTCTTGTACACCTGCTTGGACTCGGTCAAATCCCAGAGCACAATCTCGCCTTCAAGGTAGTTGCACACCATCAGAAGAGTGTTGGGGTAGCCAACGACATTCAGCAAGTTCATGTCGTCCAAGACCGTGTCCAACGTGAAGAGAGCGACGGGCTTTGGCGGAGACTTTGCGGGTGCACGTAACGACAGTGAGTCATTTTTTTGGACTCGCCTGAGTTCTCGCATCAACTACACATCGACCCACCTGCGTCAGCAGCACAGACTTGACCGTGCCCAAGGACGAGTAGTACAGCGTGTTGTTGAAAATCTTGACGCCGTTGGGCGCCTCAGCTTGAGCCGTTGTCAAGAAGGTCACTTGCGCGGTAATCACGTTTGGGTCTGCTCCAGCGCATCGGATTGGATTTGTCCCCACGTTCCCCCAAAAAAATCAGTGCACGTTTCAACTTTCAACATCAAATCCTCCCTCTCTCCCCTCATTGTGCAGCTACAGACTAGTTTTTGTGCCAAAATCAAAAATGCATCAAAAATGCATCTAGCAACCCACCGGAAGGTGACAAGGCGAGTGTCGCAATCTTGCCAGAGCCAGTGTATGCCGTATCGGCAATGTAAAATTTGTTGTCATAGAATGCCATGCCATTGGGCAGTGTGAAGGATTGAATTGCGTAGATTTTGCTACAAGGTAATTTTGACACGAAAAGAACGCAACGACGATGAGCCACAAGGGCTGTCCCGCCAAATCTCGCCCAACCATCAATACTGTACCTGAACACGAGCTGCTTTCCATCGACGATCGGAGCGCTGAGCAGAAAGTTGGTCGTCGCCGACTCGTTCGTCGAGCAACCAGGCACGGACTGGAGCGCGTACAGCGTGTTGTTCACCTACGCATTCAAAGAGCGTATTGAAAGGTTAGACGAGTGCATGAGAGGTGTGTCAACAAAGGAGCGAACGAGAGAAAAAACAAGATAACTGCGATAAAAAAGAAGGAGGGAATCAGAAGGAAGGCAGACCAACAATTCTCTTCACCCAGTCCGCCTGACAATTAATGGCAGAGTTGTACGAAGAATTTTTTCATCCATTGGTTTGTTCATCAGTTTCAAAAAGAGGGAAAGGGGGGAAAGATGAAAGAGAGAAAGAGCGAAAATGGGATTTGTTACCTGCGAGAGACCGAGATAGTAGCCAGGACCCGACATGAGCGGAATCTGCATGCAGACACACAAGTCATTCACAAAGAGTGAGGTGTTGCAGATGCCGACGGAGGCGAGTGGAGGAGAGAAGAGGACCAACCTTCGTGTACGTTGATCCAGAGCGAACAATCTCGTAAATGTTGTCTCCGCCAGTGACAATCAGCCGGCCCGACGGCTGCAGAATGAGCTGGTTCTCGGCGTCCCAGACGTCAGCCACGACCTATCAGAGACAGAGAGAGACAGGGTGAGAAGTGAGAAGAGAGAAGCGGAAAAAAAAAAAAAAAAAAAAAAAGAGATCGGCCACGCGGTTTTGAAAATTGCGCGCGCTCGAGAGTCCTTCCTTCGCTCTCTCAGCCAAGAGGAGGAGAGAGAAGAGCACAAGGAAATAGGAAGAGTCGACGAGAATCGATTGGAAGAGAAACGAGAGAATGAAACAGCAGGAAAGAGATCTGCAGAAGAAGGGAAAAAGAGTCGAAGAAAGAGCAAAAAGCAAAGGATTTACCTTCGTGTTGGGCCCAAAGACAAAGTTGGCCGCAAGCGCATGGTGAGTGGCAATCGCAAGCACGAGGAGACTGGCAGCGAGCATGCGCTGTCCGATCATCCTGGTTGAAGCGAAAGGAAGCCAAACACACACAAAAAAAAAAGAAAAGAAAGAAGGACTGAAATGTCAACTTTTGTTCCAAATTCAGATTAAGAAACACCTGAATTGCGTTGTGCAGAGTGTTGCGAACTGAGAGAAAGTTCGATTGGGGTGGACTGCAATAAAGAAAATCCATCAGAAGTCTTGCGTGGAGAGCGGCGAAGGAGGCGGAGGAAGAGGGAAAAAACTCTCCATGCAAAATCCCAACATGCAATGCTCCAAGCACTCTCTTTCTTCCCCCTCCCCCCACCGTACCAGTGCAAGTTCAGACTCGAACCACACAATCATTCAACCATTAAACTCGGGCCACACCATACCCGGAACGAGATGGCACACTCCTCATTTTTTACCCATGGCAGACTTTGGAGAGTTTTGGCTCGTTGCGGCGCCCTGCCCAATGTCCAAGGATGAGGCCTTCCGCACCCTCATGCACAACGCAGGAGAGTTTGCCACTGCAACTCGCTTTAACGTGCCCGATCTTAAGGTTTGTCTTGATCCCCAGACGCACAAACCAATTGTCAAGAATGGAGGAAAAAGTCGCCTTCTGCAAAAAAAAAAAAAAAAAAAAAAAAAAAAAAAAAAAAAAAAAAAAAAAAGGAAAAAAAGCACATGGTGTCTGCTGCACTCTGCTCGCTGCGATGGAATGGCCGGGTGGCTCCGTGAGTGCATGAGCAACGCGTGTGTTGTCGCTTGCTTGCTGTCTGTCGAACGCCAGCCGCCATCGCCTCCATCGTTGGCTTTGACGACGCAGAAAATACAAAAAGCAAAGAAGCGAAAAAAACGAAAACTGGTTTTTTTTTTTTTTTTTTTTTTTTTTTGGCTGGGCTTTGCATTGGGGAAATCAAAAGAGAGTCACGAGCGAAAAAAAAAAATGAAAAAAAAAATGGCGAGATCGCTGCATCTGAATGGGCTGCTCGTGCGTGCCCTCGGGCCTTTGCGTGAGAAGTTGGGGAAGGGAAGAGATGCTGTCTCGCCCAATAGAGGGATGGTTGGGCTCGGGCTCGGTCAGTGCAAACACCCTGAGCGCAGCACTGGGGAGCTGGGCGATTGCAGAGCAAAAGTCTTCCCCAATCGAAAAACCTCACGGGACGATCCCAAAAGCCGGTTTTCTTCCCCCAGTACCCAGCAGGTCGCCAACGGGTAGAGTTGAGTTTGGGGGTTTGCGGGGTGGGAGGGGGGTGAGTGTGTGTGTGAAAAGGGTTTACGTTTACGTTGTTTTGATCGAATCCGAGCGGGATTTCACTCTGCCAGTGTGGAAGCAATCGCACATCTCTCTCTCTCTCTCTCTCTCTCTCTCTCACATCGTCTCTGCCAATTCCTTAGGTCGGCACGCTCGATGCCCTTGTTCAACTGAGCGAGGAGCTCCAAAAGCACGAAATGTTTGCCGACAGCGTTGTGCGCAAGTTGGCACAACTCGTGTCCGATTTGCTTGCAGAGACGCCCGACGCCGAGCAGGTGCCCAATGGCGCGTCTGAGAAGCTGTCCGAGAACCTCGTGATTGGCGACAGTGAGTTCTTGACGCTGTCTGCGGGGGCTTTGAGGTTTTGTGTGTGTCGATGGGCTGGGTGGGTGGTCTCACTGTTCGTGTTTCGTGCTTCTGCAGAGGATCCTGCGGCCTACCTCAAGAACTTCAACTGGGACACTGCACGATACCTGACCAAGAGCTCCATTCCTGAGCTCACTGACACACTTACCAAGCACCTTTCCCAGATTGAAAACGGCATGAAGGGCAAGACCTCGGCATACAACCAGCTCCGCGGCAACCTCCAAGCATTGGAGCGCAAGGCAACGTAAGCACCGCACTGGCTGTCATTGAGCGCACTTGGATTGCGAATGCGCCATGGCTTTGCACAAACATGGAAAGCTAATGCCTTTTTTTTCTTTTTTTCCCTTGGTTTTCTTCTTCAAACGCAGTGGCAACCTCCTGGTTCGCTCGCTCACGGATGTCGTCAAGAAGGAGCACTTTGTGCTTGATTCTGAATATTTGACAACGCTCCTCGTTGTCGTGCCAAAGGCCAGCTTCCGAGAATGGGAGTCCTCCTATGAACGTATTACCGACATGGTTGTGCCGCGGTCGAGCAAGTAAGCTTTTTGAGCGTGCCACTGAACACTTCGGCGACGCTCTTTCTGTTCTGCCACTCACTGCTCTGCGTGCTCTACAGGATGATTGCTGAGGACAGCGAGTATGGCCTTTTCACCGTGACAGTCTTCCAAAAGATTGCCAGTGACTACAAAGTTAGCGCTCGTGAGCGGAGGTGAGTTTTTCTTGTTTGCACTACATTGACCACCCCACCTTGGCGATTTTGGCTCGGGTTGGTTCCTAAGGGAGAGGGAAGAAGCAACAAAACGTCAAACGCAATTTATTCCAGTGACGAAAATTACATTCCAAGATCAATTCAATTTCTGAGTCGCAAACAATGAATTATCAAATGTACTACCATCCGATGGAATTTTTTCTTTTGACTTTTTCTTCTTCTTGTGTTTTTTTTTCGCATGCCCCTCATATTCCCCACTCTGATGTCTTTGTCTTGCCTGCTTTTAACTGTACACTCATGCTTTCCTCTTTGCTATTTTTCTCCTAGATTCGTTGTGCGTGACTTTGCCTTCGACGAAGCGTCGGTTGAGCAAGGCAAGAAGGACCGGACCAACTTGGAGACGGAGCGCAAGCGACAATGGGGCGCCATGATCCGTTGGGGCAAGGTCAACTTCAGCGAGGCGTTCACCGCCTACGCCCACCTCAAGGCAGTTCGGCTGTTTGTCGAGTCTGTGCTCCGATATGGCCTGCCTGTCAACTTCCAGGGTGTTCTTCTGCAGGTTTGTGGAGTGCGCTTGCTCTGGTTTATTTGGATGATTGGTGGCCCCGTTGCTCATTTTTTTTCACATTGTGTCCACGTTGATCAGATCAACAAGAAGACTGAGAAGAAGCTGGTCGACGTTCTTTACCGCATCTATGGATATCTCGACAAGAGCGCCACCAAAAACGACGAAACTGTGGAGGTGCCCGGAATGCATTCCCATAACCAAGAAAAGTTCCATCCATGGGTGATGGTTCAGCTTGGCTTGAATTTGCTTGACAAGTAAAAAAAAAAAAAAAAACAAGGAACCTTGGTTGTTTTTTTCAGTCGACCTGTTCGTGGATTTTTGTTTTTTTCCCTTTTCGTTGTTGCATGTTCTGCCGAGCTCTCTCTCGAGCTCTCTCTTTCTTGACTCCTCCACGTACTTCGTGTGTGTGAGGGAACAGGGGGAGGGTAGTTGTCGTCGTTGTTGTTGTTGTCGTCGTCGTTGTTTGTCGGTTGTTTCTCGTCCTTGTTTGTAATTTTCTTGCCTTTTTTTTTTTTTCCTCAATTCAATATATTCCCTTTTACTTGCTTCGGGATGCAGGATAATATGAATTGTATTCGCAACAGACACTCAAAAACAACACGCAAAATATTAAGAAGAAAGCGTTGCCACCGTTTTATGCTTCGGGCTGGAAAACGCAGATTCCCCATGCCGACCTGTGCATCCACCAAACATCGGCAAGCGCGACGCCATGCTGGGTTGCATAGGGAGTGTTGGGTGGGTCGCGCAAGTCAACTGGCTGGTCGGCAGCCCAAGGCGTTTCGGTTTTGAGAAAGTCGCTGTGTGTCGGCAGAACGTCTGCTGCTTTCAAACATCGTGCCACTGTCTCGTCGTCCCGCTCGGTGGGCCCACAAGATTGGCTGGCCTCCAGTAGATTTTGGTACCGCGGTCGATCGCTCGGATTGACACGCTTGGTCCAATGTTCCACTCGATGCAGCAACTTGGCCAAATCAGCCTCCTTTCTGGTTGAGTTTTGAGGTGGGCTTGCGGCAGTGCTGGTGTGCAGCGCTCGCAAGTATGCTAGCAGATCAACGCTGGATCGACTGAGCAAGTAGCCGCCGGTTGAAGCGGCGACTTGCAACGCATCGCTTGGCAGTGTTTCGACGCGGCCGAGATAAACGTGCTCGCATCCCGCGCTACACGGCTCGACATGACGACGTCGATTCAACTCTCTTGGCACCTTTGGCACGTTAAAGTACTTGGATTGCCTGGCTGCAGGGTAAATGACGTCCACGATCAAGTGCAGCGGGTTGACGAACGTGGAGTCGTCCACCTGCGAAGAAGTCAAGTCCAACGAAGCGTCAAACGGCATGTCAGAATTTGAGATTGGTGCGCTTCCTGCACGACAACTCTCCCCAATGACACAACACTACACGAGCAGAACTGACCTTGAACACCCACTCAATATCGGCCGGAGCCTGCAACGCGACCCACTGCCACATGTCGAGCACCCTCTGTTCGTGGAACGGCCCGCGGGACGCCCAAGACGCCTCGCTCTCTCCTGCAGGGAGCAAGCCGATTCCGGGCAGCGCAGATGCAGGATATGCTCCAAAGAAAATGACGCGCATGCCAAGGGATCTGGCAACAGAGACCCACGTCGCATTCATGGCGAGCGCGCTGTGGCTGTATTTGGCCTCGGAGCTTGTGACTGCAATCAGAATACTCTCGGGCGAAAAGAATGTGCGCGCGGACGGCGGCCTGTACAATGGCTCGACGCCAGTGTAGGTGAAAAAGAGTGCGCTGTTTGAGAGCTGAGCGGGCGGCTTGACGCGCAGATTGCAACAGTCTTGAAGCGCCTCTGGATTGATGCAGGTCAAGCTCAGAGCAATGGCCTCCTCTGGCGAGAAGGGGACGTCTTGCATGTTGGGTGCGCGAACTGCTGCCGCAGGCAAAGTGTCGGAGATGTCTTGGTTTTTGTTGGGGTCGGCTTTGACGGGCTGTCGGGCCTTGGCTTGCGCACGGTCGGCCAGCCCCATCGGACGAGCCATCCGCTGTGGCAGACCCTGGCGCTCCACGCTGCTACCGAGGCCTTTCCGAGCTGCCGCAAGTGCCAGTAATGCCTGGGCGTTTGCGGGATCGATCGGGTCGGGCGGTGGTCCGGCATGCTTGACAGGAGCCGGGTGGGCGAATGGTCCTGGTTGGACGTTGAAGCGTTGCGGGATGCGTGGAATGGTGGTCGCCGCAACAGCTGCGCTAGCTGCGGCAGCACTGGCCAGCGATCGATTTGCTGCAACCGCGTCTGCTAGCACGAGTGCAGAATTGTGCAAGTCGACCAGCTGAGCGATGCGGGCCTGCAATCGGCTTCGGCGTGCTGGTTGCTCAATGGAAGGAACTAGCGAACGCAACGTCTTGAGTTGCTCTTGGATGGTTTCCGGAGACGAGTTGATATCGAGCGGAATGGCCAACTGCTGGAAGTTTTGACGAACCGCCAGTGGACCAAGTTTGGCCACGACATCTCGTTGGTGGATGCGCTGCCTGGCAATCATGTCAGATTTATCTGCAAGCCAAAGTATTCCGCGCGATTTGAGTGACGAAGTGGGCAAACAGGATGACCAATGAAAGGGGTGATTGCTAAGCAGAGGTAATGTTCCACAAATGCAGTGGCTCGTCAACCGACCGCTCCAGCCAGAAAGCCTTCTGGTCAATTCATGTGGGATGATTGTATTTTGTTTTGCATTGGTCGTGTGATTGTCGCAAGTCGTACGCCGTCGCACAATGACTGACTGATGGATACAATATGTTTCTTCCTTCCCTGCCGGGTCGTTGGCCTGGCTGTGTCCTCATTTGGAAAGGCCGAGTTGGGATGGCATTACCTTGTAGAACATGTAGCATACGCTTGCGATCCGTGGCCATGATCAGACCGACAATGACGAGCATCACGGCAAGCAGACTGAACGCTGCTCTCAACGGAGAACCACAGAGCCGCCGCCGCACTTGGCGCAGTGGCCGCGCGCTGTTGCACCAGCCATGCTTCTGCTGTCGTGGCTGAGGCTGTGATGGCACCATGGAGGAATGGTGGTGATGCACGGGCACGAACAAACACACGCGGACGGAATGAGTGCGACCAATCGGCCTTGAAACCTAGCTCCCAGCTGAACACGATAGAATGATGCCGAGCTCAGTATGGAACAATCCATGTCGACCGTCGTCTCTAAATTCGATGGGCGAGGATTTCTCAAGAAAAAGAAAAACAAGGCTCAAGAACGACAGCGTGCGGAACAATGCATTTACATACAAGCAAACCAGAGTAACGATGGTTTTGGGCAACACGGACAACGAGCATGAGCATAACAATGACAATAACAATGCAACCAACAAGAACAACAACAACAACAACAACAACAACAACAACAACAACAACAACAACAACAACAACAACAACAACAACAACAACAAAACCAAGAACAAGAACGACATCAAACAAAAAAAAACATTGTACAGAATCACCAAGTGGCGGGAGGGGTGCTTTACGCGCTCGACTTTGGCGGCTTGGGCGGCTTGTTGACTTTGGCGTAGAGGTCTTCGATGGCAGGGTTGCTGGCCGCGGGCGTTGATCGAGGCTTGTTCACCTGGGCGTAGAGACCCTCCACTTGGGCTGCCGAAAGTGGGGGCTTGGGCGGTTTGTTGACCTTGGCGTAGACAGCTTCGCCAGACGAGCCAAACGACGACGTCGGCGCGTCATACGACTGCTCAGCAGGATCGCTGTACAACTCAGGGTTGCGTGTGTCGTCAGGCGAGCTGTACATGGATGTAGGCGGCTTTGCGGACGCGTAACCCGACTTGCTCGATGGAGCAGCATAGTCCTTCGCATCCGGAGCCGCGTAAAGGTCGTCTGATGTCGATGGACGCGAGTCTTCAGGCGAACTATACATTGGTCCAGGCTTGGTGGATGCAGAACCCGACTTGCCCGCTGGAGCAGCATAACCCGCCTTCGCATCTGGTGCCGCGTAAAGGTCATCCGATGCTGACTCTGCGTCCTGCGGGGAGCCGTAATAGTCGGTTTTCAGGGGCCGCGGCGCAGCGGCATCGGCATAGAGCGATTCGTGGGCTCCGACATGGTCGTAGACGTCCGAGGAGGAGTTTGAGTGGTTGAGGTAGAGTGGATTTGTCGAGCTACATCCGACCCAAAAGAAACGAAGCGCAAATTGAGACATCATCGAAAACGCTATCGGGGACAATCAACTCTGCAAGCATGTGTGGAGGGCGGGCTTACCTCGCGACCACTGGCTCTGATGGCGGAGACTGCTTGCGTTGAGTACGGCGCCGACTATCGTTGCACGCGCACACACGCACACAAAAAAAAACCACACGCCGCTCAGTCAGCGAAGAAAGAACGCAAATCAACACTTTGCCGAAGAGCAACAAACAAGGAACAACCAAATCGCACCGAATTAGAATGGCCGCAATAATGGCCGCCACGAGCAAGACACCCAACACAGCTCCGATGATGGGCCCAATGGCACTGCCAGAGGAATTGGCGGCGTTGGCAGCCAGTCTGGCGGAAACGGACACTGCAGAGACACTCGCCCGCGAGACCGAGACGACTCCGGCGCTTGAAGCGGCAACCATGGACGTGGACTCGGCAATGACGGACGTGGCCGACTCACGGAGAGCCGACATGGAAGAAGCCGACACAGCGCTGACGGAAGAAGCCGAGATGGAGCTGACAGAGGCGCGCGAAGCACTGACTGCCGAGGCGCTCGATACGGACACGGCAGACGCGGACGATGCAGACACTCTGGACACCGATGAAGCGCTGGATGCGGAAGCTCTGGAAGCGGAAACCGCAGATGCCGATGATGCTGACATCACGGACGCAACGGATGTCGCCGAAGCCGAGCTCGCAGAAGCAGCCGCAGCTGATGAAGCTGAAACCACAGAGGCGGCAGAGGCTGATGAAGCGGAGATCACAGCAGCAGCAGATGCCGAGGAAGCAGAGATCACAGCAGCAGCCGAAGCTGATGAAGCGGAAATCACCGCGGCAGCCGAAGCTGATGAAGCGGAAATCACCGCGGCAGCCGATGCGGAAACGGCGGAAACGGAAGCCGCAGAGACGGCGGACACAGAGGCAGCAATCACGGATGAGGTAGAGACCGCGACGGCGGAAGCGGAAGCCGCAGCTGCAGAAGAAGACGAAGCCACAGCTGCCAAAGAAGACGATTTCACAGCAGCGGATGAGGCGCTGAGAGCCGACACTGAGGCGGAGATCACTGCCAATGAAACACAACCCCGATTGTTATCGGACACATATCCCTGTGCAAATTTTGCGACGCACGAAACCGACGTTAGACTTCAAAAGCCTTTTGGAGACGAGCAAAAACCCAACAAAGTCGCTTCCAAAGAATTTACCGCAGGGCACTTGCAATCCGTCCGGCAATCGGTGCCAGAGTCACATGTTTCGCCCGCATCGACGTCAGCGTTGCCGCAACCTACCGAATTGAAGACGACAGTGAGCTGTGTTTGTGTTTGGAGGGGGGGGGCGAGGGCAAGCTGACTTGCCACTCAAGCAGCCAGAAGGGTGCTCTTACCAGTCGGGCAAGCATTTGACAGGTCGAATTTGTCGGCAGCGAAGCAACTGTACGAAAGCATGTCGAAACCAGTCGCTGCGGTTCCAATGACCACCATTTCGCCGATGGCAACTTCTTGATTATTCGAGACAAGGCTACATCCATCGTCGTCACAACCGTTCGTGTTCGAGCCACAGGAGGTAGACCCGCCAATCAACACGGGCAAGTTCGATTGGGTTGTCGGAGTGTTCACGTTGCCGTTACCTGCAGCCACGCCATTCAAGTAAATGACAGCAGCACCGCTGGTCACTGTGGCGCCGACAACAACCGTCGTGGTCGCCGATGGAGAAGCATTCCCTTGACCGCAGACAACACCCGCAAGTACTTGCAGGTTAATGTCGCCCGAGCTGACACAAAAGACATACGTGCTGGAATCTGTCTTTGTCAGGGAAAGGGCAAACTTTGTTTTGATCAAGGTCGCCGAGTCGAAGCACGTGCGACCGAGCACGATGAAGGGCGATGATTGAGTGACGTCGCTCAGTTTGAACTGAATAGTTGCCATGAAAGCAAACGAAGGCACAGAAGTGCCGCCGAGATTTAGATAGCTTTGAGAGTCACTTGACGACAACCAGAAGTATTCTCCGTTTTGGAACTTTGCAAACGTCGACGACGATGGTGGGTCTTCTGTCTCAAACGTGAAGACTGGCGAAGGCGACGTGGTCGTCCAATCTTTATTGGGCGACCGCTGGCCCGAGGCAAGCCAGAGCAGGACACTGGAATAGCTGGTTGGTGTACGAGGGACTGTTGGCAGCCAAGTGTTCATTCAGAGCCCATGGCGTATGAGTGAAGCAGATTAAACAAAATCCAAAGTCAACGCAAAATGAAGGGTGACAGTTTCCCCTTTCCCCTTTCCCCTTTCCCCTTTCCCCTTTCCCCTTTCCCTTCCCATCTGTCATTTTGCTGGTTGTATGCGACTGGCCACACCATGCAGGCAGATCGTTGAGTCGCATGTCGCTGTCGACCATTGGCTGAAATTTGGCTAACGCAAGATAAAAAGTCATCCAAATTTTCACTAATTTTCTATTGGTCTTTTTTTTTTTTTCTTTTTTTTTTGGGTGTTGGTTGTTTGCAATAGGTCGCGAGTTGACAAAGGTGCGCAGTTTGGGGGGATGGCAAGGCCACACAATGAAAGAGAGAGATGTATAGATAGAGAGAGAGATGGAGGGGCAGGATAGCAACAGACCGCAAGCCGCTGCTGCCGTGATTTTTGATTTGTGGTCGTGATTGTGGCTTGAAATTTACGCCCTCGAAAGGTGGCTGGGCTATTTTCGGGCGCTGCTGTTTTCTGCTCCATACGCCACGAGCACCCGCGTGTGTGTATCGATGTGTGTGTGTGTGAATGTGCGTGTTTTGGATGCGGCTTGCGGAGGGCAAACAGTAGTCAAAGGTCAAACAGCCTTTTTGATCTAGCAAAAAATGAGTCGGCGTTTGCTTTTTTTTTTTTTCTTTTTTGTTTTCATTGATTTCAGCTTCCGAAGCGAGAAAAGGGGAAGAACGAAGGCGGGGAGAACAGGAAGAAGAAGAAGAAGAGCTTTACAGGCTGCGTTGGATGGATGGAGCAATGCTGCTACGAAGAGCGCCGTGAGTGCGAGCAGCGGCACAGCCGGGCGTAACCGCAGCAGTGGCTGGCGACGAGGGGCATTCCGAATCGCCATGAGTCCAATTGAATTGAATTGAATTGGGGGAAAGAAAGAAGAAAAAAACCCTCCAAGAACGAAATAGAAAAAGGAAAGAAAGGAAAAGATGAATGAATGACAGATGAATGGGTGGTTGAATGGATGTATGGAATGAAAAAAGGATCGGAACAGAGAGAGAGAGTGTGTGTGTGTGTGTGTGTGTGTGAGCACGAGCCCAAAAAAAAAAAAAAAAAATCAAGGATCAAAAATCCAAATCTTCGCCTTCATGTCACCATTGCGCATGCATGGATGCTAGTTTTAACCCCTTGCTCTCATTTGTTGGATCTTCTCTGTGGACTTTATCATCTCCAGTTGCTCAATGCTTGTCATTATCTGATCACTGATCAAATCAGTCTTATTTTTTTTTTTCTCTCTCTCTCTCTCTCTGTTTTTCTCTCACTCGTCGCTCACCTCGTCGCCATGTCGTACGACTTTATCGCTGAATACGCCAAGTCCAACCGCTCTTCCTGCAAGCAGTGCCAAAGCACGATCGACAAGGACGAGCTGCGCATCGGTGAGGGGCGGCTCTTTTGCAAATGGTTTGACTTGTTGTTTGATTACCCCTTTCGCTCCATCGATCTCTTTGCTCTTCCTCTTTCGCGCTCGCTCCCGCCTTGAGACGATGAGCGTGGAGATGCAAGATGGCAGCAAGCAGCAGAGGCCACTTGCTCGTTGGCAGTCGTTCCCAGCTCGCTTCTTGCGATGGATGGCGCGCGAAGGCCAAGACCAGCGAAACAACAAACAACAACAACAAAAAAAAAAAAAAAAAAAAAATATCAAAATGCTTGCAACTTTTTTTTTCGTTTTCTTGTCTTTCCTGTCAATCTTGAACGATCAACCTTGTGCTCCTAAACCCGCCCTCCTCGCATCGTTCACTGACAAAATCTTGCTGTTGATTTGGATTGTTTTGTTTTTTCTTGCTTTTTTTGTGACAGGCGAAATGGTGCAATCCCCATTCCACGACGGCCGCATCCCCGTTTGGCGACACGTCAAGTGCCACTTTGCAAAGGGCAACCGAGGCCTGACGGCGTTTGCCATGATTGAGGGCCGCGACAATCTGCGTCTGGCCGACGCCGACAAGCTCAAGGCACTGATTGATCCCTCCGCTGCGGCCGCTGCTCCCGCGCCCGCTGCTGCTGCTGCTGCGTCTGCGGCTGGGAACGACGAGGACGAGGACGCTGGCGCCAGCAAGAAGGGCAAAAAGGCGGCCGCGACGCGTGGCAAGCGCAAGGCCGAGGAGCCTGCGGAAGCGCCAAAGAAGGCTGCGCGCAAGGAGGAGTCTGCCATGAACGACGATGAGCTGATTGCCTACCACAACGAGCTGATGTGGGAGCTGCGCGACGGACTGAAGAAGGCCATGTCCGAGCTCAAGACGCCGACGGTCGTTCTGCGCGGCATGCTCGACGACAACGAAATTAGCTCCAAGGGCGGCGACGTCGACCTGATCCAGCGCATTGCGACGTGCATGCTCTGGGGTGTGCCGGAAAAGTGCCCCGAGTGCAGCCAAGGTCGCCTCACGGTTGAGAACGGCAGCTTCAAGTGCAAGTCGTTCGCCAACGAGTGGGCGCGCTGCACGTTCGAGGCCGACAGCGCCACGCACGCTCCGTTTGTGGTGAAGGAGTGGGCGCGCGACGTGGACTTTCTGGCCAACTGGCAGTTTGTGCCGCACCGACGTGTTTTGCGCAAGGAGGTGACGCTCAAGGCCAGCATGCCCTCGCAGGCGTCGTCGTCGTCGTCGTCCCAGTCCAACGCTGCTGCGGAGGATGACAACGACTTGCCCTTCGCCCTGGGCGGCGCCGAGAAGCCCGAAAAGAAATCGGCCGCTGCATCCGCCTCCTCCAGCAGTGGCGCTACGACGTCGACGCCCTTCGACAGCATGACGATTGTCTTTGCGGGATCCAACTTTTCGACCACCCAGAAGGCGCTGGGCGCGATTGTGAAGGAGCTCGGCGGTGCTGTCGCGACCAACGTCACCGACAAGACGACCATTGTCATTTCAACCCCCGAGGAGGTTGCGAACGAGGGCAAGAAAATTTCCGACGCGCTCGAGCGCCACATCCCCATTCTGAGCGAGGATGTCATCTCCAAGTGCAAGGCGGCCCAGAAGACGCTCGGCTTCCTGGAGTTCTGGATTGGCGGCAGCAGCGAGGCCAAGCTCGCCCTCCAGCCCGCCGAGGCGGCCAACAAGGCGCTGCGCAACGAAAAGGAAAAGGAGCGCTACAAGACGGACAACACGACCGTCAAGCTGGTCAAAAAGGGCCGCGGTGCGGTCGATCCGGCGGCCGGCGAGTCGGTGGTGCGCGACTACCACGTGTTTGACGACACGACGGTGCTGTGGGACGCCATGATGACCCTGGCCGATCTGACGAGTGGCAACAACTCGTACTATGCACTGCAGCTGCTCCAGCACGACAGTCGCGCCTCGTCCTTCATTCTGTTCCGCAAGTGGGGCCGCGTCGGCACCACCATCGGTGCCAACAAGTCGGAGAACTTTTCAGACAAGTCGTCCGCCCAGTCCGAGTTCCGACGCCTCTTTGAGGAGAAGACGGGCAACAAATGGAGCCAGAACGGCGCGTGGGAGAAGAAACCGGGCAAGTTCTACCCAGTCGAGATCACGTACGACTTTGAGGACGACGAGGAGCAGGCCAAGCGTCTCAAGGCGGCCAGCTCTGGCGACGCGCGTGGGTCCAAGCTCCCGAAGGAGACGCAAGACCTCATGAAGCTCATCTTCAACATTGAGGCCATGACCGAGTCGCTCGTGTCGATGGAGCTCGATCTGAAGAAGATGCCGCTTGGCAAGCTCAGCAAGCGCCACATTGAGGCAGGCTACAAGGTGCTCAAGGAGATTGAGGCCGTCCTGCAAAACGCGGCGCTGGACGACCGCAAGCGCAACAACGATCTGCTCGCCCTCAACAACAAGTTCTACACGCACATTCCGCACGACTTTGGCACCGAGGAGCCCAAGCTCATCAACTCGCTCTCGGCGCTCAAGGCCAAGGTCGAGATGATGGAGGCCCTCATTGACATTGAGATTGCCACGTCGCTCATGCTCCAGCAGGCCGGATCGACCGCCGCCGCGCCCAGCACCGGCACCAGCGTCATCGACCAGAACTACGCCAAGCTCAAGACCGAGCTCGACCCGCTCGCCCGCGGCAGCGACGAGTGGAACCTATGCGAGACGTACCTGCTCAACCAAAAGAACAACTGGAAGGTCGAGCTGCAGTCCGCCTTCCGCGTCGACCGCGAGGGCGAGTCGACGCGCTTCCAGACCAAGAAGCACCTCGGCAACCAGCACCTTCTCTGGCACGGCTCGGGCACGACCAACTATGTCGGTATTCTCAGCCAAGGCCTGCGCATTGCTCCCCCGGAGGCGCCTGTCTCGGGCTACCGCTTTGGCAAGGGCGTGTACTTTGCGGACATGTGCGACAAGTCGATTGGCTACTGCCGCGGTGGCGCCAACCAGCCCATTCTCATGATGCTGTGCGAGGTCTCCCTCGGCACGCAAAAGGAGCTCTTCCGCGACCAGTACATGGAAAAGCCGCTGCCTGGCTCGGACAGCACCAAAGCCATGGGTCGCTGGATTCCAGACCCCAAGTCGACCATCAAGATTGAGAATGACAGCATCACCGTGCCGATGGGCAAGCCGTTCGACTCCAAGGTCAGCTCATCCTGCACGCATGACGAGCTCATCGTGTACGACATTGCACAAGTTCGTATTCGCTACCTTCTTCGCATCAATCTCAAGTGAAACCAGCCGTTAAAAACATTCAAAACAACGCGTTTGAGGTGGGGGTTGAGGGTTTTGTTTGTTTTTTGTGTTGTTTGCAGTGCATTCTCTTCGAACTTGTCGTGTCAACTGCTCAATGTCGTGTTGAGGCATAAACCACATGTTTTAGTCCAAATATTCTTGAAACGAACAAAGGGGTTGCGATGGAATGCTTTCGACCCAGCGATCGTGAGATTTATTGAGAGAATAAATAAAAGAGTGGAAATGGTTGCTTGGCGGCTGACGAAAGCACATTGTCAAAATGGTCGCGGAGAGCCATCCATCAAACATAAGAGTGGGAGGACTCGGGCAATTCGAACGGTGGTATCAAGAGCTCGGTCGGCTCGGGGACAACAACCGAATCGTGAAGACTGCTGGTGGTCGTCGTGTCTGTGGTCAAATCGTCCGTCGCAACGTCCGGCGGAACAAACTCAACTCCAGTGGCATCATCGTCGACGCGAAGAAACTTGTGACCAGGCTCCACTTCGACCAATACTGGCACAGAGGAGTCGTCATTCGCATTTGTTGCCGCCGCCGCCGCCGCCACACTAGCTGGTTCGGAAGGCGTTTCGCTGCCAACTGGAGCCAAAGTAGCCATCTTGGTCGCTGGTGCGCGGCTGGGCCACGGTTTCGGAGCCTTTGGCAGATTTTTCAGCGGCATGGCTCGAGACCGAAGGACATAGACTCGATCAGAGTCGCGCAAGAACAGTTCCGCCGGTGGGTTGGTGTACACGTACTTGTTTGTCACCAAAGTGCCATCGTCAGCAACGGGTGGGAACGGCTTTGTTGATGTTGTGGTTGTTGTTGTTGTCGTTGTTGTTGCGGCTGCTGCCGCGGTCGGTGAAGAGACTGACACAGCGGATCGCTCCTGTACGAGGCAATGCTGAAACGTTCAGACACAACAGGGTTGTATGCATTTCAGTACATTTCCGGCACTCCTTCCTTACAATCTTGTTCGAAAATCGAGATCGATATAAACCAAGGGGTATCAGCTCGTGCAATAAGAGGTAGGCCACGAGATCTCCGTAACAGTAGATGGGCGCTGAACAAAAACAACAAAAGGGGGAAACGCCAAAGTAAGTTCAAGCGTCGCGTTTCCCGAAAGGCTCGCTCCGCCACATTCAACAAGAACAAGAAACCAAAACAAGTATGAACAGACCAGCAGCTAGAATGGAACGGAGGGGGATGGACTCGAGCTGGGCATTGTCGGTTTCGTCGAGCAAGCCCAACAAACTTCGAAAGATTTGCGTCATGTCCGGCTGATAGAAGGATTGATACATGATGGACTCGACCATCGTCTTTGAAAACACGGTGCCTTCCACGTAACTTGGTCGGAGCGTCCACGGCAGGCCGGTCTGGTGCGACCCACTAGCAACAACATGCCGGAAACTGTCCTCCCGCCGAAAGGTTTCTAGCGACTCGGAAGGAGGGTGAGAGCTGGGTTGTAAAGAACGGTGGCTGCTGTTCGAGCTGACATCCTCCGCTTTCAGCCGCGAACTGGACTGCGGATGGCCGTTCGAGGCAGCATCCTCCACTTTTTTGACGCGCTTGTTCTCCACGATGTGGCCAAGCTTGCCAATAAAACCAGGACCGTGTACTGCAACCTTCAGCTTGACCTTGGCAGCCTTGGACGCTTGCTGTCGCCGCACCAGTTGCTCGTGATAGTCTCGGGCTGCCCGTTGGTGGAATCCCAGGAATTTGATGTTGCTGCGGAACATGAGCTCGATGATTGACACGAGCGCCGGGTGGCGCAGGTGCAGCTGATGCACCGCCATAATCGCAGACGCATCCGCCAAGTACTCCTCACGCTGGTCACTGACGTGGTGGGCACCCGTCATAATGATCTGACGAGCAGTTTTGACACTCGCCATGCTGAGTGCATGAGGGTCAGAAATACTTCCTTGCATCACATAAACGAGTGGAAATGGGGCGAGCGCCGCAAGCATGCCCCGCGATGGCGGCTCTGCAAACACGAGCACGATCGGAATCAGCTCTTCTGGGGGAAGTGTGGAGCGTCTCAGACTCATGACGAACAAATACAGGCCAGACGAATCCGCAGTTGCCGCCAGAATTGTGTGTGGGCGCGGAAACGGCAACGGGAGCGCAGTCAACACTGGGGCAACCACTGGCCGCTCGTTCGTGGGGAGAATGTGACACGTGAAGAGTGGTGCGCCCAGGAACAACGGGTTTGGAAGAATGTCAGAGACAAACGGAGACAGCCTGGGCGGTGCCGGCGGAGGAGAAAAGTAGACACCGTCCTGGTCGTTCGTCGCGTCTGACGCGGCCGCGGGCAGGTCGCAAAATTCGGGAGGAACGGGCTCGTCAGGATAGAGTGCCGCCCAAAGTGCTCCGCTAAACGCACCTCGAGCTCGCCACGATGCCCAAACAGACGCGGAGGGCAAGCTGGGCTGGAGGGACAAGAGAGGTACGCGACCCAAGCCGGGGCAGCCTCCGACATTCGCAAACAACGCAGCTACGGATCCACTGTAAAGTGTGGCGTGTGTGACCGATGGCCGTGTTTTTACCACCGTGGCTGCAGCGGCGGCTGCCTGCAACATTGGAAGGTTTGGAACAGGGTCACTGTCGAGGCTCACCATCTCCAATGAACGGGTGGCATGCAGTGTCGTAAGGGTTGGCTTCGGCAATGGAAAAGAAGGAAGTTGCCACGGAAGCGCTCCTTCAAGGCTTAATTGTTCGCCAGAGGTTGTGGTTGTCGCCGCCGTGTAGTTGTTGTTGTTGTTGTTGTTCTGGAAGAATGGCGTGCTGGAAGCGTCTGGCGCAACAGTACCACCAGGGCTGACTGAAGGAAGACGAGCAACCGATGTGGGACTCCGAATGTTGCTAGTGGAATGACTCGACGGCCGACTGGAGGCGGAGCTGTCGCTGCTAAATCGGTTTATGCCACTTGCAGACATGGCGACGGGAATGTTCCACTCGCGACCGAGTTGTTTCGACCGAGCGAGATAGAAACCCACGTCGCCGAGTTGAAGAACAAAAGAGCGGCCAGGGTTGACATGATAGTGCCCATTTCGTTTGATGGCAAACAGCGTAATCCCATGCGTAAAGAAGACGTTGGCAGCAGCTTCAAAAAAGGACTTTCCAAGCATGTCCATTGAAAGCAGGCCCGCTTTCCCGAGGTAGGCGCAGTAGATATTGGTTGCCAACCCGTCAAGATACTCTTGCTGCCATTCCTCGGTAATGGTAAAGTCGTCAGAGCGTGTCACCGACTCCATTGTGTGGCACAGGTTAATTAACAGCGTGGCAGCGCCATGGCAGGTCACGTTTTTGGCCATCAAGCCAAATTTGACCTCTTCCATGCACAAAATCTGATGCGCCATGCCCAGGTGCACGCGACTCTCTGGTAGAATGATGAACACATACAAGGGACAGTCGGGTGCGTAGTCGTACGCAGACCATGCGCGCAAGATGGTCTGTCTGTCCGACTCGGCAGCATCGACGCTTTCGTCCGAAACGATAAAGCAAGCCTGCGCGTCCTTCAGCCGAACGCGATGCAAATCGCCTTCATTCAAAGCGGAACCACGGATGTACTTGATGCGCGAGACCCAGCTGGAGAACTGGATGGCCTTCTCGAGCTCGGCGTTCGGAGGGCACAGCACCACGACATCCACGCGTGCAGAGTTGTGATGGTCTGCGTAAAACTCCTCGAGCATGTCGAGCAGCCTCGCAGAAGCAATGTTGCCACCGGTCATGACCACATGGCGCCAGTCTGCGCGCTTGGAGGACGGATTCGACTTGCCAAGCCGCCCTCGAAGCCGGAGATGAAGGCGGTAGCCCTTCTGGACGAAAGCCATAATCCACGAGTGCGATTGATAGTGCCCGCCGGTGGCGTTCGATTCCTGAACGACATTGACAATATCTTGAATTTGCTGGGGAATGATGACGAACACGGCAAGAATCATAAACATGACAAAAAGCTGGCCTTCCCAAGATTGCGGAACGCGGTCTCCATAGCCTCTACAGTAATAAAAATAATAAAAGAGCAAGGATGAGTTAGAAGCACGACAAGCATTGGCCCGCGCGGCCCCTCCCCCTCCCCCCTCCCCCTCCCATACTATCTCCAGTAAACTGACAAAAAGCGCTATTGTGAACGTACATGGTGCTGAAAGTCACAAAGACAAACCAGAGGGAGCCGTACATGTTGAACAGTTCGACCTGTTCCGACGCATCCGCGCTGCTGTGTTGCTCAATCACGTTGACGCCCATGGTGCATGTAAAGATGATGCACAAGCTTGAAATGACGAGGAGCCAGAGGCGGTGCACCAAAACGCGATCCGCATTACTGGCGGTGGTCTCTATAGCGCGGAAAATCTCGGCAGTAGCCACCCGTGCGCACCAGCAGCGAAGAAAGGTCGGAACGTACATGTCTCTCATGTGTGGCCAAAAGATGGAGATGATGAAAGGCATCTAGAATCAGGTGGTACAGATCCCAAAAAATCAAAAACCGTCCTCGGGTCAGCGCAACGCAAACGAACGCGTCCATCGCCCCAACCCAACTTTGAACCCAACTTTGGGGGCTCTTGATCGCATCGCCAATGGCACATTCAAAGCAAGGAACACTCAAGGCTGCTTACGCTTGTTCCGATTTCGATGATTGGACGTAGGGCCATGAAAAAGCCGTTAATGTTGGTCGAACGGAAAAAGAAGGTGATGAATACGTCGAATAGATACAAGAACGCCATGACCAGCTACGGTATAATGTGAGGAGCAAAAAGTGTGTTTGCTCATCCAATGTCAGAATGCGGTCAAACCCAAACACAGTGCAAAAAACAGTCGGCACGATACCTACCTGAATCACCCAGAACGACTTGTCCCGCGGTTCAAACCAGCTTTCGCCCTTGGAACTGGCTTGGACAGCAATGTAAAGGGAGCATGACAGCAAATCCAAAAAGATGTTGAATGCATTGGCAAAGATGGCTGGATTGTTTTTTCGTTTTGGAGCGAGCAGCGAAAGTGAGAATTGGGAACACGAGGCGGAGAGGTCAGCTCCCAAAATGCAAGGACAACGCGCTTGCTCATAGAACAACAAAATAAGACCATATCCGCAAGTGTGTGCAAAACTGCCAGTTCTGCACAACGAATTTGGGTCGGCAGGTTGGAGGCGGCGTCGCGACTTGGCCAATGTGGAAAGTGGTGGCCGTGAACCAGAGGTCTGACTGCCCGACTCCAATTCCCCCATGGCCCTGGAACAACAACCGCGGCTGGACCAGCAACACTTACTAGAGTGGACGTAGAGCTGGAACATGAGCCTGCAGCGGGGCACAAAGCCAGGCGTGTCCGCAATCTGGCGCAACGCCCTGCGAACAAGATTGAACAACACACAAGGGCGGTGAGCATGATACAGCACATCATGTGAAATGCGCCAGAATGGGGGTTGGTGCAGGGAAGTGTGGATGATGCGAGGAGCGCCATGGTCGGCTGAGCGACGTACGCTGGGACGGGCATTGTGTGGGAAGAAGCTCAGACTGCGAGCAACGTTGCCCAATGACAAGGAACACGAAACAGTAATGATTAAAATGTCGACTGAAACATCCAGAAGAGCTGGGTGGGCGGAATTGTTTTTGTCGTCAATGGATTACTGTATCAAAATGCCGGAAACATGTTGAAATTGGTCGAAAAACAACTTTATGACTGTTAGCATGAACAGAGGACAAAGGCACAAACACATTGGACACTCATGGATACTCGGCTACAGTGTTGTTTGGGCGACGGAGCCAGGCAAGGTCGAGGGGATAGGTGCAGCCGTGCCGCTTTTCCCACAGCAGCTGCGTCAGCATCTTGCCAAGCATGTTGGTGCCCTCGCCAAGGAGACCATCACCCCACTGGCGGTCCCGGTCGACGTGCTCCACGAGAAGGATGTTCTCGTCGCGCGCGGCCAGGGCGGTGAGCGAGTTGACGGCCTCTTGTGCACCGGTCTGGACGATCGCCGCACCAACAGACGGCACGTCGAACTTGAGTCGCAGTGCAGTCATCATCACATAGGGCTTGATGCTATCCCAGTCTTCGCGCATGAGTGGATACCCGCTCGCTGTTCGCTTCCAAGAGTTGGATTTGGCGCGTTGGAAATCGTCCGGATTGGCGCCGTACTTGATCAACCGCTCGCGGTGCCTAGTGTGGTGAAAAGAAACGGTCGCAAACGCATGTCAAAGTAGCAGTCATCATGAGCTTTCAAGTCACAACAACAAACTTCAGCACTTCAAACGCAAAAAAAAAAACCAATGCGAAGGGCACAGGCACAATCCAAAAAAAAAAAAAAAAAACTTCGTACGCGTCGCTCAGAGTCATGCGGCCTTGCCCGAACATGGCAGCTTCGCGGGAATCAAGGGCGTGCGCGACAAAGAGAGCATCGCACAGGTTTGCACACTTGGCTGCTTGGAACAAGTTTTCAGTGCTTGAGTAATCGATGTCTACCAATCTGCGGCGAAAAAGCAACATTTCAATCCAATGTGAGAGAACGACCCGGTTCGTTATTGGGGGTATGATTCTCTTGTCTTCAATGCGCATTCATTTGAGCAATGACATGGGGTGGCGGACGGGTGAGTGAGCTGGACTTGACCAGTTTAGGAGTTGAGGGTTACGCAACTCTTTGTGAATCAGCAGCTGCGAAACTCCAGCGGCAGCCGCGGCAGTGCGCTCGACGTGTGCAGACACGTGAATGGTGCACGGAAACAGGTTGCTAAAGCACAGGCGGTTGATGCCAAGCTCGGCGTCCTCGCGCGCGCCGTCCTCCTCGCGACGTGTATGGGAGTAGAACGAGATGACGCGCTGGAACACGGCCGTGCGCTCGGCGGGACTGGCTGCAGCGGCCTTTGCAGCACCTGGACCACCAGTTGGCGCGGTGTTCCAGATTGCGACCGCTCGTGCGAATGGGTGTGGGGCGGTTTTCGACATCATGAAGCGAAGGGTGGAAGGCGGGGGGGTTGACGGGTGTGCAGATTGGACTGATCAGGACAAATTTGGACACCCAGGGACAACGACATGGCGAGACAGTTTCAAGTCCAAGTACAAAGCTCTGCAACATCATAAAAGCCTTCTGAAATGGACGAATGGTTGAAAGGCGTTGAAAGTGTAAAGTAGAAGATCAGAAATTAAAGTTGTCCCCTCTCCTTTTGTCCTGATCATTCATTTTGTTCAGTCTTCATTCTTTGTCAGAATTTGTAAGATGAGAGGTGATTCTATTTGTTGCCTGTCTCGTGGGACGTCTAAATGGGCGGCCAGCCACAATTCCCAAAACGAGCAGAGAAGAGTTCGGAGGGAGGAGCACACAAAAGCAAAAAGCAAAAGCCACACACGCGGCCCTGCCAAACGCACGAACGACAACAATCATAAGAGTGGATTTCTGTCGAGTGCTTGTGTGCGCTCCCCCCAGCAATCGGTTGAGCAGGCGCAGAGGGCGCAGAATGAATGCGGTTGCGTTCGCCCGCGAAACTGTGGAAATGCGTCGTCGTCTATTTCCGGATCAGATCACACCCCAGCGTCCTCAGAGTAGATTTCCCCACCGCCACGCAGGTCCCCAATCTGCAGCCATAATGACACACAAGCCACTCTCATCCAAAAAAAATACCAAGCGCACCAAAGCCTCACGCACAATGCCTCGCTCGCTCGCGCAATTCCCTCGCACGCCACCCGATCGCCCCACCTTTCAATTGACCGTTGCCTTCGCGCAGACCGCAGAAAATCGCTCATGCTGCACGTGTATTGGGTTTCAACGTCACTTTTATCTGTTTCCCACAGAAGACCTGTTTCGCAACTGAGGGACGTGCAGATGCGATCGACTTGTCTGCTCGTGCTCCTTTTTGCCACCTTCTTGCCATTCGTGCAAGGACAAGCCCCGTGCAGCATCACCGTCTCGGACGTGACTGCGCTCTACAACGAACTTGGCTCCCCAAGCACGAGTACAGTTGTGTGCATTCAGCCCGGAACCTACACCTTCCCCAATCAACGGACAATCAACCGATCGGTTTCTTTTCGAGGTCTGGGCGCTCGTCCGGAAGAAGTGGTTATCTCTATCGCATCTGGTCGGGTTGTGTTTTTCACCACCAATGGCGCGGGTATCAGTATCAATTTTGAGAATCTCAAAGTTACTCAAGGCTCGGGAGCCATTTACCTGAGTGCGGCCGTCAGCTCGTCCTCAAGAACGTCATTCTGGACGGCTGCACCTCGACGACGCAGTCCCAAGCTGCCGGTCTCCACCTCTTCGGCAGCAACAATGTTGTGATGACAGACTCGGTCATTTCCAACAATCAAGTTTGGGGTAAGTATTTAGAATGTCCTGATTTTGTGTGAGGAAGGGGGCAATCTAGGAGACTCACCAACTCTGCTCCTCAGATTATGGTGCCGGCATGCGCATCGGGTCGAGCTCGAACGTCCAACTCCAAAACGTGACGTTCTTGAACAACGTGGCATCGACGAGTGTATCTAGCAATTATGGCGGGGCCATCGGCATCGTCGATGCTTCGAGCACTGTCACTATCATCTCATGCACAGTACGTTCCGGCCCGTCTTGTGTCGTAATTGAAATGGCCTGCCTGGGCGGATGACACTCACCTTTTCTCAACTTTAGTTTACAAACAACCGAGCCTATTCCGGAGGCGCGATCGGCACCAAGGCTGGAATCTCAAACTCGCTGTCCATCTCCAAGTCGACGTTTACAGGAAACATTTGTGCGGGCTCTGGCTGGGGCCATGCCCTCAGTCTCGGAACCTTATCGACTGTAAGCAACAGAGCAAAGTCGCTGGATGGACCGATCGGGTGAAACTCAACAAGTGACTCTTTGACAGACTCAAGTAGTAATTTCAGACAGCACTTTCAATGGCAACTACGCCGTGAGCAACGTGGCGACTTCCAGTATCTTTGTACCCGACGGCAGTGGAGCGCCCTTGGTGCTCATTTATAACGTGGTTGCTACCGGTCAGACCTCATCGAATGGGTTTGACAACACGGATCTCGGCTTTGGAGGCATAGGAAAGGTTTCTTGGACGACCGACGATGCTGCTCGCCTCACAGTTACCCAAGGCTCTGCTTCATGGTATACCATCTCTCCTGCAGCGTTTTGTGCCAACTCTCAAGCTGTCCCCTCGTGGATGATCAATACCGTCGAAGAGTGCGTGCTTCCTTCAATCTCTGCGGCGTCCCTGAGATCCTTGTCGATCGCATCCGTCTCCATCGTCTCAGCAAGCTCGGTTTCGCAAATCTCGGTTGCTTCGGTTGCTTCAGTCGCTTCTGCAAGCTCTGCTCAGTATATTGCGAGCTCGTCCGCATCTGCTGCTTCGGCTACGTCTGTTGCCTCGGCGGGATCTGTCGCGTCCTTGAAATCTGTCGCCTCGGTGGTGTCTGCTGCATCCGCCGAGTCCGCTCAGTCAGTAGAATCCGAGTCTGCCCGGTCTGTCGAGTCCATTGTTTCGATTGAGTCTGGAGTCTCTGTCGAATCTGCGCGATCTGCCGCATCTGTCGCATCGCTCTCTCCAACGGCAAAGTCATCGAACAACGACTCTTCGAGCTCCATCGCTCCCATTATCGCGGGCGTTGTTGCAGCAATCGTTGTTCTCCTCATTCTTGCGGTACTTGCGCTCGTGTATCGCCGCAACAAGCGCCGTCGTGCTGCAAAGGCTGCGAACGAAGACCATGCCTACGGATTGCAGCTAAACCCGCTGGCCAAACGTCCCGCAGCAGGGCAAGAGTACGACACTCTCAAGCCGCAAGAGTACGAATCGCTCAAGCCGCAAGAGTACGACTCTCTCAAGCCGCAAGCGGGTGCACCTACCAGCCAAGCCTACGACACTCTTGCCGGGCCCGTGGACAGGCCTCGGACCGTCCACAAGGCTACAGACGGCGAGTACGAGAGTCTCACGCACTCTGACCCGACATACGCCGATCCCCGTATTTCGCGACGCCCGCAAGCTTCAGAGAGCATCACTGCAAATCCAATGTACGAAACGCCCATTCCTACTACAGGCGACACGTACGCACGGTTGGACAAGCCCGTGGAATACGCCGAGACCGGCAAGGGCAGCAAGAGCGAATCGACGGACTACACGAGTATTGCCAGCGATTGGCGAGGCTCCAAGACTCCCGAAGCAGCTTATTCCATTGCAGGCCAGGCTGACGACGTGACCTACTCGATTGCACATCCGGGTGATGTGACCTACACGACTCCGGATTTGCAGCAGCCAAGCCAACAGCAATACGCTGACTTGTCGCACGAAACCGAGTAGTGTTGCCATTGTGTGACGTTCCCGTTTCTGGCCGCACTCTTTCTCGTTCCCATCCTCTGTACCTGGTTTTTGTGTTGTGCCATACATGCTACCGTAGTGTCCAAACCAAATTTGAATCACTCTTCATTTCGTTCAATTTCGTTCATCGTTTTTCGTTTTTTCGTTGCTTTGCCCAAGAATCTCCCACCATGGCGCGTCAACTCATGAGCGATAACATTATTCTGCTCACCGATTCGTACAAGGTGTGTTTTGTGTGCGCGCTTCTCGGGAGCACAGGCATGACTCTTCGCTGCGTCTGAGCAAAATGCAACGATTGCAATTCTTGCAGATTTTTTGGTTTCGCCATACTTTTGACTCAGCTCTGTTTCGCTTGCTTGCTTGCTTCGCGCAGATCGCGCACTACAGGCAGTATCCCCCCAAGACCACCACCGTCTACTCGTACTTTGAGAGCCGCGGCGGCGACTTCCCAGAGACGGTCTTCTTTGGCCTGCAGTACATCCTTGAGGTTTGTGATTTGCACTGCAGATTGCGCTCTCATGCCGTCTCTCTCTCTCTGTCTCTCTCTTCTCCCCACCCACCATCGTGATACATGATAACCCGACAAGAGTCCAAGGGTTGTTCAGTCGAAGCGCTCTGCTCAATCGCTGCGTCAGAGTGAAACCACTGAAAAGCTTCTCACTTTGTCTCTTTCCTGTGTTGGCTTGTTTTCGCAGCGCTACTTGGCTGGCCCGGTCGTCACCCAAGCCAAGATCGACGAAGCCAAGGAGGTGTTTGCCCTCCACTTTGGCGATGACAAGCTGTTCAATGCTGAAGGTGATGCGAAAAAATCGCCTCTTTTCATTTTTTTTTTTTTTTTTTTTTTTGAAGTTGTTCAATTTCGCATTTTGGACTTTGCTGACAATGCGTTCATATGGCGTGTCGTTCGTTCGTGCCATTGGTTGCTGACTCGTGGTGATTGTATTCGTTTGTTTGTGGCGATCGTGATGATGATGATAGGTTGGGAGTACATTCTGAAGGAGCATAACGGCCACCTTCCCATTCGCATCAAGGCGGTTCCTGAAGGCACTGTGGTTCCAGTCAAGAACGGTGAGGTTTCGCCTGCCATTCACCTCAAAATTCTCCGTGCGAGCTCTCTCGACTTTTCATACTCACTGTTGTCCGTGCCTGTTCTTCTTCCTCTTTTTGTGTGGTGGCTAGTGCTCATCACGATTGAAAACACCGATCCGCAAACCTACTGGCTGACCAACTACCTCGAGACGATTCTTGTCGAGGTTTGGTACCCTCTGACCGTCGCCACCTACTCTCGCGAGCTCAAGAAGATTATTGCAGGCTATCTTTCGGAGACTGCTGATGACCTGTGAGTGTTTTGCTGTTGGTGACGGATGCTTTGATTTAACGCTCATTTCCCCCCCCCCTCTTCTGCACATGCACGCGCCTACAGCTCTGGCCTGCCATTCAAGCTGCATGACTTTGGCTACCGCGGCGTCTCGTCTGTGGAGACTGCTGGCATTGGCGGCGCGTCCCATTTGGTCAACTTTATGGGCACCGACACAATTGCTGGGTTTATGCTGGTACGTCTCGTTCGCGCCACAAGTTATCGCGGAATCTCTGCACTCTCATTTGACGATTCCTCTCGTGGTTGCTTAGGCACGTCAATACTATGGCAGCACCATGGCCGGATACTCGATTCCTGCCACGGAGCACTCGACCATGACCAGCTGGGGCCGTGCAGGGGAGAGCGCTGCATACAAGAACCTTCTGGAGCAATTCCCTTCAGGAGTGGTGGCGTGCGTCAGCGACAGCTACGACATTTTCAACGCGTGCGAGAACATCTGGGGCAAGGAGCTCAAGGACTTGATTGTCGAGCGTGGCAAGGACGGCAAGTCCATTCTTGTCATTCGCCCCGACTCTGGCGACCCAGCAACGGTGGTTGTCCGAATTCTGGAGATTTTTGGTGAGGCTTTTTTTTTCTTTTGTCATTATTTGTGTTGTTGCATGGGGTTGTCCTTTGATTTCTCGCTTCCTGACTTTTGGTGATGTGGGGATTTTTTTCTGTCTGGATAATGCAGGCGAGAGGTTTGGTACTACCACCAATTCCAAGGGCTTCAAAGTGCTGCCGCCCTACATTCGCATCATCCAAGGCGACGGCATCAGCTACGCCTCGCTCAAGCAAATTCTGCAGCACATGAAGGACCACAAGTGGTCGGCCGACAATGTCGCCTATGGCAGCGGCGGTGCCCTGCTCCAGCGCCACCACCGTGACACCCAAAAGTGCGCACTCAAGTGCAGCTTTGCCGTCGTCAACGGCGAGAATGTGAACGTGTTCAAGGACCCCATCACGGATCCTGGCAAAAAGTCCAAGACTGGTCGCCTGACACTCGAGCGCACCGAGGACGGCAAGTTTGTGACGCAAGTCGAGAGCAAGGGCGATCCCGCCAAGGACCTGCTGGTGACCGTGTTTGAGAACGGTGTCATGGTCAAGCGCTGGACTTTGGATGAAATCCGCGAGCGCGCTGCCGTGTAAACAATGCACGCGTGAATTACTGCCGTTGGTGTTTTTGAGTTGAATTCTTTTTAGTTTTAGGTGGTTTTGGCATGTGTTGTGTGGAAAGAGTTGCTCGGTGTCGAGGAAGATGAGCGCGATTGTGTGAATCAATGTGTTTGTTTTTTTTGTTGTTGTTTGTTTTTGTTGGTCTTTCAATGCAACGGTTTTAGTTTTATTGTTTGGTTTCAATGGTCCTTTGAATGCTATGCTTTTTTTATGCCAATCTCAGATCGTCTGAGTTTGGCAGTCTCACTTTTTCTAATGGCAAAGCGATTTCTAGAATTCACAGCGGCCGAAGTCGAGTTTCTGGCCGAGGACACAATCATAACGATCGTACCTAACTTCCAGATGGACATGTTATTCTTTATTAGTGTGAGTCGTTTTGGATGCCCACTGTAGAGCTCATGCAATGATGAGCAGAGCGGATCCATTGGTTTTTGGCGGGAAATCTGGCGTTGCGCTTTGCTGAGCTCGAACAAGCCGACTTCCTCGTCTTCAGCTCCCCTCCTCCTTCCCCCCTGTTTCTGTTCAATTGACTTGCTGGATTGTTGAGGAGGAGAGGAAAGGCTCTGGCTGCAACGCTGCGCTTCAGACACGACCACCAACTCAATTTCCCGCCATTTTTTCGCTTCCTTTGCTGCTTTGTTCTTGTGGGGAGCTCGCACAGGGCACAGTTGGACCGTTCAGTCCATCACTGCCAGTACAAGTACCCGTATGGCTAGCATGCACACTCAAGACCCGGAAGCGGTGTAGCATCCAAGCGCCAGAATGGCTCGACGTCGCGTACTTGAGCGCCAAGCTGGACGAGGAGCGCATGTTCCACGACCGGTTTATCGAGATGCCCGAGCACTTTATGGAGATTTCAGCAATGCTGCTCGAGTGTGCGAGCGACGACATCCGCAACGCGTCGCAGCTGCGTGGCATCATTGAAGACATTTGCGAGATTCGGTACGCCAAAGCCCGACACGGCCTCAGCATCCTGCAGGACAACCCCGTCGCCACGCAAGTCAACAATCTCTCGCTGATGGAGATTAACTCGATTCGGCCGTTTTTCATCCATGCAATGAACGAGTTTCGGAATTTTGCGCAGACACTGCAAGCGACACGGATACGCGCCAACGAAGTCCCATAGTGCACGCGTGAGCCTTAGCCTTTGTGGTTGAGGACGTGTGGTGCATGCGGGGTTTTGTTGATGCAGTTTTCTTGCATCTCTCCTGTTTGATTTTGTTGTACTATCCCCCGAAAAAGTTCGTGAAGAATGGTAGTTCACTATGTTCCGGCACCCATGCCCCACCCTCTCCCCCTACAGTAGTTGTCAGACCTTGTGCACATACAAAATACACTGTCATTTGGAAGATTGAGCTCCGTCAGAGAAGGAGGGAGGCCGAAAAGAAGAAGTTTTGGCAATTTGGTTTCACAAAAAATTTGCCACTTTTCAATCAATTCATGCTTTCCACCACCAAAATCACGTCATTCCGCTCCACCCTCTACCCGCACACTGCACAAGTGCTTAGCATCACCTCCAAAACCCAACAAGGCGTGTTTGGTGCCGTTGATGGAGGGAAGGCCGGGCCCTGGGATCATGTGTGTTAACGTGAATGCTCGATGAGAGTACAGCGTCCCTCGGCCCGCCATCGCCGCCCAGATTGGTCTGAAGTACCGAAGAATGTTCAGGTACACTCGTGTGTGCAAGGCGGGCGGCAGGTTTGCAACTAAGCCGAGCTTTGGCTGAAAACTCGAGGTTACTGCCCAATTTTGCCCCCTTTTTCCAGCTCAATTTCAGTCCGGAGAGTCCCCCATTGCCTCTGAGATCGCCGCTTTTACCCTCAAAATGACGACAATGATGTCATCTACAGCTTATGCTCAAAAGGAACTGGGTAGGCGGGGGTTCAAGTACCGAGTCAAGTACGAAAAGTCGCGGTCGCCGAAAATGCGAGCAAAACAAGATTTTTGCTTCGCCAAACGGCATTTGCATTATGCCGCCAAGCAGTGGCTCAACGTCATTTCCTCAGGCGAAACTGCTGTCCGGGTATAGCAACGCATGTGTTCAAACATGTGCGCATGAAACCGGGCAGCTGCTCGACCACAGGGTCGTCCAGCCGCAAGTGAAGTGTGGAAGGGTGGCAAATTGACGATTGTCCAAAAATTTCTCGTTTCGCCGTGTCCCACTTTCGTGAGGTCGGAGACCGCATGAACTCGCTCCCCTATCTGTCCTTTCTCAATGATGAGTTGAAGTACACCCGTTGCACATCACCAGAGGGTAAAAACTTCGTATCCCATCAAACCAATGCGCCCTGGCACAAGAAAGAGGTTGTGACCAGGTGGTTGAAAAACCCCAAAGTCGACGTGCCCGACTAGCCTCCCAACTCCCCCGACCTGTATCATATCGCAAACTCATGTACCATGGTCAGGAAAGAAAACTACCAAGGTGCAGAGACGACGGACCAAGTCGTGGTTCGAGAGTGCTTCCGAAACGTGAGCGACAAAGTGCTCAGTCCAACACATTACATCCGCCTCATCAGCTCTATCTCCGAGAGCATCCATGCATTTTATGATGTGAGTCATGGTTATGTTTGTTATTAAAGTGGTTTGGTTGGATTGAAATGGGTGGAACGGGCGGTTATACCGCAAATTTTGAAAAAATACAGAAATTTTCAGATTTGTTTCTTCACAAAAATCGCAGTTTTTCTCGCCTCCTCCCTCACATGCACCTTGGAGGAGGCAAATTCTTGATAAAATAGTGTCAGCCACACAGCACCCATCTATTAACAAAGGAGCGGGCTCACGTGGAGGAGGGGAACATGGTGGAATGCCATTCTTCACGAACTTTTTCGGGGGATAGTATTATACAATGTTGTTGGTGACTACTATCCCGATCATTAAATTTCGACCCCCCCTCTTTTTTTCACTTTTTCGCCCTCCCTGGGACCTGTGTTGCTTTCCGTCTCGCCCGCGGAATGTTCATTCATGGTACAGTGTACCAGACACATTTTAGAAGTGAAGCAGCGGGCTGGGAGTTAAGATTCGAAGCGAGAACAGACAAAAATGAAAACTCAAAAAAACAGAAAAAGAGCGGCTTTTTTGCCCAATTTTCACAAAGCATTACATGGCACACAAACAACGTGTCGCAGCGCCTTCGCTCCACTTCAGTACTTGGTATAACCACCATTGGCATCTATCACAGCTTGAATGCGGCGCGGCATCGATGAAATGAGATCGCGGCAGACCTCTGGCGTGAGCACTTCTTCGTAGACCGCTTGGAAGCGTTCCCACAACGCGGCCTTGCTCTTGATCTCCCTCTCCTGGTAGATCTTGTTCTTGACCATGTTCCACGCATTTTCGATGGGGTTGAGGTCGGGAGAGTTCGCAGGCCAGTCCAGGACGGTGATCTGATTGGTTTCGAACCACTTCGCCACATCTTTTCTTTTGTGACAAGGGGCATTGTCATGCATGAAAATCATCTCGTTTTTGTTGTTCCACACGCGAATGCTTGCTAGCAACTCGCTCTCCAAAACTGAGAGGTAGGTGTCGCCGTTCATGACGTCGCCGACCTCGCAGAAAAGCGAAATTCCGAAACGAGAGATGGCGCCCCAAACATTGATATGGCCACCGCCGAACTTGACCGTGCCCTGCACGCATCGATCGGTCAACGTTTCGCCAACCAGACGCCATACACGACCACCGTTGTTGTTCCTGTAGAGATAGAGAGCAGTCTCGTCGGAGAAGACGACCCTCAGCCAGTCATCGACGGTCCAATGCTGATGAGCGAGTGCAAAGGCCAAGCGTCGCTCTTTGTGTGTCTCTTTCAAGAGGGCTTTTTTGACCTTCGCTCCGTTGACAAGTCCTGCACCATGCAGCACCCTTCTTATCGTGCATGGAGAGACACGAACTTTGGACAATGTGCGCATAGTGGCGGCCACTTCGGGTGCGGTGTCGGACTCATCGAGGAGGATCTGTGCTACAATGTTGTTGCGGTGAAATGACTTGAGCTTGCTGGGGCGACCGGGGCGGGGGCTGTCGCTCGTCGTCGCCCTTCCCGAGAAACGTTGGGTGATGCTGATCACTGTAGAACGTGGGAGGTGAAGCTGGGTGGCGATCTTGTTGTAGGAGAGGCCAGCATTTCGCAACGCGAGCACTTGACCGCGGACGACCTCCCTGGGCATCTTGTCCAGCACGGGCAGCGGTCTTTTTGGTGAAGTTGGACGCAGCCATACCGGGGGCTGTCTGGGAGCCACGCGGGACGTGGACTGACTGCGTGTGCGAGTCATGCGCACAAAAAGACTGAACCCAAACCAAAATTTGGGCGGGAAAAGTGAATTTTTTGAGTTTCCTTATATTTTTTATTTTGCTCGCTGCTGCTCTGATATGACTCACAACCCCCGCTCCCGGTGTTCATCAGACGTTCGGTACACCGTACCATGAATGAACATTCCGCGGGCGAGACGGAAAGCAACACAGGTCCCAGGGAGGGCGAAAAAGTGAAAAAAAGAGGGGGGGTCGAAATTTAATGATCGGGATAGTACTTCATCAATCCGACGCTGGACTCGAGCTCTTTCAATTGCATTTTCCCCTTGGCGATGAGCATTTTGATGGCTTGCTGTTTCAGCGTCAAGACGAATGGGGCAAATGTTTATGAGCGATGCATCCATCCAGGAGGCTTTCAACCCAAGACGCACGGCACTTACGGGATCCTTCTCGTTCTTAAAGTGCACAAACTCTTCCTTGACCCATTTGTGCATTTCGGATCGCTGCGGCTGAGGCAATTCTGTCCAACAATAACTTGTCAGCGACATTCTCTCGTCACGGCATGCCATCACTTGCGTTTCTGAGCAGCGTAGAGTACCTCGCACAGTCCGCATGGCGGTCTTGTACAGCGATAGAACTTGACGGCGATCGAGGAACTGTGTTTCGATGATGCATTCGAGTCAATGCAAAGCGTCATATTCATAGCATGGTGAGCGACCAGCGTCAATCCGGCCTCAGTTGGCTGAAAAGGAGAGACAAGGAAGGAGCAGGAGCGCCGAGCGTCCATCCCCTGCACGAGACACTCGGCTAAAAGGGCGCTGCTTTGGGCAGTTCTCACCTGCTTGAAATTGAGCGCGGATGGCGGAAGTCGTGGCGGCACTGGCGGAACAGCGCCCGATGCGACTGCGCGAACCAGCTGCGATACAAACATCCCTCTATTCTATTCTGCCCGATGATGGGGGGTGTGAGATAGAATAGAGTGAATGAGGAATAGTGAATCAATTGCTGTTCTGTCAATGCTCAGTCACTCAGCCAGTCGTATTTTTCATTCAATCTCAGACTCCAACCAAATAACACAAGCAAAAAACAGCCGATCCACGTTTTTGCTTGTTGTATTAAGGAACAGCCTCTCGCGTTAATTTGACGAGGAGTTTGGTGTTTGGGGACTGAGAGCGAGGAACAGTGTGAGAGAGAAGGCAGACAAAATGTCGTTCAGCAGCAGCGAGACGACGCGCAGCCGATTCGGTGGCGCAGGACGCGTAAGTCCCCCTCGATGATGATGATGATGATTGCTGCTGTTGCTTGTTTTGCGCCAAGTTCGATATGGGGGAGAATGGGGGGAGATGGTGTGTGCAGAGTGGACTACGGCTCGTATGAGACTGTTTGAGCCGCTCCTGCCATCGATGCCGTCAACCCGCAATGCCACTGCAGTACAACATTTCAAAAAGTACTTACAATTGATGGCCATTCGTACTTGCGCAACAGACGCGCGAAGTCGCACGCGACATTGACGACAAGCACAAGAGCTTCAATCTGAGCCATCCGAGCCATCCGAGCCATCCGAGCCCGCAGGAGCACCAGCCATGGCGAATCCCGTTCGGAGTCTTGTTCAAGCAACTCTTGGCATTGCGCTTGCTGGCAGCCATCTTCTCTAACATTTCCGATTGCGACGAGACGTTCAATTACTGGGAACCGGTAAAAAATGCAGAACTAAAAAGCAACCAACTCGCTCTGAGTTTGTGAGGACAAACATTGAAAAGCTACGTGTGTTGGGCTCACGGCTGCAACTGTGATTAGATGCACTACGTGATCTACGGCCATGGAATGCAAACTTGGGAGTACTCGCCAGAGTTTGCCATTCGCTCCTACGCGTACTTGTTGCCGCATGCCGTTGTCGTGAAGCTCGCTGCTCTTGTGCAAATCGGAACGAGCAAGGTAAGCTGCATATTTAGGTTGGCATGTAGTTCTCTGATGTGGTTGGTTCTACCAGCGGCTGTGTTGGTGGTCAAGGAGTTTTAGTGTTCTCAGTTTGCTCATCGATGCTTTGGTGCCTACTTTGGTCAGGTTGCTCTTTTCTACTATGTGCGTGTCGTGCTAGCCTTCTTGTGCGCCTTCTCGGAAGCTGCTTTCATTCACAGCGCGCAACTCCACTTGAATGTGACGATTGGTCGAGCGCTGCTGGCGTTTTTGCTTGGCTCCTACGGCATGTTCCTCGCGTCGACCGCCTTCTTGCCGAGTAGTTTCACCATGGTCTGCGTCATGTTTGCCATGGCGTGCTGGATGCGTGTTCAATCTCTTGAGGAGGTCGTGACTGGTGGACAACCCGCATCCAAGGGCTCTTTGCTGCACTCGGTTCGCTTCCACTCAATCTTGGGTCTCGTTTTTAGCATTGCGATTGGAGCCATTCTCGGTTGGCCCTTCTGCGGTGCAGTCGGTCTGCCAATGGCAATTGATTTGCTTCTGCTTCGAACGTCTCGTCGCCATTGGGTTTCGTTCATTGTCGCTGGATTTTTGGCGATTCTAGTTGTTTTGGTATGGTGGTGTTTGTGTGTGTGTTGGAGGGTATGATTTGGATTGTGGGCTGGGATACCCTTTTGAATGCTCGTTATCTGACTTTGCAATGCATTTTTGTGATTCGTTTTGCTTGTGGCGGCTGCAGTTGCCGACAGTGGCGATCGACTCGTACTTTTACGGCACGCCTGTGTTCGCTAGCCTGAACATTGTTTTGTACAATGTTTTCGGACAAGGCGGTCCCGATTTGTACGGCGTCGAGCCGCTCAGCTACTATTTGTTGAATGGCATTCTGAATACGAACGTTGCCTTTCTGCTGAGTTTTGTCGCTTTGCCTCTGGTAACGAGCTTACATTTTAAACTGGGATGCAGAGATGTGTGTGCGATTCTAACTCTCGAGCGATCGGTCGTTTGCTCCAGACAATGCTGCTCGCGATGGTTCCTGCGCTTCGTAATCGCGTGCGCCTGGCTGGTGGCCGGTCTTCGTCGACCTTGCTCATCTACCTCATGCCGCTCTATTTGTGGATGGCCATCTTCTTCACCCGTCCGCACAAGGAGGAGCGGTTTTTGTTTCCCGCCTACCCGCTTATTTACTTGGCCGGTGCAATCGTGCTAGAAGTTGTGGCTGCTTGGTCCTCTCTGCTGCCGCCTCTTGCTCGAGTGGTATGACGCACTGTGGTTTGATAGGATTGGGATGATGGCGTTATTGCTCACACAAGCGTTGTTTTCTTCTTTTTTGTTTTCTTTTTTTCTCTTTTTTTGTTGTTCTCTTTTTTTGTTCTCTTTTTTTCTCTTTTTTTTCTGGCCGCCCAGGCTCGCGTGCTAGTGCGACTTGCTCTCATTGTGGCATTTGCCTTGTCCGTTTCTCGAGGATTCATGCAGTACAAGAACTACCATGCGCCACTGGACGTGTACGGCCACTTGTCGCAAGTCCTCGCCGACAACGCCGATGCGGCTCCTCATTCGATCGCGGTCTGCGTCGGAAAGGAATGGTATCGCTTCCCGAGTCACTTCTTCCTTCCTGAAAAGTACGTTTAGCAGTGAGATGGAGATGCAGACGGAACTGAAATCAGCGTGTCAACTCAAATCCCATTCTTCAGCTCTCGCCTCGAGTTTGTTGCGTCAGAATTTCGGGCCCAGTTGCCGCAGCCATATAGCGCGCAGTACGGTACCAGCGGCGTTCCGCCAAACTTTAACGACATGAACCGCGAAGAGCCATCGCGTTATGTGAGTAGTGCCACTTGTTCTGCGACCTGCGCATAAGACTCACCTTTTGTGCACAATTTTTTTATGATTGCAGTTTGACATCAACAAGTGCGATTACTTGATCGATGTGGATACGGCTGCAGTGGCCCCTCGTGAACCCAGATATGCTTTGCAAACAGAGAAGTGGAAGGAAGTTTACTCTGTGCCGTTTTTGGACGCTGCGCAATCACCGAACGCGCTGTTTAGGGCCTTCTACGTCCCATTCCTTTCAGCGCAACATTGCACGTATGCCAAATATGTTGTTTTGCAGCGAGTGTGAGATTTCAATGTCGCGTTTGGCTGCTGCAATAACAAAGAGAATTTGTATTAAACAGCCCCTTCGTTGCTCGTTGCTTCGAGGAGTGAATGACATCACAATAACAACAACAACAACCACAAAAAAATTAGAATGAAAAAGAAAAAAAGTAGTAGAAGAAAGACCAGCTACAGTACCCGTAAGCCGAAAAGCAAGAATACCCAAGAGAAAATCACAAAAAAAAAAATCCAAAACACACAACGACAACAGTCGTTTCGCAAAATCACAACAATGAAGGGTACTTGGAACAATAACAACGTAACATGAACGGTAGAGGATTGGAATCAACAGCTGAATCCTGCGCATCACAATTCCAGCTCCCAAGAATCCAATTTATCGCGCGCCGCCTGGGCCTGCGCTCGCACCGGTTCGTTGGTAGCTGGTGGTGCTGCTTGAGGATGCACCCGACTTGCGACCAGGGGTGTTATTGTTGTTCTGGCCGTTGAAAGCGGCGCCAGTCTCAAACATGGAGGCCGTCGCCGCAACGCTCTTGCGCTTGTTCAGCGGCTCCTTGCCAGCGCTCGAGCTCGTGGTCGTCGTGCTAGAAGTGCTCGGTTTGCTGCTCGAGCTGGAGGTCGTGGACGTAGTGCGACTGGTGGAGCTCAGGCTGGACGTGCTGGAAGTGGTGGACGAAGCGGAACTGCCACTGGAAGGGTTCTTTGATTTGAACATGCCAAACAACTTGGCCAAAAATCCCTTCTTCTTTTTGCCAGACTTGGGAGCAGCGCCGTTGCCGTTGCCGTTGCTGCTGCTGCTGCCGCTGGTTGATGCAGCAGCTGTGCTCGAGCTGCCTCCAGACTTGATCTCCTTGCCAGTGTTTGTGCGGTTGAGCTTGACTTGGAGGAATTCAGGAACCGGCTCGTCTGGCTTGCCGGACGGAGATGCGCCAGCCTTTTTGGCGTCGGCGGCAGCAATAATCTTGTTGGTAGAGACTACCTGACCGGTAACTGTGGGTTTGACGCTCTCGCCCCGACCAGTGCGGACGGCATCGCCGTAGGTGGTCTTGCGCAATTCCACGCGATTGAATTCGGGCCTCGGAGCGAGTTCAGGACGCTCTGAAGGCTTGATGCGAGCGGGGATGTGGGAGGCGCGAGTGCTGGCCGGTGCCGTTGAAGCAGTGGAGTTTCTGACGGAGGTGGCAGAACTGTTGTTGCTGCCGCCAGACTTGTTGGCAGGCTGCTGCTGCTGAGTCTTTTTGATGCTGGGGTCTACAGCATTCAAATTCTTCTTGGCTCGCCCCACCAGCTTGGTGATGCGACTGGCAGTGCGGTCGCGATAGTTTTGTGCGCGTGCATCCACAGCCGCTGCATTGGCAGTATTGACACCAGGCGTGCTGACCGAGTTGCTCGTGCCAGTCGCCGTCTGCCCCGATTTCTTGAATCCAACCTTGTTTGAGCGACGAGCATCATCAAGGAACTTTTGGACCAAGTCGCTCTTGGTGATCTTGTCGGACATGGCCCAGAGTTTCTGCCAACCGACAACGAGCCAGTGAGCCAAAGCATGGAGATTGCAAGAGGTTGTCAAAAATACAACAACAACGATGACAAATGAACTGCTTACCTTGCAATACGTGTCAAGCTCACGCTGACGAATTCCGGCAATAGACTCGTTCACAAACACACGCTGTTGGGGCAAGTCGGGCAGGGTGCGCTTGTACGGTGCACGAGAACCAGCCTCGTCTGGGAAAGACTGGATCATGCGAACATGCAAATCGTAGAAATCAGCATAGGTGCGCTTGATTGTGTTGGACTGCGCAGTCTCGGTCAGCTTGACGGTCAGGTTGTACGACTAGATGGATCACAGTCACACCAAAAATAAGCCGAGGGAAAGCCACAAACAAAATTGAGTAATCGATCCAAACGCCAACCCACAACCACAGCAACAAAAAAAAATCAGCCAACATACATATTGGTCATTGCCCTCGGCGTCGTAGCTCAGCACACGGACGGGGAAGTGCTGCTGGTCCTTTTGGGCCTGTCGCGTGTAGGCAGACATCATCGAAGATACGCCTGGCGCCGCCTTTGGCTGGATGGTCGTGCCGGGTCGCTTGTAGCTCGAGTCGATGGTCGAGGTCATGCGACGGGTGGTCGATGGCGAATTGTCGTTGGAGATGGTGCTTGCCGGCCTGTCGTTGCCTTGAGCGAGGGGTGACGACGGCTTGCGGAGGGCAGCTGGGGAGGAGGAGTTTGAGCTGGTGGAGCCAGCACGTCCTCGGTTGACAGCGTGCTCGGCCACTGAGATGGGTCGGGATGCACCGCCGGCGCTGGCAGGCGGTGTGCCCGAGAAGGAGTTGCGCGTGGAGCTCGTTGGAGACTCGCTGGTCGTGGCAGCAGCAATGCTCGCTCGCTTGGCCTGCTCCTCCTTTTCGCGCTCGCGCTCCTTTTCCTTCTCCTTCTCCTTGATTTCCTTCTTTTCCTCCTTTTCCTTGCGCTCCTTGTCCTTCTTCTCCTCCTTTTCCAGACGCTCCTTTTCCTTCTTGGCCTCCTTGTCCTTCTTTTTGTTTTCCTTCTCGCGCTCCTTCTCCTTTCGCTTCTCCTCCTTGTCGGCGTCAGAGGAGCTCTTCTCATCCTCCTCGGGGGCATCGGGTCCGTCGTCGGAAGACTCGATGGGAGCAGCGGCAAGAGCGGTGGAAATGCCTTGGGCAAGCCAGATTTCTTGTTGGCGGCTGATAAAGTCCTTGGTCATCTCGACCAGTTCGTCAATCCAGGTTTGCCGAACGTCGGCAGAGGCAGCCACGAGCGTGAACTTGGTCTTGCCGAGATGGATGATTTCAAACATGCGCGCAGCGACATCCGGAGCGGCAGAGGCGGCCGCCTCGGGACTGTCGTTCACGATGCAGCTGTCGAACGGAATGGCGGCATGGAACTTGCCATTCTTGGTGGTGAGGAGCACAACGTCGTTGAACAGGAAGGCGATTCGGTCCTCCTTTTTACCGGTGACATCCTTCACCTCATCCTCGCGCAGCAGCTTGCGCGATGGAGTGATGAGGGCAAAGTCGTCGTTCTTGAGCTTGCCTTGGATTTCAATCATGCGGTTGGTGCGCTCGGCGGCCTTGTTGCCTTCGTTGACGATGGTCACAATCGTCTCGAGCTTGTTGAGAGCCTGCGTGAGGAACTGGAAGTCCTTGTGGTTCTCTTCAGTGTGCTTGATGATGGCCTTGATCAGCAGGGGATACTTGCAAATGCGCTGCACGGGCTTGATCAGGAACGAGTTGAGATTGAGCATGCGGCACTCGGGACTGCGCTCGAGCTTGTCAAGGAGCGCCGATGCCTTCTTGTTCTTGCGCAACTTGTCGATATGAACGAGCGCGTGCTCAAAGTTGCCGCAGTACAGCGTGTACATTCGGAAAAAGTCGGCCATGAGCAGATAGACGTCACCAACGTGATCCACGACGACGCTCTGCTTCCGCCGCTCGTCCAAGCAGCTGGCAAGCTCCTCTGCCAGCGGAAGGAGCTGCTCAATGTTCGAAAAGAGAATGTTAAGATCGGTCTTGTTGACAACGTCGCTGTCGCGCAGGGGTTTGAGGAACTGGTCGAGAATGACGTGAAGATCGCGCGCGTAGCCGCGCTCAGAGGTGAGGCATTCGAAAATGGCCTCCTGGCGGTTGCACTCGCGCTTGGACAGCGCGTTGCGAATGTCGGCGCCGCCGGGCGCACCATCATACCAACGCTCCTCCTCCTTGGCCGATTGTCCGGGCATCTGCACGGCAACAATGGTAATCTGAGCAGAGGGCGATGCGCTCGGTGGCGGCGTCTCGGGCGCGGCTGCCGCGGGAACGCTCGCGCCGGCAAAGGTTGATTTCGTTGCGGGCGCAACATCTTTCGTCATGGCCAGCGTTTCCTTGATGGCAGAGCGGTACGCTTCGGACGCTGCTGGATCGATGAGGATTTCTTCGTAAATCTCCTCCTCGTCGTCAAACTCGTCGTCGAATTCGCGAGAGCTGTGAACAGCAAGTGGCAACGGGGAATTGAGTGTTGAGACATGGGGCGGTGGATGCGAGCTTTCACACACAACGGACAATGGGGGCAGACAAAACGTACTCTTGCGTCGCGGAATACAAGTCCTCGTCAGCGCCGCCCGCAGAAATGTCTTCAGTGTAGTTCAAAGGAAAGAAGCCTACCCGATAACAGTGATGAGGTGAGTGTTGGCGATGACTTCTGAGAGGATGAGTCAGGTGTGAATCGTCCGTCCGTCTTACCGACAGCCTCGCCAATCTGTCCCAGCCACCATCCAGGCGACTCTTCGCTGAGCACGGTGATGATGGTGCCTTCTGGGAAGCTGAGCTCGTCATCCTATTTTTTGCAATGGAATCGAAATCATTGTCAACACAACAAATAAAAAAGCGTGTTCATAAACAAAACAAAACAGAAAACTCGATACGAAACACAATAACAACAAAAACCCAATCATATAACAACAACAACACCAAACAACAACAGCTCATCAAAGTGTCTACTCTTTGTCTGGAAACTCCGAGCGTGAGAGCTGATTGTGAGACGTGTGTGTGCTTGGGTGAAGTTGATCACGAACAGAAAAGGATCACCATTTTCATCACATTGGAACACAACGCAAAAAAAAAAAAAAAAAAAAAAAAAAAAAAAAAGCGGTTTTAAAAAATGCCAAAAATGCGGTTGTTTCGTTTTCTGTTGCATTGCTGAAACAGAAGCGGCGCAACAAGGGAAAGGTGAGGGGTGAACGAGTGACGACTTCTGGTGGCAGGAAAACCACACGACAGAAGGTGCAATCGCATGCCAATCGTGACCTCGACCCTACCCCCCGACAGCGAAACGTCCCATCCACAAAAAAAAAAAAAAAAAAAAAAAAAAAAGCAACAACACCGAAAAAAAAAAGATCAAAACCGCCAACCACGGAAAACGGCCAAGTCGAAAGGGAGAGAGCACAGAGAGGCATGCAAAGGAGCAAGAAGACAACGCAGGGACAGTTGGCACGTTGGCACCTGGGACACGACGCTGCTCAGTCAAACCATCAACCCCTAAAAATAAAAATAAAAATAAAAATAAAAATAAAAATAAAAATAAAAATAAAAATAAAAATAAAAATAAAAATACAATGATAAACACTCATTTCGGATTGAATCGCGCTGCACTGTCGCCGACCACCCACCCCCCTCCAGCCAATCCAGAGCGCAGTGTGTCGCACAGAGGCAGGTGATTCGAGAGCGAGAATGAGAAGAAAAGAACGAGGCGGACAACAATGAAAAGAAAGTCGAAACAGAAAGTGATCCATGCGAAAAAAAAAAAAAAAAAAAAAAAAAAAAAAAAGACCGTCCAAAAGTGTTCAACAACACTCACTCACACAACTCGCCCTTCACACACACGCTCTCAAACTCAATCGATACGATGGCAGCAATGGGGGAAATGAGAGGATGAGCAAGAAGCGGTTTGGCTGGGTTACCTTGACAGCCGTGTACTCCCACAGCGCACGCATCGTCTTGTCAGACGTGCGCTGAATGCTGTTGGTGTCTGTCATTCAGAAACACGGAAAACGAGAACAAAAAAAAAAAAAAAAAAAAAAAGCAGAGTGCAACGCTCTTCTTTGCGACAGTGCTGGTTTGAACGACCCATCAAGACAGATGAGCAAGTCTTGTAAACGAGATGCACAAAACAAAAGACCAGTTTAATAAATGTTGCACAGCAATCGAAAAAAAAAATACAACACATCGCTTTCATCATGCGACAAGTCGACGCAACTGAGCCGCGCAGCTGGCAACTTTGGGGGTTGGACTGGACTGCAGCTTGGTGGCAAACGCGGCGATGGCGGCGTTCTTGCGACTTCCGGCATCCCACAGACTCAGCTACCAATGCAAACAAAAAAAAACGACGGAATGAGTGACCATTGAACCATTTTCGTCGTTGCTCGTCATTACGAAACGTACCAAGGTGCCAATGGCAACGCACGCGCGGAATTGGGTCTCGTCGTCCAAATCGGCGAGAATCAACTAAAATCGAAAAAGAAAAGGGGAATCAGCTTGAAATGCAACATTCAATGATCACATTCTCCATGCAAAGCTCCGTTACCTTGCTCAGATGCGAAAACACCGTAGACTCGGCAACCTTGTCGCGCGTGGTGCCAAACAGAACGGCATAATTCAGCAAAACGGTCGCGAGAGCAAGAAGCGTGTTCTTGTTTTTGCTGGCCAGGCAGCCGGTGATGGCCTGGAGCACAGTGCTTCGGTTGGCGTTCATCATCACGCGGCCAGGCTCGAGCGAGAATGCGTTGGCAAAGAAGCGCAAGGACAGCATGCGGTTGGCTTCCGGTCCTTCCAGGTTGCTAAAGTCTGCCGCGTCGATCAGGCTCAGAAGAATTTCCTTGCCGTGTCCCGCAGTCTCGGCAAAGTGCCGCACGCCCGATGGATGCAGCACCACGAGGCGGATGAGATCCAGCACTGGCCACCACAACAACGCAAACAAGGGACGGTGTGAATAACAGCAACAACAACAAATCTTGACCCAAAAAAAAACCAACATCGCGAATCAAAGCTCACCTGGGAAGAGGGATGCCTCGGGCCAGGCCATAATCTTGTTCAAGAGAACAAAGACGCTGGGGGAAATCTCGCTCGAGTGATACTTGGCCGTGTTCTCCAGGGTGCGAGCGAGCTCGTCAATCTCGGCAAGATCGGCGGCTGAAAGCTTGTAAAACCCAGATGGTAGGGCATCGTTCAGCTCGCGAAGCTTTTTGGAGATGGCCGCGTAGTTGAACGCAGCAACATTGATGAACATGAGCTGCGGGAAGTAGCCGGTCGATGCAGGAGCGCTGGAGCTGGACGAACCGGCGCCAGTGAAAGGATCCGTGTTATTGGCACCAACAGGGGTCGAATACTGGCCGGGACCAGAAACAAAGCTGTTGCCCCCAGTGTACGGATCCGGGTTGTTGCCATAATTCTGCGTTGGGGCAGCGCGGTTTCCAGGAACGTAGCGGTTGCCGCCTGTTGCCATTCAATCGTCGAGGTTGTTTACAATGTGTGAGCGAAAACAAAAAAAAACGGGTCGAAAAGACAAAAAGCACAAACGAGGAGGAAACTACAGGGTAAAAGAAGAAAGTGTGCAGATGGATTACCAGTGAATGGATCAGCGTAACCGGCATCGTCGGTACCGAGAGAGACGCCCTTGGTGTTGTCCATAATGAACTTGGCCACTTGATCAAGGAAGAACTGGTCAAGCTCGTTCTCATGAACAAACCGCTGCGCCGCCATCCAGGGATTTTCTGTGTCGGGGAGTGTGCTCAACTCATCAGTCCCCAGAGTACCCAGAACACCAACAACAAACAACTCGACAGACCCAAAAGAACCACTCACCCGCAGTGTTGTAGCCCAGCTTTTTGGCGGGCTTGCCTTCCTCAATCACAATGTTAAACACATAGTCGTATTCTTTGCCGTTCAACAGCTGTTTGCGACTAGAGCCGACTGCATCCACCACGTCGCCAACCTTGGTCCACTCGCCCTTGGCCGCGCTCCACTGTTTTCGCACAGTTGAGTCAGCAACAAAGACTATTCGACGAAACCACACGACAAGCCCCTCACACCTGCAGTCCCACACATACCTGGTAAGCCTCGACAGTGTTGTTGTTGCGCACAATCTTGTTCTGTCCATCCTTGGTTCCAGGGACACTCAGCCCCTCAAGACCAGGGAGCTTGTTCTTGTCAATGTCACCAATTTGTTGGCTGCTCGCCGCGCAAAAACTCCCGTGTGAGCAAAACTTCCTCGTTAAAAAACCCAGTGAGAGGCAACACATTCAAAGAGAGCTCTCATACCTGGGAATCGACTGCGCAGCAACCTGATCGTCAAAATCGCGCAAGGCATCGTCGCTCGCGACTCGGCTCTGGTCTGCAGTGAAGATGCGCGCAGCACCGTCGCTCGAGCCAACAACAATGTCGTTGTTGGGCAACGCGGCCACGGCCCAGATGGTTGGGACGGGCAGGTTGATTGTTTGCACACAGGCACCATCTGAAGGACAGAAAGGAGATTGAGTCTTAATGCATCTCGGACTCTGCCACAAAAGACAGGAAACACGCACCATTCCACAGTTTGACGCAGCGATCTTCGCCCGACGAGACGAAAGCGCCATTGGGAAGCGCGGCTACGCTGTACACAAACGACGTGTGGCCAAACAGCTCTTGCAGCGGCTCGCCGGACATTGTCCAGATGCGAACAGTGCTGTCGTTGCTGCACGAGACAAAGCCAGCACCGCCGGTCAGCAGAGCCAGTCCTCGGACGCAGTCACGGTGGCCACGGATGGTTTTGACGGCAGAGCCATCGCGCCACACGCGAATGGTCTTGTCCGCCGAGCCGGTCAGAATGTCACCGTCCGGCAAGCCAAGCACGGCCCATACGGCCTGCTCGTGGCCAGAGAGCACGCTCAGGCACTCGCCGCCATCCCAGACACGGACGTTTCTGTTGTTGGAGTGAGCAAGACAGAAGACAGTGTCAGCACAAACCTGTGAAATCGAAAAAGCGAATCTGGCTGTGGCACACGTACTTGTCCCAGGATCCAGTGACGAGCAGCCCAGCAGCGGTTTCGCCGATCGCCGAGACAGTGTCGGTGTGGCCTGCGAGTGTGACCAGGGGTTGGTCCAGCGCGTCGGGAAGGAAGACATTGGCAGTCCTGTCGTTGGACGCGGTGACGATCGTTCCTGACACACAAAACCATGACAACATGAAGTCAATCGCGCTCTGGTTTTTCACTGACAGAGCTGCAAGCGAAAACCTCCATCATGGACGCACCTTGTGGAAACGCAGGGGTTGGCTTGGTGATGTACACGGCGACAATAAAGTTGGAATGGTGACCAGCAACGACTGTGCAGTCTGCGTCAGCATACGGCGGGCGCCAAACGCGCGCCGAGCGATCTCGCGAGCCAGTGACAATCACGCCCGACTCCTTGCATGTGGCAATCGAGCGCACCTGTTGATGATTGGCGTTTGCAAGCCAGACACGCGCCAGTGAGCTTCACTGAGAGTGTTTCGTAATGCAAACTCCATACAAAGCAAAATCTTCAATGTTTCGAGATCTCGGCTCAAACGTTCGCGCGCAACCTGCAACGGTCTTCCCCCCCCCCTCTGGTCGCCCAAACTCAATCGCCTCTCAACCAATGCAGATCACGGGACACGCACACACACACAAAACTCTCTGTGCATTCTGAAGCAGCAGAGCACAGATTTGCTCTCAATCGGTTTTTGATGACCAATCTCGCCAGTCATCGCACCCATCCGACTCGACCACTTCTGTGGTAAATCGATAGATGGATGACTCGTGCTGCAGTGTTGGAAAAACGTACGTCTTGCTCGTGGCCGAGGAGCGTCTTGGACAGAGTGTAAGTCATTCGTTCAATCTGCAAAACACGGATGGAAAAGGACTAGTCTTCCTATTGTATTCATCCATTCAACCAAGTCAAAAACGCGCGCTTCGCTCAGCTTGAATAATAAATCAATAATCCGAACATGCGGCGTGGAGTTGGTCTGGCGGGACTGCAAAAGCAAAAGCAGCAACGAGTAAACAGGGCGTTTGAAATTGCATTGAGACCATGGAGCAAACACACGCTCAACCTGACCCGTGCCTCCTCCCGGGTTGGTCACTCGGGATTGTGGTTTGGTTTTTGCATTTAGGAACAATTCGTCTCCAAGGGCAATGAGCTCGAGCAGATGCAGCTGGCACAGGTACCCGTTTGAAGCGTCTCGTTCTCGGCTCCGACTCGTCGTTGTTGCCGTAGCCTCCTCGTCCCTCACCCTGCGTCGCGGTGCGTGCTTCTTGGTGCAGATCACACAACAACTGGAAGTATTCAAGTCCAACTTGGAGGAGTTTGCCACAAAGTACGCCAAGCAGATTCGCAAAAACCCAACCTTCCGTCAGCAGTTCCAAGTCAGTGTCCCAAATCTCGGGCTCGTTGGTTTGCTGAGGGTGATGAGGGTTGATTTGAGTGAATGCATCAAGGTCAAAGTGCATTGAAGCGCGTGACTACTTTTGTTGGCACTGACAGTCGTTTGGCGCTTGTAGGTGATGTGCGGCACCATTGGCGTCGACCCTCTGGCATCCACCAAAGGCTTTTGGTCCGAGTTGCTTGGCGTTGGAGACTTTTACTACGAGCTATCAGTGCAGGTAATCCTGTTGGTGTTGCTTGCGATCATGGAATCGTGTTCAAGCCAATCTTTTGTCCTAAACGTATTTTCCTCCACCCAGGTTGTGGAAGTTTGCCTTGCTACCCGAGCAAGCAACGGCGGCTTTATCACTATGCAAGAGTTGATGACTCGGCTGACCAAGAGGCGAGGCGCAAAGGCACAAGCCATCAGCGAGTACGAGCAGATTTTGAGTTTGTGTCTTTCGCTCGCGCGCAGCGCAGGTCTTTGTTTGTGTTTGCACTCAACACACACTCTGACATGCTTGTGTGCGTGCAACTCTTCTTTTTGACCGTTCCATCAGAGACGACATTGAGCGAGCTATCAAAAAGTTGAAAACACTGGGTCGCGGATTTGACATCCTGGTTGTCGGAAAGCAACGGCTAGTGCGCTCAGTCCCGACCGAGTTGAATGCGGATCAGACTGTTGTGCTTGCAGCCGCTCAGGTAGTGCTCTATCGTGCGATTGGATTTGCGTTTCATGAATGCCTGGGGTTCTTTTCCCACTTCCCTCACTGTGGTGCTGGTTTTGTCTCTTAAAGACCCTTGGCTATGTAACAGAGAGCTCTCTTGTCAGCACTCATGGCTGGAGCGCAGAACGCATTTCCGCAGCATTGGTAGGAACGGTGGTTTCCCAAAGTTGCCTCAGCTTCTCAATTCGCGCTGACTCTCGTGTTCTGTTTGTCAAACTTGATTGTACTAGAATCAACTTCTTCGTGAAGGCATCGTTTGGGTAGACGATCAAGGCTCGGAGCGATCGTACTGGCCGCTGTCATTGCAGCAAACAAGCGGCTGAAGCGTGTTGTCAACGAAACCATTAAAAACGAGCAACATGTCCTTTTCCAATTTCGCCACTATTCACTGAATGTTTCATCCCATTCATGTCCTGTCATTCTTGACTTCTTTTTTTTTTCGAATCCTCACAAATTTGGACTTGATTCCATTTTAAAATTTCAATCTTTGGCATTATTTTTGTTTTAGTTTTGTATTGTTTTCGCATTGGCAGGTTTTGAATGGAAAGCACGTTTTGAATGGAAAGCACCGGCGCGAGACGACCCGCCGCCGATGGGACGCCTGTGACCATTGTGACCACACCGGCGGCCTCAAGCATGCTCATCGCACCGGCGGCAGCGACAGTGGCAGCAGTGGCAGCAGTGGCAGCAGTGGCGGCAGCGAGATGCAACAGGGCGCTCGGGCTGCCGACCCGTCCCCAAAGCGCAAGCTCGCTCGACTCAGTAGCTTCACACCAGTGTCGCCCGCAGAGCTCGCAGACACGCTCGGAGTCTCGCCAGAGGCGGTCGTCCAAGCGCTGGCTTCACAGTCTGGCGCGCTCTCCAGCTCCAGTTTGGCTCTGACTCCCCCTCCAGTGACAGCGGCTCAAGCAGCCCATGCAGCTCATGCAGCTCATGCAGCGCAAGCCGTTGCTGCTGCAGCTCCAGGCGTAACAGTCAAAGCTGGAGCAGAAGCAGCAGAGCGCAGTAGGCCACCAGAAGCTAAATCAGCGCCCAGCTCCAGCTGGACGGCAACAACCTCCGACACGCAGGGCCCAGCTGGTGGCAGTGCAGACATGCGCCATGGCGGGTACGATACGGACGACAGCGACGATGGAAATGCGTACGATCCGTCCGTCTTCCTGCCCGATGCCACGGCTGCAGCAAGTGCATCGCAGCCTCGCCGGAAACGCCGCTCCCGTCGCAATTCCTCACAGACTGGAGACGACACAAGTAGCGCGCACAAATCCTCGAGTCGCCGACGACGAGACAGCGAGTCTTCCTCAAAGCAAGAGAGCGGCGTTGCTGAAGCCGACCCAGCCCACCCGGCAGCAAGCCGCCAACAGTCTGGCGGCAAGGCGCCAAGAGCCAATCCTGCACGAAGCTTCCATCGATACATGTCCACGCCGCTTGGAACGAGTCATTCGGCAACCACAGAAGGAGAGCCAGGAGGGCCCACCCGCGATGCTGCTCGCCGCGTAACAAGCGATGGTGCACTCAAGTTGAAGGCCCAGAGTTTCCCTGCCTATTCCGAGGCGGCCAACACCCTTGTGCATGGTGATGGCGCAGCGACGCTTATGGGCGCCTCGCTCGTCACATTGGTCGATTCGGAACTTGGCATGGCCGATGCTCGCGATCAGGAAAGTAGCGGCTCGGTCCAAACGATCGATTCGACGGGCGACTCATTACTCCTGCTGCCAAACCAGAGGGATGAAGCGCTCGCCGAACACAGCGATGCCGATCTCGCAGAGGACGACGAGGACGACGATGATGGATCGCTGCTTTCGAGTGGAGCAACCGACGATGAAGGCAACGAGCAGTCCGACGAGTTCGATTTGCAACCAGACGGTGCCGACGCCGGATCGGATGAGGAAGACATTTCCACGCGCTTCATGCGCTACTTGAACACACGAGTAGATTCCGACACCATTTTGCTCGAAACAAATCTGGACGATCTGGACGATGTCCTGTCGCAACCAAGCGAGCCCGCCGCAAGCGACAATGCCGCGGCTGAAACGGAAGGCCCATCGCCCCGTGGCTTTACCCGCTCGCACAGTCGGAGAATATCCTCTCGTCGGCCAAACTTTTCCGCGGCCAGCCACCTCGAGCGCTCCGGCTCTGTTGGAAGCGGCCTTGAGTTTGAGGCTGGCGGTCGACGCGGCTCGGCGTCTTCCGTTCAGAGCTCCGACTCTAGCTCGTCGACTGGCATTGCTGCGCCGCCTGGATTGTCGCGCCAGTCGTCCACAATCTCTGCCGACTCGCTCACACCACCAGACCCGTCCAGTGGGCGCAGTTCAGAAACGTCCAGCATGATGGACGAGGAAGACCGCGAGGTCACGCGCCAGTTTGTTCGGCGTCTGAGTGTGAAATCTAGCAAATTCAACGCACCCAACTTCACCCGGCGCTGGCTGGATAGTCCAACTGGCTCCATGGCCGACAAGCTGGACGAAAATGAGGATGCCTCTGGGCATTCCTTGGGCGTCACTGCCAGCCCATCCTTTTCTCGCGTGCCGTCGCAATTGGAGCTCGACGGCATCCCGCAGTCCTTCCGGCGAGATACATCTTCTGTAAGAATGCGTTGGTGTCCGTTGTGTTGAGTGTTCTCCCTCTCCTCCAACGATTTTTCCATTCACCACCCCATTTGTTTGCTGACAATCCCACCGATACAGGCTGACGCCAAGGTCGCAAGCTACCAACAGAAATCGCGCCTTATGAAGTTTTTCGGCGAAGGCATGAACCATTTAGATCCCAAAACGAGCCTAACCATGCCGATTGTATGGGACGATTTGCTGAGCTTGTTGGAATCGCGCTTTTCCTCTCTGCCTGTGCTTATTTTTTTCCCTCTTTGATGATGACGCTGCTGCTTTTTTTTTCCAGGAAACTTGCCTGCAACTCATGGTCAAGGGTGCCAATATGCTCAAGTACACAAGCACGGCGGGCTCGCCGCATCACCGCCTGTTTCGACTGGACCCAAGCAACATGATCATCCTGTGGTACAAGATTTTGGGCAAAGACACGTTTCCCAAGGCCATTCACATCAACAGCATCAAAGAACTGAGGCGCGGGCAGCGCACCAAGCCGTTCGAGAAGGATCCTTGGCGAGATTTGGAAGGGCAGTCGTTTTCGCTCATCTACGGCGAATGGCAGACGCTCGATCTGATTTGCGACTCTCTCGAAGACTACCATACATGGACACGCGGCTTGGAAGCGCTGATTTACTCGACACAGTACCACAAGGAGGATGGCGCCGTGAGTCAGCTTCGCTTGGAATGGCTCGTTGCTTGCCCAACCAGCGCCGAAGGCGTTCTACCTGTCAAGAAGGCCATCACCCTTGTCGAGCGTCTGAGTAACCAGCGCCGAAAACACATGAAGCCCAGCGTCTTGGAGCAAACGATTGGAGCCACGCCCACGGTCACCTTTGACCAATTTGTGTCGCTGTACACGGCCCTGACGCGTCGCCCAGAAATCCTCAAAATGTTCGAGGACCACTGCGCTCGAGACGAGCTCGGACTTGGCTTGTACATGGACGCCGAGTCGTTCTACAAGTTTCTCGTCGAAATCCAGTGCGAAACGGAGTTTTCGATTGACGATGCTCGCACGCTCATTCAAAAGTTCTCTGGCAACGGCAACCGGACCCAGCTTGACATTGTCGGTTTTACGTCGTTCCTCCATAGCGACGACAATAGCCTGTTTGACAAGGTGCAACGCTCAGTGTGCCAAGATATGACGCTGCCTCTCTCGCAGTACTTTATTGCCAGTTCGCACAACACGTATCTGCTCGGCGACCAGCTCAAAGGAGAATCCAGTGTCGAGGCGTACATTCGCGCGCTTGTTTCCAACTGTCGCTGCGTTGAGCGTGAGTATAAGTCGTTGTTGGGGTGTTTTTAATTGTGTTGTGGCTTTGCACTCATTGACATGCGTTTCTCTCTCTATCTCTACTCTGGGGATTTACTGCACTCAGTTGACTGCTGGGACGGCTCTGATGGAGATCCAATCATTACGCATGGCCACACTCTCACAACCAAGATCAAGTTTCGCGACGTCATTATTGCCATCAACGAGTATGCTTTCAAGACATCCCCGTACCCCGTCATTCTCTCGCTGGAAAACCATTGCTCCAAAGACCAGCAAGAAACCATGGTGCAGATCATGCGCGACGTTTTCCAAGCTCGGCTCGTCACCGAAACCTTGTTCCCCGTCGATCCCGAGGACCTTGCGAACGTCGCGTTGCCTTCCCCCGAGCAGCTCAAGTACCGGATTTTGGTTAAAGCGCGTGTCTCGTTAAACCTCAAATCACGCCCAAGCTTGGCTTCGCTTGCAGGGACCTCCACGATTCGGCTCCGCACGAATAGCAACGCGTCTAACGTCGGCAGTTTGTCCAGCATGCCGCCAGCATGGGGTGCAAGCACCACTTCGCTCCTCGTTCCTTCTCTCAGCAGTGCCTCCTTGACTGTGCCAGGCTCTCCCAAGCCTTCGAGATCCAGCAGTAAGTTATCTTTTCAGGAGATTGTTCCAAGTTCGGCAAATAGAGAAAAAACGCATTATTTTTGGGATTGACTTTGTTTTGTTTGCTCTTGTATTGTCTTGTTCCATCGCAGGCATCAGCATGGAAGTGCTGCCCAGCTCGCCTGCAGCGGCTTCTGCGAGTTCTGCTGGCTCTGCTGGTTCTGCTGTCTCTACTGGTTCTGCACCACCACCCTTCTTATCTTCGACCGCTTCCTCGATGAATCTCAACGGCGACTCGCTTGTAGAGGAAGGCACGGCGGCAGAGGAGGTGAAAGCCATTCAACCGTTGGCCGATCTGGCCGTGTATTGCCAAGGCGTCTCCTTTGTCTCGTTCGTGCACAGTCGGGAAAATCACACCAACTTTATGCAGTCGTCGTTTGGCGAAACCAAAGCCAAGAAGATTTGCGTCAGCCAGGCCGTGTCCTTCGTCTCTCACAACCGAGCACGCCTGAGCCGCGTCTACCCATCTGGATCACGCTTCAACTCGAGCAACTTTGATCCTCAGTTGTTTTGGAACTGCGGCATCCAAATGGTTGCGCTCAACTACCAAACCAACGACGCAGCCATGTTTGTCAACCGCGGCATGTTTAGCCGGAACGGCGGGTGCGGCATGATTCTCAAGCCCATCAACATGCGCTCGCCCGAGCTTTCGTTCGACCCTCAGCAAAAGACTGGTCTCTACGCCGAGCAGACTCCCTCCTTCCTCTCAATCAATGTCATTGCAGGCTTGCATCTCAGCGATGGCAAAAACCGATCCCGGCTCCCCGACATTGCCACGTCCATCTCCAGCTCTGTCGTTGTCGAAATTCGCATTTCTGGCGTGAATCGGGACACTGGTTCGCAGCGCACTTCGGCTGTTCGTGGGAACACGTTTGATCCGGAGTGGAATCAGCGGTAAGTGCAGTGTTCCTTTAGTTTTTTTTTTTTTTTTTTTCTTGTTTGGGCATCAATGAGGTCCATTTCACTCATTTTTCGGTACTTGATCCTTTGTTGGTGGCTTGCTCTTTTCTTGGTCAGACTGGACTTTCAAGTTGTCGCTCCCGAGCTGGCGACGGTTGGATTTTTCGTTTGGGAAGAGCACGGACGGTCGACGCGGTTGCTTGGGCATGAGGTTGTGCCTTTTGTTGCCCTCAAGCCTGGCTACCGGTAAGGCGTCTTTTGTCTGATTTTCGGGCTCGATTTTCAGTTGGCGATGTGAGAATGCTAACGCGCTGTCGTTGTTTGCCTTGTCTGCATGTAGCCATATTCGCCTTCGAACGCACTATCACGAGCTGCTGCCTTTCAGCTGCTTGTATGTGCATTCGTCCTTCAGCGCTCTGACCAACAAGGTTGTTTCCATGCGTGGCAGTGTCCATCGACCCGACTCCAAGCAGCAGAAAAAGTGGGGCGGCGTTGGCCGCCGATCGAATGAAGCTGTTCAACTTTAAGCAGTTCTCTTTGTCGAAGGCTAATCACTCGCCAGCATTCGTGTTCCTAGTTCCCCTTTCTTTGTTAATTATTATTATTGTTAGTATTTGTTCGCTGTGCTTGTTCCTCCACAATAATGCCATTTCTCAGCCTCCACCATTGATTACAGTTTGATCGCGCGTCCCCACCCCCCTCCCACCATGCATGCCATCGAGCACGCATCCTTTGAGGAAGCTTTTGCATGTGTATTGACCTTTCGTTCTCGACATCCGCTCAATGCCTCACTCTTTACTCTTTGAGGATTTTAGCAGAGTCAAGCCAGTCTTTGTTTGAATTAGGTTTTCTATTTTTTTTTTTTTTTTTTTTTGTGGTCGCCTTTTGCCCATTCCCAAACCCCGCTTCTCTTGGTCGTCACTTCCGCGAAAATGGCTTCGACCGTCTCTACTAGCATGGATCTGGCAGGAGCCCAGCCATCATCAATGCCCAGCAGCGGCAGCGTGGCTGCTGATCATGTTGGCCAGCCAACCGCACTGCGCCGCCCGGGCGACGACCTGTCCAAGCCAATGCCAGGCCAGCGCGCCGGCACCGCCGACCACTCTGGCACGATCAATGTCGCAGCCGTCAGTGGCTCCAAGAAGGCCCGGTCGCCACTCGACCGACTCAAAAAGATGTAACCAATGCTCCAAACATAGCAACCGCTTTGATGTTTGTTTCCTGTTGTTGTTCTACTTTCTGTCGTCTCCCCCCCTCTGTCAACATCTGCAAATACAAACCCACCTCCATGTCATTGAATACCAAGCAAGTCGCCTTTGTACACTGTGTTCCAAACCCGAACAACAAAGCGTAACAGATCTCTTTTGTTGGCAACTGACACACAAAAAAAAACCGAGTCATCGATTTGTCGTTATTTTTGGTCGAAAAAACAAAAACACCAAAACCGCACAACTGCGGGATTTGGTGCTGGCCGACTCCCTCCACCTCAGACATGACACGCACTGAGTGTCAGAGTCGCTTGAATAGCAACAGTTGTACAACAACAGCAAGTTTTTTTAAAAAAAAAAAGGTGGAAGAGAACCTTGTTGGCTTTGAAAAAAAAAAACAAAGAAAAACGACCAACTGTATTTTGTTCAATCAAACAACGAGAAAAGGTAGCACCACGGAATCGAAATTATGCGCTGCCCAGGAGACTTTCAACGGCAACTCGGTCATCAGCAGGAAGTTGCGACAAGACAGCCAAGTAGTCTGGATAGGTGCCAGCGAGGAGGCGCAACAACTCGACCAATTGCGCAGCAACCTCGGGCGCGGTCGACAGCTCAGTCGCGGCCTCGCGGAGCACGTGAGCGCTGGCTGCAATGAGCTGAGGCATGAACTTCCAGATCTATGTCAAGCACGGAAAACCACAACAAAATATAGGAAACGGCCGTCAATGAAAAGCGCACCAACTACTGTAAAATGAGCGCAAACAGTTCTGAACATACCGTGGCATTGTTTTGCTGAACCAGCGCAATCAGCACAGGATAAACAGTCTTGTTCTCAGCAAAGTCAACCCTGAGCGGAAGATGCTGAAGAATGGCGGCAATCGCCTATTGCGAGAGAAGCGGAAACGGAAAAAAAAAAAAAAAAAAAAAAAAAAAACACACAAAAAGGAAAAATGAGAAAAAGGTTCGAGACACAACCATTGCAGCTTGCCAGATTGCGTTTTTACCATCTCCAGTGGCAACTGAGCAGCGCCGACCGAAATCATGCGGCAGAAGGCACCGCAAACGTTATCGCGCGTGTTGTAGAGCTCGCGCTCCTGCTGGAAGACGTTGGCCAAACACTTGAAGATTTGACCGAAATGTGGCAGGAGGACGGAGCTGGCCACCTCGCACACCACGCCAGTGCCGTAGCTGCTGTTTGAGCAGACCTCGTCGTTTGGATCTCCAAGCCCGGTCAGGAAGAACTCGAGCAACATCTACCAAGACCATCGTGACACGATGAGTCAACCAAAAAACAGAACAGCATCACGCCTCGCAGCCTCAAGCCTCAGGCCGAAAGAAGACACGCTTACAGGTGCATAGGGAATCGTGCCTTCACGAGCCGCAGCAACAATTTCAGCAACAATGCCCACAGCCAGAGACCGCTCCGACTCGGAACGGTCCTTCTGGGCGTACAGTCCAATCCAGCGCATGATTTTCGGGAGGTGGGTTGCGAAAGCAGGGCCGACAGCCCGCGCACAGGTCGAGAGCAAGGCTGCTGCAGTCTCGATCAAAATTTGCTCAGTTTCAGCAATGTCCTGAGAGTCGCTAGCATCGGCAGCATTGTCGGCGAGATTCTCCTCGTCGTCTTCGTCGGCGTTGGAGCTGGCGCTGTCTCCTTGGCACATGGCCTTTCGCTGGAGCACACGATAGATAAATTTGAGCAGACGCTCACCAACACCGTTGGCCAGTGCGGCAGGCCCCATCGTCGTGATGATTGTGTCGAACGACTCGAGCGTAGCAATGACGACGGTGGGGTCGTTGTCCAGTCGCAATCGTCGCAGCATGGTCGGGAAAATAACAGTCATGGCGCCCACCGTCTCTTCGGAAGGGAAAACGGTCACCAACTCGGGAGCAGAAGCCGTCCAAGAATAGTCACCAGCTGCCGCCTTGTATAGCGCGCCGAGGATGTCTGTCAGCGATACTACAGAAGCCTTGCGAATCTGCAGTGTTCACAAGGTACAGAAAACAGCAAGTGAGCAAGCAAAACAAAAAAACACAATCCGATTCCCTTTTTTTTTTTTTTTTTCGTTCAAATCAAACAAATTTTGCATACTTCGGGATAGTGATACCGCGTGAGCTCGCACAAGACCGACATCACAGCGGGGATGAACGGGTGGAACCCAGAGAAGCAATGGACGCACAGCTCGCCAAGAACGTTGATGGCAGTCTCCTTCTCCTCCAGGAAGGTGTCTGTCGCGCGGATTTCATCGACGTCCGAATCCTCGCCGGAATGGTCGTCGTCGTCGTCGTCCTCGCCAGCCTGTTCGTTTTCGTCGTCACTGGCCTCGGGCTCGTCTTCGGCGCCCTGGTCAACATCGAGAGATGGAGGGAGACGGAATCCCTGATCATCGTTGGACTTTGCACGATGCATCTCGAGTCCGTAGTTGGACTCGCACACAGAGAGCAGAGTGGGCATCAAGTGTGGGAGATACGGCGAGAACGCCTCCTTGAACACCGCCGCGAGCGATGCAAACAGGGAAAACGTGCTCTGGGACAGCTCTGCGTCGTCAGCGTGTTTCTCAAGCCCAGCCACAACCACAGGCATGATTTGCTCAGCGACAGAGCCGCAGTGCTCACTCCCGACGGCCTTCACAATCGATCCAAGTGCGTCTGTCGCGCCGATGCGCAGAGGCATGTGCTCGTCGTCCTCTATTGCCAGAAATTCAAGCAGAGACGGCAGGATTTGGGGCAGGTATGGCACAAACTCGCTCTTGGCGGCCAGGGCGACAGCCGCAACACCGCCAACAGCATATGCGCGTGTGTTGAGGTGGGTTGCGTTGGCAATCACGAGAAGAAGCTGGCCCACAACGTGAGGGACATAGGGGAGCACACGCTCGCCGAGGTGGAAGCAGTAATGTTCGATCGAGTAGCCAGCCTTTTCCTGAACGCGCTCAGAAGGATCGGTCAGCGCGAGCATCAGACGTGGCATGACCTGCTCGTGATAGTCGAGGACCTCCTCGATGGTGGAGCTCATTTCAGCCAGCGCAATGACGGCGGCCTCACGAACAAACGAGTTCACAGCGTCTTCGATGCAAACGCCAATGTACTGCAGAAGCAACGGCAAGTGCTCGGCCAGAGCCGCTGGGCAGCCCTCGCAGAGGACTTGCAAGCAAATCATGGCAGCTTTACGGTGGTATGGGTTGGGCGAGGACATGGCGCTCGCCATCAGGTCAAGAATGGGAGGCAGGACAAGCGAGGCGGGGAAGCTCAAGCCGAAATGATGAATAATCTGGCCGGCGACCTGGAATGGCTTGTCACCAATGCTTTGACCACCTTCCTCGTCTTCGTCATCGTCGTCGTCGTCGTCGTCTTCAGCATTGGCCTGGGCTTGTTGTTGTTGTTGGCCACCGCGAATGTTCTGGGCGTCCTCTTGTGCGTCATACGTGCCGCCGTAGTGCAGCGCCAGCTGTTCGTCGTGCTCAGCAAGAATGTTAAACAGCGCAGGGATGACTTGCTGGATGACCTTGCTCGAGCTCAGCGCTCGACGCTTGAAACTGGCAAACCAGGACAGCAAGGAGAGCGCCTTGATGCGTGCATCATCGGGCACCGCACGGTTTGCTCCGATTTCCACCGCAAATTCAATCACAGCGTGGGCAATCGGCGCAATAAGGGGCAAGGGGGACTCGATGGCTTCGTCGAACAGCTCCAAGGCAAGGATGGCGCTGGTCTGGTCGTTGGCCGCAAACCGCGCCCGGATAAAGTCCAGAGCACTCAGGAGCAGCCCGCGGAATTGCACCAACGTCTGCTCTTGCAGAGACTGGGCGACAGCCGCGAGCTGTGACTTGCTGGCCTTGCTTCCCTTTGCTTTTCGGCGAGCCCGATCCGCCACTTGCTGGATGTCAACGCCAGTGCTGATGGCGGCAAGAGTGAGAAAGTCGAACTGGTCGAGCAGCGGCGTGAGGAATGTCATGGCCTCGATGGCAAGCTGTTGAATAGACGGATTGGCAGCGTCGGCGAGCGCCAGGGCAAACATTTGCAGCAACGACGGCAGGTGGGGCTCGAGGAAGCTGTCGCCCGACTCGCACATCATGCGCACAACGTAGATGCCAATCTCGCGGTGTGCAACTTCGCTGGACTGGCTGCATTGGAAGACAAACTGAACCAGCTCGGGCCAGTTGTTGGCGCGCATGTCGTGCTTGGCAATAATGCCAATGACGGCGGCAGTGGCGTGCCGCACAATACTCAGAGGCTCGACGGCAATCATGGCCAGCAGATTCGCCTTGATCCACACATGCACGTCTGCAGGGAGCTTCATCCACTGACGGATGAGGCGAGCACGCACAATAACGCCCGCCAGTTGGCGCACGCCCGCATTGGTTGATGCGCCCAGCACGTGAACAAGCGCCGGCACGCAGACCGGAAGACCAAAGAATGCATTGAGCTCTGCGGTGGCCTGTTGGAAGGTTTTTTTGAGGGGGGGGGATGAGTGAATGAGTGTGTTGGGTGCAACACGCTTTTGCCACGGTGGAAGCCATCGACAATGCAACAGTACTTTGCAGATGTTCTACAAACCTGAGAGATCAATGCGCTATCTGGCTGCAAGACTTGAGCCAAGTGGTGCTCGAGCGTCGCCAATGTCTGTGCAGAATGAGAACGAAAACAGGGTCGAGTCAGCGCACTGCTCTCCACCAAAGTCGCTGAACTGGGTGCGCTTGTGAATATGAATTGGAGTGCGGATTCGTGATGGAGTAGTTTGATGTCAATGGGAGTGGTTTCTGTAGCACTTTGAGATTGAGCAGCGAGAGTGAAAAGCCGCCACATGGTCCCTCTCTCTCTCGCTCTGGTCTTCCTCACGTCCTCCAATGCAGCTCCACTTCTGACGATTGAGCTCACTCGTCCCGTAGAGCACCACTCAAAGCCAAGCTCACTCGAAGGCAACAGCAAGGGCATGTCGGTCGCTGGTCGTTGGTTTGGGGGAAAGGGAAAGTTGTCACTGTGGCTTGAGCACCAAAAACGCACCTGCGGATCGAGTTGTTCCATTGGAAAGAAAAGTATGAGTGAAGTGCATTTCGATTTAGAAACTCTGGAGCATCTTCATCGTGGTGGTTGATGAATGTATCAGAGGAAGATTGTTTGAATCAGAGAGGCTCAAAGGAGGATGAGAAAGCGACCGATTGGGAAAAACACCACTTGCTTCAAACTGTCTATTTGCCATCGCAATCTCACGTCGTTAGCGAACAATCTGCCGCCCATTTCGTCAATAGAACAATGCTAAATATAATTCAGTACAGGATTTTCGAATTGTGCAAGGTGAAGCACGGGAATTAGCGCTGAGCGATCGGTTCCAAACTTTGTCGGCGTTCAAGCATGAAGAATCATGTCTTGGGTGGCATAAATTCGCCCACCGTCAATTTTCAGTATTACTGAGCATTGTTGTGATGTTATTATATCGTCTTGGTGTGTATCCAGCCGAGATGTGCAGTTTTGAAGCAAAACGAGAAAAATAAAAACCAGCAACTTGAAAAACTGCAAAACCAGAACGCTGCCGCCGACTCGACGCAAAAACGCCTCATCCGCGCCTGCCCTTGTAAAATCAACCATAATAGAATTCGATACGGGATTAGCCAGCACTCCCATCCCCCAAAGTCAGCCATTTGCACGCTTTGGGCTTTGGCCTTTCGACTTCGACCTCCACTCTTTTTTTTTTTTTTTTTTTTTTTTTTGTTTTTTCCCTCCTTTTCATTCTGACTGCCCCCCTTCCAGATGGCAGGATCGGTCGTTATCACTGCGGATGCGCAGGGCATCATTCTGAGCGTCAACCAGCAGTGCGTCGACATGTTCGGCTACAGCGGAGAGGAGCTCATTGGGCGCAACCTGACCTGTCTGATGCCAGCGCCCTATTGCTATCTCCACGACGGCTTCCTCAAGCGCTTCAAGGAGACTGGCGAGTCGCACATCATCGGATCCTCCCGCGTCGTCGAAGGTACGGCCCCAGTTTGCACTCTTCCACCTTCCATCTCCCTCTTCCCCGTCTACTGCTCCTGCTCCTGCTCGCCACATCTTGCTTTGTGTTAGATCGTGCAGGATATTTTCCCGCGTTTTTTTTTTTTTTTTTTTTTTGAATTGGCTCGATTGGCTTTTTGCTTGGTTTCCGTTTGCCCTGTCGACGCGATTTGTCACGACCGCGGCCAGACAGGCTTGCTCTTATATTTCCTCTTCTTCTCTCATCATGGGGGCGGCCTCAGCTCGGCCTTCGACTGTCGCGCTGATGTCAATGCCGCCGATCTGTCTTGCAGCCTCTTTTTTTTTTTTTTTTTTTTTTTTTTTTCCCCGTCTTGCTTCCACCTGCTTCCGTCGAGTTCGGCCATCGCTTTCTCCCCGCCCACCCAGCTGGCATTTCCGAGGCACGTTGCTCTCTTGTTGACTTGCACGAGCAGCACAACGATCCAGACTCCACCCAGTGCAGTCTCAATGCACTCTGCTGTGTCTTGGGTCGGTTCCGTTCAGATGTTTGTCTTTTTTTTTTTTTTTTTTTTCGGGTTTTATTTTTTCGCCGTTTCGCTGGTTCGTCTCGGTCTCGTGGCGAGGGCGGCAGGCCAACCTCAAACCAGACTCATTTGACCTTGTATGCGTGTGCGACAAACGGTCGGCTATGGGATGGTTGGTGGAAGAAGTGGAAGAGGTGGAGGTGGAAGCTATTGAGCCTTCCCGAGTCGCTCAGACAACAGGAGGAGGCATGGCTTTTGTTCTCACCATGGCAGTCAGGTCGTGCTACGAAGGGTGGCACGAATTTGGTCCAAAGGGTGCACGAACCATCTGTTCGATTCTATTGCTGAAAACTACCTCTCACCGCTTGTTTTCGCTGTCACTCTGCAGGCAAACACAAGAACGGCCTAGTATTTAATATACGATTATCAGTATCGCACATAGTATTAGATGACGAAACGCTATACGTCGGGCTCATGGAAAAGGTCGAGGAGCAAGTGGCAAGAGTCACGATTGACACGAGAGGGTTGATAATATCGGTCAATCAGCTCTGCACGCAGCTGTTCGGGTACCATTCCGAGGAGCTTGTCGGCCACCCGGTCTCCATTCTCATGCCGGAGCCCTATGCTTCACACCACGACCACTTTCTTCGAAACTATCAAAACACTGGCCATCAGAAGGTGATGAACAAGATTCGCAACCTCGAAGGTCGCCGCAAAAACGGTACGTCTGTGCAGAGTTGCAACGCGCCCCGACTAGTGGGGGGGGGGGGCGGGGATGTGTGTGTGTGTGTGTGTGTGTGTGTGTGTGTGTGTGTGTGTGTGTGTGTGTCGTCTTCCGACTTTCTTGCTGCTGGGGGATGGACTGCATCACCCTACCCTCACTTTGGAAGCTTGCCTTGAAATCTCGAAACCAGGCCAAGTGTTCCCGATGACGCTCAAAGTCACCGAGCAAAGCTTCAACGGGGTTGTTCAGTATGTCGCCGAGATGCTGGACATGGAAACGGACGACAAGAACGCCGTTTTGACCTGCGACCCACTCGGCACCATTCGTTCCGTCAGTAACAACCTGCTCACCTTTTTTGGCTTCAAGGCTGCTTCTGAAATTATTGGTCAAGACATTACCCTGCTCTTCCCATCGTTCGACATTGCCCAACGCGATCGCGATCTTGCGCGCTTGCAGCTCATGGCTCGCCATTCCGACGGCTCGACGTTCGATGCTCTCGTCGAGTTGAACGAGTTTTCCGTGGCCAGCGAGCTGCTCTGGTCGGTTCGTGTGACCAGGGCCCGCTCGGCTCCGTCATCGCGTGCGTCGTCCACGTCGTCTTCGGCCGCCAGCAGCGCGCACAGCCATCCGGATCATCCGCACGTGCCTCCGACCGCGGGAGGCGGCTCCGGCAGCCACAGCCACGCCTCCCTCACGACTGTCGACTCCATCATGCAGGGCGTCGGCCAGTACATTGGCAATTATCGCGTCGGCAAAATGCTTGGCTCTGGGTCATTCGGTGCCGTGTTGCTCGCCACCCATCGCTTGACGGGCAAGCTGGTGGCCATCAAAATCGTCATGACCAACGCTCGCGGAAGCAATATCGAGCGTGAAATCCAAATTCTTCGGCGCACTCGCCATCGCAACATTGTTCGCCTCTACGAGGTGATTCAGACCCCACAGCGCACGTTCATGGTCACAGAGGTGAGGAAGTGCAGATCATTGCGTCTTGTTGTTGTTGAACATTTGCTTGTACTCACTACTCGTCATCACACACGTCGAATAGTATGCAAGCGGCGGTGAGCTCTTTGATTATGTCAGCAACACTGTTGGCCACGGGTTGGACGAGAGTGAAGCACGCATGTACTTCCGAGATCTCGTGTCTGCCATCGACTACCTGCATTGCCAAAATATTATCCACCGCGATCTGAAGCTGGAGAACCTGCTGCTCGACTCGCAAGGCAATGTGAAATTGATTGACTTTGGGTTGAGCAACTTTATGAAGATTGCCGAGCGCATGAACACGTGCTGTGGTAAGTGTGATTTGATCGATGTTGACGAGAGGCGAGACAATTCAACTGACATCCGCATGATTGCATTCGACAGGGTCGCCAATGTATGCTGGTCCTGAAATGTATCGTCGAGTCAAGTATGAAGGCCCTGAAGTGGACGTGTGGAGCATGGGTGTGATTCTGTGAGTTTTTTTTTTTTTTTGCTCGAGTCTGTGCGACGATGGCCCCTCTGGCATGCAAACAATGTTTTCTCACTGTTTTTTCTTCTTGTGCGGAATCTCAGGTATGCACTGGTTGTGTGCAATCTTCCTTTCGACACGCCTGAGGAAATTATCAAGGGCGTTTACGTTTTGCCCAAGCATCTGACCGCAGAGTGCCGCGATTTGCCCAAGCATCTGACCGCAGAGTGCCGCGATTTGATTAGCCGCATGCTCGTTACCGACCCGAAGCAGCGTATTTCCATTGCCGATATTTGCAATCATCCTTGGGTGAACAAGGGCCTCCCGCCACTTCAGCGCGCTCAAGTCATGACCTCGCTGCCAGAGACGCCGGTTGATCCCGAAATTGTCAGCACAATGAGCGACGCAGGCTTCTCGTCCAGTGTTGTGCTCGCATCCTTGCGAAATCACTCGTTCAATCAAGTCACAGCGACGTATTACTTTTTGGAGGAGAAGAAAATGATGATGCGCCTCATGATGGGCGCGCAGCAGCAGCAGCAGCAACAACAACAACAACAGCAGCAACAACAACAACAGCAGCAGCAACAGCAACAGCAAATGCAGCAACAGCAGCAATCCAACCCGGGAGCGCTCGCCCTGCCTGCCATGTCCTCTCCTTCTCCCCGAATGCAATCTCCCGCGCCCACTCATGCCTGGGGTAAGCTATCGACCAACCCAGGTCCGAGCGCAGCAGTAGCGGCAGCAGCGGCAGCAGGTGGCTGCACGTTCTTGAATTACCGTACCGCTGCTTCCCCCGCAGAAAGCATCAGCACGACTGCTTCCTGTACGTCAAACAGCGAATGCAATCAGCCTTTTGTTTTGCGCACCCGATATTGCTCCTTGTCGATTTTTGCACTCACTTTCCGCATTGCTTTTTTTCATTCGTTTGTTTGCATTTGTTGCAGCTGCCATGTCGGTCAGCAGTGATGAGAACCCAGCGCCGGCCGCTGACCCTCAATTATACGAATCGTATCGCTGTCCCAATTGCAATTTTATTGACGAAGAGGCCGCTCGTGCCGATCTCACTCTGGCACAGAGTGTACAAACGCTGATGCGCTCCATTTCGTCGTCCTCGACGCCAATGTCGACGCAAAATCTGCCTGGACCAACCATCAAGAAGCGACGAGCAGATGAAGACGGTGCGCATGTCTTTTCCACCCTTCTTGTCGAATGTTGAGTGGCGGCGATTTCTAACTTGTTTTTTTCTGGATGGATTTGGATTGTGTGGTTTTTTTTTCGTCATGACAGACGCTATTGCACCTTTGGAGTCGATGGACACCACGTTGTCGTCCACATCCTCGGATTCCTCCACATCTGGTTTGTTCGGTATTCACTCGTTGCCGACAACAAAGCAAGAACTGCACCAGTTGATCTTGGCCGCCCTCTCCCAGTTCAAACGTCTTTCTATGTAACAGCGCTTTCAGCGTTTATCCAATAAACACAATGGATTTGCAAAAACACAAAAGTGAGAGCGATTTTGTATTCGAAAGCAAGGTTGAAGGAGTTCACTCAGCTGTCAGGCGCGCCCTTTTGGAGGATTTCGTCTAAACGTGGCAAATTCCAATGAGTACAGCGATCGACTCTCAAAATCCACGCATGGATACGCACGAGCGAGTTGTTGGCGCTCGGGTTGCCCTTGAATACTTACTGCTGCTGCCGCTTCCGCCGCTGCTGCGTTGCGGTGCATGTCTTGCTTTTCCAAATTACGCCTTCGTCGCTCGCCAAAGTTTTCCTCCGCCATTTCCTGCCGAGGCACACGCACGTTAATTTGTTAGTTTTGGGGTTCAAGCAGGAATCGGCCGGTCGCACTATTTCCTCACCATGATCGCCGTGCGCTTTGCGGTGGTCACGTCGTTAAGATTCACAAGCGCAGCATCCTCATCCATGGTCAAGGCTGAAAGTTTGACCTCTGTCATTCAACAGAAAACAAAAAAGCACGAAAAGTCAGAAACGTCGTCCTGCAATGTAATTTCCGATATGTAGCGACTCAACTGATCTTGGACTCGATATGCTGGATTAGCTCGATATCGTATTGAGTAACGAAGGTGACGGCCATGCCCCCTCGACCTGAATAGCAAGACAACGCACAAAGAGTTGGAAAAGTTGACCTGACCACGTAGCAAAGCCGAGGCAGTATGGTGCTTACCTGCACGAGCCGTACGACCAACTCGGTGCACATAATCGGTGGAAGTGCGAGGAACATCATTGTTAATCACCAACTTGACCGTCGGGATGTCAAGACCACTGCGAAAACGAAATACAGAGCGTGAATGAAACGACTTTCAATCCAGAGCGTTGCCACTACCTCCATCTCAAAACGTACCGACTCGCAACATCCGTAGCAATCAAGATATTAACGATGCTTGACTTGAACTTGGCAAGCGAGCCCAAACGCATGGACTGGGACATTTCCGAATGCAACGCGACGCATCGGAAGCCCAGCGCTTTGATCATGCGCGTGATTGTTTCGCAGTTTCGACATGACGAGGTAAACACAATGATGGACTTGTCCTCGTGCTGTCCAAGCAGATAGCTGAGGTAGCAATCCTTCACTTTTGCGGGTGTGATGACAAATCGCTGGTCCAAGGTAGTGACGGTCGCCACGCTAGTTTTTCTCATTCCAAACAGACAAAGCAAGATCGGGCCCCATCCATGTAACAACCAAATCACAATACAGTGAAGACATGAACTGGGGATAAAATAAGCACTCGCCCCCTTGCGAAAAACTTACCTCGACTTGGTTTCGTAATGAACAACGTTCGACATGGACATGCTCTCCAGATTGGCAATGTTTTTGGTAATGGTAGCGCTGAAAAGCAGAGTTTGTCGTTGTGGGTTGGAGGCTGCCGCCAGAATTCGATTCAAGTCGGGAGAAAAGCCTTCTTCCAACAAGCGATCCGCCTCGTCGAGGACCTGGAGAAGAAGGACAAGCATTGGGGGTTGGAAATCGCTTGATCAGTCAAACTGAACCATGGCGATAAGAGGCGTAGGGACGTCATGGCTTACAAGAAAGCGGGCTCGCGCCAGTGAAAGTTGCGAGTTGGAGTTCAAGTGGTCAGCCAAGCGTCCCGGCGTCGCAATAATAACGTGGGGTCGCTTCGCAAGTACCAGTGATTGCTGCATCATATCTGAAAGTCCAAAATGGAAGATTCGAGGGATGAGATAGGTGTAGAACAAATCTCGTTCTGTAACCGGAGCTTTGCCTTACCAACACCACCCACAACAACAGCTTCTCGAAGATTGATGCCTTTGCCGAGAGCTCGGAACTGCTCTGCTATTTGGAATGCCAGCTCTCGCGTTGGGGTTAGCACGACGGCAAACGGCCCGTAGGGGTCATCGGAGAGGCGATGCAGGATTGGCAGCGCGAATGCTGCAGTCTTGCCACTGCCCGTTTTGGCACAGCCAATGACGTTTCGACCTATTAGGGGCCCCAATTACAACAATTAGAGAAGTGGTACGATGGAGAGGAAAGTCAATGAAGGTTGGCCAAAACCGACGTGTTCTACTTCGACAAGAGCGTTGCTTGCACGGCAACTGCATTCTTACCAGCTAGGACATGCTTGATAGTGTTGACTTGAATGTCTGTCGGATGTTTCAGCCCCATCGCCTCGCACTGCTTGACCAGCCACTGCTTGAGGCCGAGCGCCGCAAACGTGGTATTGACTTGAGGCTTGGCAGGGTCGTCATCGTCGTCATCCTCCTCCTCGTCATCATCATTGTCGTTGTCATCATTGTCATCGTCCATAGCGTCTTCGTCTTGGTCGTCTTCATCATCTTCATCATCTTCCAAGTCGTCGTCCTGGTCTTGGTCTTCGTCCACGTGTGACGCTCCATCGTCTGCCTCGTCGTCATCACTGTCCATCGCTGCATCGTCCTCGGTCGCTTCCATTGAGCTCCAGGACCGCTTGCCAGCACGATCCATCGTCGCAGCAGCGCCCACTGCCAGACCCTTGACTGCTGCAGCGCTGGGTGCTGAGCTCGTTGTCGCTGTTGTCGGCTTTGACGGCATGCGAAGCGCGACCTCGCCGTGCTTTGTCTTGAGCAGCGCCGCATTGCGCGTCGGAGTCAGACTCATCGCTTTGCTTGTAAACGGAGCGGTCATCGTGGGAGGGTGGGCGCCCTCGGGGGTGGCATCGCTCGGGATTGCCCGCGGTTTGGCGGGTTTGCTGCTGAACAACTGAATCGACATTTTGTACAATTGTGCAGTGGTAAGAGAGTGAGCCTTTGAAGAACGATCTCGAGTATCATCAACATGATTATCAGTCAGGAAGGACCGGGCGGGGTTGAGCCCAGCAGCATTTGGAGGAGCAGCAGCGAAAAACGCTCGGATTGAAACAATGGTGCGATTTCTCAGCCGCTTCGACGCTCTGAACCGTTCAGCTTCAATGCATCCTCTCATTCAAGTGATCGACTTGCTTTTGTCTTTTTTCTGAGATTTCTTTTTTTGATCTTCACTCTTTTTTTTTGATCACAAAACAATGAGCGACGCGAGTTACAAGACTTGGAAGGTTTGTTAAACGGAATCGAACAACGTCAACATCTCGATTGAAAACAACAGAACAAACAAAAACGAGAAAAATAGTTGAAATAAAAAGCAGATCGAATGAAATTGAATGAATGAAAGCAAAAAGAAGAAGAAGAGCAAAGTTGAAGGAAAATGAACAAAACATTTTGGCGGTTTTTTTTTTTTTTTTTTTTTTTTGGGCGCCAAAGATCTTTCAATTTTTTTTCTTTTTGCTGCGATTTGACTCGAAAACGACGACGCTTTCGTTGTTGATGTTGATGTTGTTGATGCTGGTTTTTGTTTGTTGCTTACTTTGTCTTTGATGAATGTTTTCGGAAACACGGCACAAAAACCAACGCAGGTGCCTGAGCTCAAGGCTGAGCTGACCAAGCTGGGACTCGCTGCGACGGGATTGAAGGCCGAGCTGGTCGATCGCTTGGAAGCGCACCACGCTGCTGCTGCTGCTGCTGCTGCTGCTGCTGCTGATACTGCTACTCCGGCTGCGACGGGTGCTGCCACTCCGGCGACGACGGCCGCTGCTGCTGCTGCTGCTCCAGTGGCGACGACGACGATCGCGGCTGTTGCTGCTTCTTCGCCCTCCGTCGCGCCAATTGCCAGCCAGTCATCCGCCACCCAGTCGACTGCCGCCAGCGCTGCGCAGCCAGATAGGTAAGAAGCTGGACAACGCATCCTCCCGAGCACAAGAGGGCGCATCGAACCGTTTTCGTCATTCTCACTTTCACTTTCGACTCAAATTTGTCAATGCTCAGCACTGAGGCATCGGACCTGGAGCGAAAGCTGGCCAGAGCCAAGCGATTCGGCTTGGAAGTATCTACAGAAACCAAATTGGCCATGCGTGCCGCAAAATTCGGAGCTCCGGTCGCACCTTCTCCGGTTGGCGCCAACAAAGCTTCTGGCAAAGCTGCCTCCTCTAAACGTTCAAACGTTGCTGCTCAAGGTACCGAGCTGAACGTTTCGACGCACTCTCCAAGTGCTCTCCTTGAGGGATGGCATGCATCGTTGTTGCCATTCGCAGATTACTTTACTCACTGTCCTTGACTTTGTCTTTCCGACAGCGATTCAAGCTGCAGCGGCTGCATCTGCAGCGGCCGGAACCTCACCACAGGTACCACCGTCGAAATTCTCATACGACAGTCTTTGTCACGCTGGGGAGCCACATGAGACACTGACACCCCCAATTTCGATCCCAATTCTGACCCCGCTTCCCAATTCTTCCTTTTGATTCTAGGATCTTGCCAACCGCGCCGCACGATTTGGCACCATCTCTCCTTTGTTGGCAAAACAGGAAGAAGAGGCGAAGCGCGAAAGCAGGAAGCAACGATTTGCTAGTGGCGACTCCGAAACCGAGGTGGGTTTGATCTGTCGTGATTTACAATCGAAAATGCCCATCTGTTGTCTGACCAACGGCACCAAACCGTTTCGTTGATCATTTCTCTCACAGGCGAAAAAGCAGAGCCGTTTAGAGCGTTTTGCCAAGTGAATGCTTCAGTTTTACATTTATACAGTCTCTCGCAAAACCCCATCCCAGTTCATTGCCACCAAGTGCAGGCGCAGACGTGAAGAGCGTGGATGACAAAAAACCCCCAAAAGACGAGGAACACCAAAGTTTCACAAAACGTTATCATTTATTGACAATCCAAACAAAAACAAAACAAAACAAAATCGAAAGTGCTAGTAAAGGGCAAAGCAAAAGCGCATAAAGACAATCTCGTAAACGCCCCACTCTTGCGCTCAAACACGCGCCCCGTTTACATGGTCTGCTTGCTTCGCGTCAGCTGAAGCAGCAGCGAAGCCTGCATTTGCAGCACCTCCTCCATCTTGCTCATTTGCTGCTGCTGGCGTTGCAGCATCACTTTCAGCGCATTGATATCGTCGCTTGTTTGAGAAACGGGCGCAGTAGACTGCAGCTTGACCGATCGTCGTCCAAGACTTGCACTGGAAGGTTGACTTGTCAGGGGAGGGTGCGCTCGAGGTATGGGCGCTTCCGATTCTTCCGGCAACTGCGTCAGAGATCCAGAGCTCAGAGTACGAGAGCTCGTGACGGTTTCAGAAGCATTCAAGACGGAAGTGCTCGACGCGTGCACGGCGGCTGCCTCCACCTGCGTGGATGCGACTGCCTGGCCATCAGGTAGCAGCGCTGAACTGGTCACGCTCGAGACCAATTCGACCTGGGACATGATCAAACCAGCGTCTTCTGGCAGCTGAGACGGAGTCGAAACGGCGTCTTCTGGCACCTGGGAAGTAGGCAAAGCAATTTGCGCCCCATTTTCGCCCGCCTCCTCGTCAACAGCGTTGCGACCCACTTCGAGTCTGATGCGATCCACTTGACCGATGAGATTGAGAAGGCTCGTCTCATAGGGAATATTTTCAAAATCAATCCACTGGATTCGGCTCAGCATCATCTTGAGTGCGCCCTTCATGTGTTCGTACGCGTCGACAAACACAACGGGGAAGATGGGCTTGTCCGCCTCGTAGGCGTAGTGAACTTCCTCCAAGCAGTACTTGGACTGGACCGACCCGGGCGTCATCAAGAATACAACGCACAGCGCGTTGTCAATTCCGTTGGCAATGTCCGAGCGCCAATCGTTTCCTGCACTGATGTCGTTCTTGTCCACCCACACGCTAAAGCCTCTCTCATTCAGGTCGGCTTCAAGCGCCCGAGCAAAGTCTCCATCCAAGTGCCGGTAGCTCAAAAAGATGTCCCACTGCTGCTTGGGTGGTTGCACGGTCTCAGCCACGGTGGATTCGGCAGCGCGCTGGCGGAGCTGCACCTCAGCGCGCGCAACCACGTCCAGGAGGGACTCGGCACGCAGCTGGTGCAGGGCTTCAACCAAAAGGCTCGTGTCGCGCAAAGACCCGTTCACAATCGAGGCAGCGTCGTTGTCCGTCACGGCGAGCAGGCCCCTCCCGTTTAGCAGAGCCGTTGACGCTTGCCCTTGCTGAGACTGCCCGTGATGGTCGGTGTGGTGACGACGATGGGAGTGATGGTGGTGACGGCGGTGATGACCATGGTGACGAGAAGAATGCTGGTCGCTAGTGTTTGACGCGGAAATGGACGGGCGGCCGAGCACCGATGCCACTCCTTCCAGGCTGCCGGTATCTGAAACGATCGACCTGCGCGAGGCTTGCGGGTCGTTGCTTGGCGAGGCCGACCTGCCCGAGAGAATCGAGCTCTGCCGTGTACTGGAGTGACGACTGTGCCCATGAGAATGCGCGCGCGCATGGTTACCATGCGCATGAGAATGAGAATGAGAATGCGCATGAGCATGAGTGAAGGTGGGGTTGCCGCCGCCGCCTGCAGCGATTGCTGCGTTTGCGCTTCGACGATGCGCTGTGTTGGCGCGACCGGCTGCATCAGCGGCGACGCTCGCCACTGCATGAGGCGGAATGTACAATTCGCCATCCGTCACCCGCATTGCCGCAAAGACGGGCAAGAACTGGGCAAGTCCGATGCACTGCACCCAAAGAAGCACGTCTGCAGGTGTCCATCGCTTGACAACAGTGGGGACCCAGCCGGTACCCAAGTTGCGCAAGGCGGCTCCGAGTCGTCGATGCACGTCGCTCGGGACACCGCGGGAAAAGTAGCTGATAATCAACATGGTCTGAACGACAGGGTGGGCCGCAATGTTAAAGTGAGTTTCCATGCACGTCGAGATGCAGCGCAGCGTCCGCGCCGCCTCCAGCTGAATGGCCTGGTTGTTGCTGTACAGCGCCACGTTCAAAGCATCCAGGCCGCCAAGGTCGACCAGTTCGATGCAAAAGATGTCGTTCTGGGAGCAGAGCTGCCCAAAAATGGAGCAAGCCCACCGGCGGATGTTGACTTCTTCCGCTGCCATGGAGCCAGACAAGTCATCGCAATCCGAATCGTCTGTTTCAAGCACACTTGTCGACGCCTCCACCTCGCCATCTGAATCGGCGTCAGAGTCGTCACTCGCAGCGGCGGAAAAGGCGGCACGACCGTCGGACGACTCGGCGGCGTTCGCGAGTTTGCTCTTCCGCTTCTGCTGCCTTCGCCATGTGTGTTTGTCTTCAACCACCAAGCCGATGAGCAAGCGCACAAAGGCCGGCGCCCGGAATTCTTCTTGACATTTCGCAACGCTGGCTAAATTGTTCAACACGGCCAGCGCCGCGCCAATGAGGGACCGCGAAGGAGACTTTTCAACAAGAGTAAGCAACGGCTGGAGACCACGGTTGACGAGGAGAACGCGATTGCTTTGGTGCAAGGACAGCTCTGCGAGGCCAGTCAAGGCCTTCAGCTGAGCGGCAGGATCTGTCGACGCAGCAAGACCCAGGAGCTGTTCTGCATCGTTCACGTTCAGGTTGCTCAAAATGCGCTTGGCTTGCGCGCTGAGTTGCTGATTGGCTCCGTTGGACAGCACGACAATGGGCAACAGGTCATCGCCTCGCAAACGCCGCGAGTACCGCTCGGCCAGGTGGCTGTGCGACGTCAGCCGACGCAGCGTTTTCAAGACGATCGGGATGATTTCTTCATCAATCGCAAAGCCCAGCGGAAGCCGGAGCCACAGGCTCTCGGCCGCTGCGCCTGACGACACGACACTACGGGAGCCGACTCCTACCTGGCCGAGTTGTGGGGCCGATGCAGTCTCCAACGGGCGGTCGGACGCGCGAGTTCCAGCCTGGAGTGGCGACGGGGCAGCCGGCAGAGCGTTCAAGTTCAAGGCTTCCAGTCTTGCGTGATGCAGAGCCTGAGGGGCTGCGCCAGCATCGGGATGTTCGGCACATTCAGCGAGATAACGTTGGTGCTCATGGTACTCTGCTGGTGCGGTGTTTGTTGCGAGCCGAAGCAGCACCAGCAAGTGGTCGAGGGCACCTTCCGTGGCGATGCGGTTGGCGTGGTCTGCCGATGCGCTCAGCGTGGCAAGAACTCGCGCCGCTTTGGTTCGCAGACTGTCGTGCGGTGAAAGCAACAGCTGGACGACCTCGCCGAGGCCCACAGTATCAAAACTGGCCGCTTGCTTGCGCTTCAGATAGATGGCTGCAAGCTGCTTGACCTTGACACCAACCACCAGCAAAATGTCCATTGCAATCGCCTGCACTGCGACGAGCGGCGAGCTGAGGCACATTTCCAAGATGTGCTTGGAGGCGACGCGCATCACGACCGTAAAGAAGGCCTCCGTCGATGACAAGAACGCCGGGTCGGCCAGAATCTGAAACAAAACCGGAATCCAGCGGAGCAAGTTGAGGCGCGTGGACGATTCGTGGTTTGCTTCAATTAAGCTGAGGGTGTGCGACACGAAGGCGTGGAAGCGGTGGATTCTGACTTGCTCGGACGCCCCAAAATCAATGATTGGCAGCATTGTGCCAAGGACGCGGACGGCAGCATACTTGACCTCATCATCTGCAGAGGCACAGAGGTGGAAGAGCACTTGAACGAACGACGGAAGCATGCTGATTCCCAGAGTGCCTTTCGTCTGCGAGCCGGCTCCAGGTCCCGTGGTGGCCTTTCTTGTCGATTTCGTTGGTCCCCGCGTGCCAAGTTTCGACTGCATTTGCGCTACCGGCTCGACAGTGCGGGTAGACTCGCTGGGTGAAACTTCCGTCGCCGCAAGAAGGCGGCGCTGGATTTGCCAAGCACTGTCGACGGTCCGAGCAAGCGCCGTGACCACCTCCGATGACATTGCCAAATACATGATAGTTCTGATGGACACACGCTGCAAAAGCACCGATGGCGACATGACGAGCGAGATGAGGGCGGGCAGGCAGGGTGGATGAGCGAGGACAAGGGCCGCAACGGTTGTGCTCTGCATATCGTCAGGTCGCTTGACCGTGCACTGTTGATACGCCAAATTGCACAAAATCGAACACGCGTGAACAAAAACGTTCACCTCCCGCTGGACGAATGTGGCGGAAGCATCACGCGACAAGTCCAGCGTCGCATACGCTTCGAGCAACCGAGTCAACACCGGAATGCCATCGTGCAGGAGGAGCTCAATGCAACTGGCGTCATTATCCTGACCGTGCAGGAGAAAGCTATCAAGAGTCTCAACGGCAAACGCGCGCAAGTCAACAGAGTGCACCATGGAGAGCAGCAAAGGGATGAAGCCGTGCTCGACCAAGAGCGATCGGTTGTCGCTGCTCTTGACAATCAGCTTGAGACACTGCGTTGTTTCTTGAATCAACGTTTCATCGCCGGCAGTGGCCACGGTCAGGAGCTGCCGCAATCGACTCGCAGTAAAGCCTTCCAGAAGAATCAGGTTGAGGGCGAGGCGAATAAAGCAGCGGAGCGTCCAGAGCATGAGACGGTCTTCGACCTTGGTTGAGTCAAACGTCCCGGTCGGCTGGGCGATGGCGTCGCTGGCCAAACGAGCTGACCGTTGGGTGTCGATTGATGGGGAGGACTCTGGCGCCGGAAGGCGAGCGAGCGCAGCGTCAACGCTCTGGGACAGAATGTCGCGCAAAGGAGCGTGCGCCGCCACAATGACCTGAAAGTCCGAATTGCGCGTCAGATGAAAGAGCGCGGCTGTGGCAAAACAGCGAACATCCACTTCCGCGGTTGCGAGCAAGGCGACTACAACATTTAACACGGACGTCTGCAGCAGCTGCCGATGGTCTGTCAAATGCTGAGTCAGCTGTGCAATCAACCGAGCCACAATGAGGTTGTTGGAATCATCGGGCAGTTGCAGATCACCAAAGTACGCAGAGACGCGCCTGGACCATTCGGGCGATTTAGAGTGCGCTTCGTAATACTCGCAAATGACGGCGAGAGCGCCATTCGCAAGCAACGTCTCAAAGAACGACGCCCGCATTGTCCCGCAGCGGAGCATGCTGTCATCCTGCGTCAGTGCCGACGCGTCGTGAGGGACAGCAATCGACATGATGGCAAGAACCAAGCGTTGCAGCTCGGTACGTGCATTCAGCATAATTCCCGTGAGAATGTGCGCATTGCCATGGTACAAGACGCGGACACGCAGCTCTTCGTTCACGCACATGTTGCACAAAGCAATGCATGCCGGGTGACCGGCCAACAGCGTCCCGCGCGTCCGTTCTTCCTTGATCACTGAAATCAGCAAATCAATCGTCCCGGCTTCTGCCAACGCAGAGCCAAACTCTGGCAAATGTCGCGTGAGCAGCTCGATAATGCTGATGGCTCGCGACGCCACCACACGACCGACAGATGCTGCCAGCGTGAGCAGTGCAGACACGAGAGCCTTGGCGTCAAACGGCCGTGTCTCTGGATTCAGCACGACAGAGTCCATGAACGACTCGCAAAGCGTGGCAAGCAGCAGGCTGGTCTGGTTTTGCACCGAGAGGGATTCCGAGGCACACAGGCAGTTCAGGAGAGGTTGAACGGCGCGAGCCACGCGAGCGGCACGCTCCACGGTTGTGCACACGGCTTGAAGCATGCGAATGCACGCGAGTCGGAGGCGTTCCGTGTCGTTTGTGCCACTGTCAATCGACCAGAAGGACGCGGCCAAGTGCGCCGCAATTTCTTCGCGAGATTCCGGTGCCAGTTGACCCGCGCGCGCCTCAGCATCACAGAGACTGCTTTGGCTCTGCGAAAGCAATCGAGAGACATGCTCGACACCACCGGCCTCGACAAACTGGCTTGCCAGCGCCTCCAAGGTCTCGGGTGAGGCGCCACGCCCTTCGCGCACCAACCCGTACAGTTCAAACCCGGCCAGAGTCAACGTACGCCGCCCACCAGTGCCCGGTCCTGTGCAGACGACTCGAAACTCGGAGCAAAACGGAATCGTTTGGGCTCCAGAAAGCCCAGGTTGCTGCTGTGACGGTGGTTGTGGAGTGTGCTGGTGTGGGACGGCCTGGGGAGCACCGTACTGATCGACAACGCCAGTCAGGTGCGATTTCGCAGCGCTGCCTTGGATAAACCACGACTGCGTGGCATTTCGTCGGCACAAAGTATGATCGTCCATGTGTCTGCGAAGAACGAGCCACGGGTGCGACTTGTCCACTCGCCCTTGCAGCTCCCAGTTGGTGACGTACGAGCCATGCTCCCAGGACGCCGTGTCGCAGAGCGCATAGTGGGTTGGGCAGATTGCGCGTTGCCGTGAACCTCCAGAGACGTCCACGTAGACGAGCGAGTCTGAGCGATCGGCAGTCGAGAATGGCCCGGGTTCGCGCGCGATAAAGTCTGCCTCAGAGCCACTGTTTAGCAGAGCAGGGGATGCCTCGACCAAGACCTCGCCTGTGATGACCGGGTTGGCGTAGGGAAGCTGGCCAGCTTTTGTGCCAATCCAGGTAAACAAACCCTGTCCATCGTCGTTGCGCTCAAACGACAATTGCACGCAGTCGGTCAGCAAGTTGGCCAGCGCATTGGCAGCCGTGAGGCGGAAGCGAATGTGCGAGAAGGGCGACGATGGGCTGAGAATGGCGACCAGACGACGGACATCGGTGAGGACGGCGGGCTTTGTCGGGTCTGGTTGTTGCGGCTGTGGCTGGGGAGGGGCTTGCAAAGCCTGACCATCACTATCCGGTGCCTCTGAGGAAGGCGTCTTTTTGGGTCGCGGCAAACAAATGGGTCCAGCAGCCTCGGGAAGCCCGCTCACAACGACAGCGGACGAGACGGGAGCGATTTCAGAAGGGATAAACCCGGCGAGGTTCTGGGTGGCTGCCTGGGTGCCTTCAAAGAAGGACGTGTAGTGAAGGGCGCCCCAGGCATAGCCAAAAGCGGGCAGCGAGGCAAGTTGCTTGGGCGTCACGAGGTGCGATGCGACGCTGAGGAGTTTTCGCGCGAGACGACCGGTGAAGGGATCTGCGTCATAGGCACGCTCCACAAACATCTCAAGCTGCCGGTTGTCAATCACCGCGAGAAGACACGATACGGCGCAAGAGGCCTTGTCGACAGCAGTAGGATGAGCATCATCATTCTCTGAAAGGGGCGCTGATTTGGCGGGCGCCAAATGCTTGTTGCGTGACGCATGAATCATGACTTGCATGGTCAATCCCATAGCTCGGGACACGATGAGCGGCGTGATGAGCGAGAAAGGCGGCGGAGGGAGGTCAAACGTGAGATCTGGAGGCTGGAACAGGCTGTGATCCATGATGGACAGCGGCTTTGTCTTTGAGAGCCAGTCGAGTCGCTCAATCAGCCGAAGCATGTGACCCGCAGCTGATTGCTGCTTGAATGTCTGCATGGCGGTCTCGTACAGCTGTGCGCGGAGTGTTGGATCTTTGCATTCACGTGCGCAGAGTGCTTGCCAAAGGCGGACAGAGCTGGTGATGATAGACTGGTTGAAATCGACAGGTCGGGCATCCTCCTGGCCTTCGGTGGAGTCCATGTGAAGAGCGACGACAGCAGAGTCAATGATGGCCCACGCAAGGTTGTCGAGTTTCGCACTAAAACTGGTCTTCTCTTGTTGTGCAGCAGCAGCAGCAGGAGCAGCAGGGGCAGCAGCAGGAGCGACAACAGCGTCTCGACTTCCGAACGACGCGTGGTCGAGCCAGGGTTGAGTGACGAGCACTTCCAACTGCGCATCAGTGAGGGCGCGCACAATAGTGCAGACCATGCAGGAGGCACGGAACGCAAGTTTGGGCGCTGACTGACAGGTGGCCCAAAAGACGGCGAGCAGGAATCGGAAGGCCGAGCTGACAGCTGCGTCGGCATCGACAGACGCCTGGGCGAACGGCACCCAAGACGCAAGCGTGACATCGAGGATGTCCAGGCAGCTGGCAATGCACGGGGCAAGCGATTCGATGGTGACCACACACGCAAGACCCTTTGCCAGCAGTGCCGGTAGTATCCGGGAGCGCCCTTCCAGCTGCACGATGAGTTCTGCCAACGCGTGGGGGTCAGAGACGAGCCGATCCGCCAGCGCAAACACTCCGTTCGCCACAATATGCGGCGAGCACGGCCCAAGCGATTCGCACATCATGTACAAGCACGCGCGCAAGAATGGGCCCGTGTCGAGCCGGGCGGGGCTGAAAGACGACGAAGAGGTCGAAGACGAATCAGAAGAAGCGGACGAAGATGTGCGCAGGCCGAGCGCCGAACTTGGGAGAATAAACTTCCACACACGCTCGGCATACTCGTGATCGGGATGGCAGAGAGCACAGTGTATCAGACCGGTAAATGCCATGGCAACTTGCGAAGCGCGCAGCGCAGGGGAGACGCCAGCAGAGTTGTCGCAAAAGTTCACGGCATCAAACCGTGAAAAGAGCGCCTCAATGTCCGAGTCTGCCGACAAGAGCATTAAAATGTCAACACAGCGTTCAACAACAGACCAGTCGTTCAATGCGGCAGAGATAATGCCAAGCGCCACGGCGTGCTCCTGAATGGGTGGGATGCACGCCTGGGGCTGCGCTGCAGCGAGCGCGACGAAGGCGTCAAGGATGGCAATCAACGTCGCCTCGGCAACAGACGTTTCGTTGGCGTTGTCCCGGAACTGCATTGCGAGCGGCGACAGCAGACTTGCCAGGAATGGAATCAAGTTGTGGCTCATCAATTCCAGCGCAAACGACGGATCCAGCTGGACGAGCTTGGGAATGAGCACAATGGCATCGAGCCTGAAAAATTGGATGCTTCCTTGGATGGAGCTCATGAGCAAAGCCACGCGCGATTGCGACGCCAGATGCGACTGGACAACGGCGGTATCAAGTCGAGCCAAGGCGTACTTGAGGATGGAGCACGAGCCCACCACTTCTGCGTACGCGAGGAAGGGAGCTGCCCCGAGCTGGATGAGACGGTCTGCCGCGGCCGCGGATGTGCCAAACACAAGCAGAACAAGCCGAATGGCAGCAGCCCGGACAATATCGTCGGCAGCCGAGGCTGAGGCGGTGGCGAGATCTAAAAGGCGTGGCAAATCAGAGTGCTCTGCGATCGCCGTGCACAGAGATTCGTGTGCACCCATGGCTAAAAGCAAGCGTGCGGCTACATGCCGCACAGAGGCGTGATGAGAGCTTGCAAGCTGGACGACATGATGAACAACATCATGATCCAACGCTTCCCTGACATTTTCTTGGGTGGCAGTCGCGTCGAATGAAGGAAGAGAGTGCAACGGTCCGGGAAGGCGCACACCAGTCGAGTTGGGAGATGATGATGATGCTGGTAATTGCTGATGTTGTTGGAAGGCCTGCACTTTGCGAGCAAGCGCAGAGACAGTCATCAACTCGCCAAAGAGCTCGATCGAGGCCGATTGAAGGCCGGCGTTGCCAACCACTCGAAAGTGACGGTAGTACTCGAACGTGTGGATTCTCAACGTGCTATTGCCGTCATCGTGTGACAGTGCTTGCGAAGATGCAGGACTGATAGTGCCGCTGCTGCTGTTGGTGTTGCGATCGACTCTGGTGTCAGAGTCGCGTCTGGCAACCCCCGACAAACGTGATGCAAGGCGTCGCGAAAATAGTGCGGTGCTGCTGCTTCCAACGCCTTCGGAGGCCGCCGAGTCCGCCTTGGCAGTCGCCTCTCCAGCCCGCGCAGACGATTGATTGGTCGGACGGTGATGCGAGGCACCACCTTGACTTTTACCAGAGCCGTACAGCGGTTCCCACGCGACTCCATCATTGGAGCCGAAAACCGACAGGGTTGCTCGAGTTTTCGCAAACGCAAGCATCTGCTTGGCGGGATCGGCCGAGCGTGCAAGCGCCAAGCGAAAGTGCAGTACAATGTGCGTTGGGTTGAAGCTACGACTGTCGCCCAGGTCGAGGTGAAAGTAGTGCTCAACCGCAGCAGCCGCAGCAGCAGCAGCAGCAGAAGTAACAGCAGGAGACGCGTCCTGGCCCATGGCTGACCGATTCAGTTGAGCGAGCGGCAGCCGTTCTTCCGCGTGCATGGAATCCATCATCGAGCTGATCGGTCCGCTTGCGTTCGACATTGTGTCCGAACTAGCGTCGTCGTCGTCCATGTTGGCCAGATCGACCACGGAGGAAGTTCGCTCAAATTCGTTGGATTCCCGAATGACAGATTCAGCGTACAATGCCATGGGTGTGTTTCCTGAACCTGAGCCTGAACCTGCATGAGCTCGAGCGGCGTGACCGAGTCCTCCTCCGACTGACGCAGTGCCTGATCGGGATGAGCTTGACGCTGCGGAGGAGGAGAGTCCCATCCACCGGCTGCTGCTGCTGCCTTGGTAGCCGGCAAACTCTGCCTCGACGGCTGGATTGGCAAAGGACGATCGGACGGCGACTTCCTGCGCGACGACCGGGTTGAGGTACGGCTGTGTCTGTGCATGCGTTGCAATGTGGTTGAGCAGTCCCAGATGGTCCGTGTCGGCAGAGTACTCGATCGAGGTCGTCGCGCACAGCAACTTTGCGAAAAAGTCCAATGCGCGCGTCTGTGCGGCTCGGTTGCGCGACGCAGACCACATTGCGAGCACGGTCGGCTCGGGCTCTGTCGTGCAGCTGCTCAAGTCAGGCACCGGCAGCACCTCAGGATCTGGTTGATGGCAAGCGGACGATGACGCGGAAGAAGAACAAGTAGCGGTGCAAACACCCGCTGCTGGTGCCGCTGCTGGTGCTGCTGCTGCCGTCCGCCCAACAAGGCCATCAACAGCAGGCACACTGGCATCCATCGTGGGCATGGTCGCGCTGGGAGCACGGGCGGGTCCACACTGCGCCGGATCGGGTTGTCGCGTCTCAGTCTCAGTCATTTTGGGGGTTTTGTCTCTCTTTTTGTTTGTTGTCTCAGTTGCTTAGCAAAACGGAGGGGTTTTCGCTTTCTGGTTGGAGCAACAAAAACGGCCTGCTCTTCGCCTCAGCAACGCTTTCCGACAATGAACGCGTTCGACAAGATAGAAAGCTCAACAAATGAATGTATGAATATGGACTGGCCAAAGCAAGACGACAACGCTCAGATTTCAAGACTACTGCAAGGAGTAGTACTACATTTGACTATTACTTGTAACTCACTCTTTTTATGTTGAATTGAAGATCGTCCCATTGAGACCCGAAGCAACCCAAAACTGTCATGGCTCAACAAGCACCTGCACCTGCAGTACCCTTGCCACATCCATGGCAGGCGGTTCCAGATCCGGCTACAGGACTTGTCTACTACTGGAACACGGAGACGAACGAGACCAAGTGGACATGGCCGGCCACTGCTGCGAATCCAAGCACGGCAGCAGTAGCGCAAGCACAAGCGAGCTCAGCTTGGCATCAAGCACATCCGCCAGCAACTCACGCTCCTGCTTCTCAAAGTAGTAGTGGTACTACTAGTAGTAATAGTGGTAGTGGTGGTGGTGGTGGTGCTGGCCACCAGCCGCCAAAAGCAGAACCCGCTCAGTTCCAGGCGTCGCGAGTCAACAACGTCCAGCAAGCAGGGCAACAGCTGCTGCTACCAGTGGAAGAGCCGACTGCGCTGGTTTACACATCGTGCTGGAAGTGCGGATCCAAGCGACCGCTGCCACAGGAGGGAATTTGCGTCCCATGCAAAACTGGCGCGGGCGAGCCACTACCGCCGTACCAGGGCCATCATCAACGACCTATGCCGGCTGCTGCGTCACCATCGACAGCTGCACATGGGAATGCAGGCCGGCCTGAGATTGGTCCCGTCATGCCGGGCAAGGCACCAGCACCAGCATCGTTGTCTGTGAGCAAGGAGCAACGGCGACACGACAGCGCGCCGTACCAAAGCCACGGTGCTCGAGGCCGCGGAGGCGGTCCCGGAGGCTATCGAGGAGCATCGCGAGGAGGGCCACCTCGCGGTCGGGGTGGTCGGGGTGGTCGAGGCGGCTATGGCGGTCGTGGCGGCCACCATCGTTCTGGCGGCGACAGCGAGGATGGCCTTGATCCCATGGATCCGTCATCGTATTCTGATGCGCCCGTGTAAGGAAGACGGCGTTCTTAGGCCGGGGGTGTTTTGCACAATGCTGTGTACAAGCTGCTGTGCTCCAGTGACTCACCTTTTGCGTCGTTGTTTTCGTTTCTGGCAGAGGATCCTGGGGTCGCGGCATGAATGCAGATGTTCCTTTGTCGTAACTTGAGTTTTCTTTTGTTGGTTTGGTTATTGGTCAAGCAATGTTGGAATTGAGCAGTTCCAGCAACGCTTGTGCAGAGGACATGTATTTGTCGCGCTTTTTCAGATTCGACTTTCTCGGACTCGAGCTTTTTCCACTGTTGCCTTGATAATAGAACTTCCGCTGTCTCGCAGGCATACTCCGGCAGGGCAATGTTGTCTTTGAGCTGAAAATGAGATTAGTATGGAGCATACTGGCGCTGCAGCTTGCTCTTTCGAGGATCGAACTTCCATTGGAAGCTCCGAGGCACTGCGACTGTGAAAACACGATCGAAAAACCACTTCATGAGACATCGGTTCAACAAATACGCCCCATTCATGGCTAAATCGCACCGCTACAAACAGAAACCCAAAGACCAATGCCCTTCAACGGAGCTGCTGGCCGCCCGTGCGCTGAATCCAATCGATCGAATCAATCCATCCCTTCCAAATTGCTTTCTCTGTTGAGTGTGCGTGATTGCTGACCGATGTCTGGTTGGTCGGCGCGGCTGTTTTCAAACCCGACCAGCTGTCAGACAGCTGTGTACCGACTGGCTGAATTCAAGTCCCTTCCCGCTCCAACTGCTGAGCATTGTCCCTCTCACTTTGAAATGCATTTTGTTGTGTATGTATCAGTCCATCAGCAACTCTCGCTTTCATCCTCTCGCTCTCATCCTCTCGCTTTTGATTCCGGGCTTTCTCCGACAAATTTGTGCGTTCAGTTTTCATTTTAGTACTGTTTGGTCTTCTTTTGCCGCTTTCCCGTCAACACTCGCTCGTCATCCATTCAACTTTTCAATCATCAAACACAACAACTCACTTTCGGTCTTTTGGTCCTTTGTCTCGTTCCTTCTGCACGTCAGATAACAAAAACAACAAACGGTAGCCATGCTGCGGTTGTCGGCGTTTTGCGCAATCTCGCTGCTGCTGCTCTTTGCCGGCCTGCTGGGCGTCGACGCTCACGGTCGCCCGTCGCCATGGTCGAAGGGTGCTGCTGGACGCTGGCACAATGACCTGGAGGAAGCTGCACCCTCGCGCGAGTTGCTGCTTGAGCTCGAGCAGCAGGAGCAGCAGCTGGAGCTGGACGGCACTATCAACCGTCGGGCGCCACGCGCCGCGGTCACCGTCTCTGCAAGCCCGTCTCTGATCGCCAAGAATGGAGACACGGTCACCGTCTCGTGGAGTGGCGTGACAAAGGTCCAGGCGGACGACTGGATTGGCGTCTACTCGCCCAGCACGAGCGAGCACAGCCTTTACATTGATTGGGTTTACGTGAAGGAGGTGAGGCATCCATCCATTGCTGCTGCTGCTGCTGCTGCTGCTGCTCTCGATTGGAGACAAGTTGCGCGTCCTTTCATGAAGCATTTGAGGTTGCATTGACGATTGTTGTTGACCGTGAATATGCCGTTGCTAGTGCGAAACCGCGTCGCAAGGCTTTGGCAATGTCACCTTCGAGCTCGTCAACATGCGCAAGGACTATGGCTTCCGCTACTTTTCTGGCAACACTGTGCTCACTCAGCTGGCCCAAAGCGCTCCTGTCGAATTCGTGAACAAGAATGAGCCCACGCACGGCCGACTTGCCTACCCTGGCGACCCGACCACAATGCGGTAAGTGAACGACTCTTTGTTTGTTTGCCAAAGTGCACTCGAACATCCATGTGTCAAGCTAGGACTTTTGATGATTGTGCCCCCCCCCTCTGCGTTTGCTCATTGGCCTCGTTCAATGTTTCACATGTTCTTTCTTCTGTCAGAGTGATGTGGGTGACGAACGAAGACAAAACAATCCCGACCGTGCAATACGGCACCTCGGCTGGAATCCTCAACATGAACATGTCTGGAACGTCCCACACGTACCGCGCGAGCGACATTTGCAGTCCTCTGGCTTCGACTCCGAGCCCGGTCTTGTTCATCGATCCCGGCTTTTTCCACGACGTGCTGTTGACCAATCTCGCGCCGAGCACGCTGTATTGGTACAGGTATGGCAACGATGCCACTGGCTGGAGTGCAGTGGCCAACTTTACCACGGCCCCGCAGCCTGGCAAGAATACTCCCATCTCGTTCGTGGTCTATGCGGATATGGGCACGTACTCGACTGGGCCCGGCGCTGTCGCCACTTCCGAACGCGTTTTGAGCCACCTTGACGATGTCGACTTTGTCCTGCACGTCGGCGACCTTTCGTACGCGTTGGGCCGTGGCTACGTGTGGGAGTGGTTTGGTGCACTGATTGAGCCGATCGCCACCAACAAGCCGTACCAGGTCTCCATTGGTAACCACGAGTACTGCCATCTTCTTGGCGGCGAGAAGGATCCCAGCCACGCGGCAGGCAATGGCTTCCATCCTTCCTGGGGCAACTATGGCGATGATTCGAACGGCGAGTGCGGCGTCCCGACCCACAACCGCTTCCACATGCCCGACAATGGCAACTCGGTCTTCTGGTACTCGTTCGACTACGGCTCTGTGCACTTTTTGCAGTTCTCCGCCGAGCACGACTTTCTGCCAGGCTCGGACATGTACAAGTGGATTGCCAACGACCTCGCGTCCGTCGATCGCAGCGTGACGCCGTGGATTTTTGTGTCTGCCCACCGCCCGGCGTACTGCAGCGAAAACTACATGGGCGACTACAACGTCTCGCTCTATTTGCGCGCGGCACTCGAGCCCTTGATGCAGCAGTACAAGGTCAACATTTTCTTCTCTGGCCACTACCACTCGTTCCAGGCCACCTGCCCCGTCATGAACGGCACTTGCAGCGGCACCTTTGACAAGCCTACTGCCCCAGTTCACCTCATGGTCGGCATGAGCGGCGCGTCCCTCGACAATGAAACGTACATGAATGTGACGTGGGACGCCTTCCACGATCAAGCCTTCGGTGTCGCGTACGTCCACGTGCACGACGCCAACTCGATGTACTTTGAGTATCGCCACAACGACAATGACGGCGTTGCTTGGAATATGACTTTGAGCAACTGGGCGATGCTGTGAGGTGTTGTTTTTGTCGTTTTGTCTTTTTTGTTTGGGGCAAATCAATAGATCTACATTTTCTGAACCATCCAAGCCATTATTTTTGACCATTCCATTCTTGTCGAACGCTTTCAGTCTTGGTTATTCTTTTTTGATATTTTCAGCAAACACAATGAGCAACGTCTTCTTTAGCACGCTGCTGCCAATTCTCTGCATCATCATCACAGTGATCTTGCAGCTCAGTTCCTTGTACGGCGCACAAAAAACGCACTCACTTCCCGCTTTTTGTAGTTTTCTGCTCCTTGCACTTGTTGTGCAATTGTCTTGTTGTGCTTGGCGTGTGTGTGGTGTGTGGCGTGAGAGCGGGTGGAGAGAGGAGGAAGAGGGCGGGGTGGTTCGCTACGTCGTCCGCATGGCCTCACGTCCCTCGCGACGTATGGGGTTTGCAATGGTCGCCCGAAACGAAGCTTCACCACTCGAGGCAGACAACCCACTGCACACTCGTTCGCGTGATGACTGCTCTGAACGAGGAGCTGAGCATCATGATGATGTCGCCGCGTAACAAACACAATGAGCTGTGCGAACGATTGATTCGCTTCAGTTGGTGACCACCTGACTGCATCAATCTCAGACAAACCAATCAATCAGCAAGATTATCAAAAATCCACAAGAATATCAATGCATTCAACGACAGTTGACGTTTGATCTGTTTGCGTTGATCAGCACTGACTTGACTGTTGGGTACCTGTTTGTTATCTCTTGCAGACCAGGCATTCTGGCCATCCAACGCGCGAAATCGCTCGGAGGCTTCAGCCCACTCGTTTACCCATTCTTACTTGCAAACTGCATCGGATGGACAGTTTATGGCATTATGATTAACGACATGGCGGTATTTAGTCCGAATGCGTTCGGGTGCCTGATGACTTCGTACTACCTGCTGGTCTGCATCGAGCTGGCGAGCGAGCGGGTACGACCTGCATGCACGTTGTACATCTTGCTTGCATGGTGGCTCACGCACACACGTTGTAATGTGCACAGACTGCCATGATCATGCGGCGTTGCGCGTTTGGCCTGACAATCTACATGCTGGTCGCGTTTTACGTCACGTCCTTTCACGTTCCCTCGCAAGATGACAAGCAGCTCGTGATCGGGTTGGTGACGAACATTGTCCTGTTCTGCTTCTTTGCCGCCCCATTGATGTCGATGGTATGTCGTGTCCGTCTGTCTGTCTGTCTGCCATTTTTCCGTCTTCTGCCATGTTTACTCACCAATGTTGACGTTCCTTTGTTCTGCGCAGCGCCAAATTCTGCAGACTAAGCGAGCAAATTCCATCTCTGTACCACTCAACTGCACGACCCTGATCACTTGCGCCGTGTGGGTGGTGTACGGCATCGACCGCGACGATGTGTTCATCTACGTGCCGAACGGCGTCGGCTTTCTCCTGAATTTCACCCAGCTAGTCCTGGTGATTGTCTTTGAAGGCGTCGGCGCTCTCATGTGCTGGAAGCGCAGCACTGTTCGGCCTGCAGATGCCACGGATCTTGAGCTAATCAGTGAGAATGTGGATGCTCACAAGCAAGAGTTTTCGACCGCCGTGCAGGTGGAGGTGCTTGCTCATCCCGCGGCCCTCTCCGAGCCCAGCACATCGTCTGTTTCGTTATTGCACAACGAGGCCAGTGACAGCGACGAAGATCGTCAATAGCCTGCCCTTTTTTGCTTTTTGTTTGTTTCGATTGTTGCGTTGATTGAGCTTTGTTAGACAACTTTGTAATCTGATACCCGTTCACTATTCCTTGCATCGATGATACTGTGTATATTCTATGACAGTATATGCCACATCCAGTCCTTTTGTTACTCTGATTTTTGTTTTGAGCATGAGCGGACGTGTGGTTCGTGTTGGCTCCCGCAAGAGCGAGCTCGCACTCATCCAGACCAACTCTGTCATTGCGCGTCTGAAGGCCATCTACTCTGACTGCACATTTGAACTGAGTACGTTCGAGAGGCGTGCATGGTGGGAATGCGAGGCTGCTTCTGCTGTGCATGGCTGTGTGGGGACGCGTGGAAGTGCAGCTCACTTGATGGTCATCATGGCCCTCCCCCCCCCTTCTTCAGCTACAATGAGCACAACAGGCGACAACGTCCTTGATCGCGCACTCTCCAAGATTGGCGAGAAGAGCCTCTTCACCAAGGAGCTCGAAGTCGCTCTTGCTCAGAACGAGGTAAAGCGAGCGCATATCCCTCCGACTCGACCCAGTTCGACTCGGAATTTGTCGAGGGTTTGGAATAGATCACATGTTGGCGAATAATCGAGTTCAACAAGCTGGGGAAGTGGGGCAAAACCGGGTTGCTCGACTCGCTCATGCTCACTGCTCTTGATCGACAGGTTGACCTGGTCGTGCATTCGCTGAAAGACTTGCCCACAACACTCCCGCCAGGCATGACGATCGGTGCCATTTGCAAGCGCGATAGCCCATACGATGCTGTACGTTGAGACTTGCAGGCTCCAAAAAGGTAGAAAACAAAAGGCCAAGTTTCATTTTCTCACTTTCCCCCTCAATCATCTCTCCCCGCCAGGTCATCCTTCGAGCAAAGTTTGCAGGACTGACGCTGGCTACCCTTCCAGAGGGCTCAGTCATTGGAACCAGCTCGTTGCGACGAATTGCGCAGCTTCGGCGTGCATTCCCCCATCTCGTCTTCCGCGATGTGCGTGGCAATCTCAACACGCGCCTTCGCAAGCTGGATGACGCCGAGACTTATGCTGGTCTCATTCTCGCCGAGGCTGGGCTCGATCGTATGGGCTGGCAAGGTCGTGTGAGCGAGGTGAGCTTGTCGAGTCCATTTGCATTTGAAGGCTGAAAGCTGGGGCCGTTTCATGTTGTTTGCCTTTATAGGGATGGCGGCGAGACTGTTGCACTCATAGTTTGACTGTCGGGACCTTGTTTTGCACTTGATTAGATTCTCAAGCCGGAAGTCACCTTGTACGCGGTTGGTCAAGGTGCGCTGGCCATCGAGTGCCGTGAGAATGACACTGCCACTCTCGAGCTGCTGAAGCCTTTGCAAGATAACGACACGACGCTCCGATGCACGGCGGAGCGAGCCTTCATGCGCAGCTTGGAAGGCGGCTGCTCAGTCCCGCTCGGTGTCCACACCGAGTTTGACGCTTCCTCCGGTCAACTGCGCCTTCGGGGTGGAGTTTTCAGCCTGGACGGCACTGATTCACGCTTTGCTGAGCGCACCATCACCGCAACCGACGCAGCCACAGCCAGTGGCCTCGGACAGGCGCTTGCCACCGAAATGATTGCCGCTGGTGCTGCCGAGATTTTGAAACAAGCTCGCGAGACCACGCATGCTGCAGCAGCAGCTTCCATTGATGCCGCTCAAAAGTCGTAGCTTGGATGTTGCAAGTTGTGCAAGCTGTGCCGGCACCCTTCCTGGTGGATTGATTCATGAATAGATACCGATTGTGTGTGTTTTCCAAGTTGGCTCAAAATCTCATCTCAGGCCCTCTCCCCGCGCTTCAGAATTTTGTCAATTGATCTGCGATTTCCTTCGCAATCTGCCATTCTGATAGTTTTTGCTCTACGACGCGATCCACTCTTTTTCACGTGAGTACAAAAACCACCATTGAACAAGAATCAAAAAAAAAAAAAAAAAAAAGAATAGAAAAAAAAGAATAGGGCCATCGCAAAACCCACGAGGACACCACCGCTGGCACTGCGCTAGAGGAGGAGGAAGAGGAGGAAGGTGACCTGTGGCCAGCACCAGATCACGGCTGCCAATCTTGCTCGTACCCGACTGGCACCGCAACTGGAAAAGTCCAATCGATCTTCCTCAAAAAAAAAAAAAAAAAAAAAAATCAAAAACGAGATCTCCAAAAGCCAAGAGATTTCGCGCTGCTTGTTGCTCGCTGCTGGCGTGTGCTGTGCGCGGCTGGGATTGCACGGACGCTGCCATCAAGGCCAAGGCTGCGTTAGCGTTGCGCCGAGACGAGAGAGAGAGAGAGAGAGAGAGAGTGAATCAATGGAAGGAACCACACCACTTTCCATTGCTTTGGAAAGCGCATGTGCGACTTTTTTTTTTTTTTTTTTTTTTTTTTTTTTTGATTTTGGGGGTGAGAGAGCGATCTGCTCCAGCAGAGCCCAGCTCAAAATCAGACAAGGCATCCCGTCACACTGTAGTCGCTTTGGGTCTGTTTTGCCAAGGTGTTTGCGTGTGTTTGAGTGCTGCAGTCTTGCTTCCTCCGACGGTTCCGTTGGGTGTCGACCAGATTGACTCAATTCGATTGCTCGCTTGCTGCTGCTTCCTCTCGTTCACGACAGTCCACATCAAACAATGTCTGTTCCCGCTGGTGACGCCGCTAAGGGCGAGAAGCTGTTCAAGCAGCGCTGCGCTCAGTGCCACACTGTCGAGGCTGGTGGCCCACACAAGACCGGCCCCAACCTCAACGGTCTGTTTGGCCGCAAGACCGGCCAGGCTGCCGGCTACTCGTACACTGATGCCAACATCAACAAGGGTAAGTTGACGCATTGAGCCAGTTATCTTTCTGATCTCCGAGGGGGGTCGTGGGTTTGGATTTTGCGCGAGCACTTTTTTTTTTTTTGTTGCATTTTGTGTTTGATCGCTCTCACTTCAAACTCCCTTCGTCGTGACTCTGCTAGGCATCACCTGGAACGAGGAGACCCTCTTCGAGTACCTCCTTGACCCCAAGAAGTACATCCCCGGCACCAAGATGGTCTTCGCCGGCCTCAAGAAGAAGGACGAGCGTGCCGACCTCATCGCCTACCTCAAGAGCTCGACTGCCTAAGCAGTCATCCTTCTCGAGGACGCGTCACTGTGTGTCTATCGGACGCTTGCTCTGAAACTGGCGTGCTATCTCGCTTGTTTTTGTGGGTTGGATTTCTTTGTAAATACATTGTGATGCTGTAATTTGTTCTTTGGTCCAGGTGATTCCTTGTTTGTTTGGTTTTCCAGGTTGATTGATTGTGCTGTTGGGTGGTTGCTAAATCCTTCTCGTCGATGGAGCGTGTTGTCAGAGCAAGGCAAGGCGGTGGGCCATCCAACCCAACTGTGCATTTTTGCAGCTGCCTTTTGGCCTGATTGTTGTATTTGTGTTTGGTTTATTTGCAAGTTGTTTTTCCATCCTTTTGCAGTCTGTTTTTTTTTTTTTTTGTTGTTGTTGTTTCGTTCGTGTCACACAACAATGCTGGCTTTTGATGTGGACGCGTGGCTCGAGCCGCATGCGCTCACGCTCGGCTTTTCTGTTGACAAGCTCAAGTACGGCTGCTCTCTCTCTCTCTTTCTCTCTCTTCTCCGTTGATATCTCACCAGGCTCCCCTCCTCCCACTCGTCCACGTCTCTCTCACTCTCGCTCTCGCTCACCCTCTGCCCTGCCATCGCTGCGAGTGCCCCCCTGCTTCCCATCTGCGATCGGCAATAATGCGAACGAACGTTCTTTCATTTTTTTTTTTTTTTTCATTTCCCCAACAAAAAACCTTGAACAAAAAAGCCGCGCTCTTACTGTGATTGCTTCATCCATACATCATCCATTGCATCGCATATGCTCATCACATTGTTACTGTTTGACATTCGTTTTCAACTCAGGCTCGTGATCTGCCTGCTGGCTGCCTATCTGATCTCGTTCGGTCACAAGATGCTGCCGTCCCCGACCACCAAGCATCTGTCAGTTTTTGAGGACTTGTTATTGTTGTTGTTGACTTCGTGTTTTGAAAATAAGAAAGATCAAAATTGAAGGCTCACATGTTGATTTTGATGTTGATGTTGCATTTGATGTTGCATTTGATGTTGCATTCGAAGGTACTCTGCGACGGCCGGCTTCCTGTTTGGCATCTTCTGCTTTGGCTTGACGCAGATGGCGCTGCCGCTCGCCATGGCCATCCCGGTCTACGCCCTCAGCTTTGTCCCCAACCCCAAGGTGCCCCTCGTCTCGTTCGTCTTCTGCCTCTTTTTCATGTGCATCTGGTAAGGGCTGACAGTTGCCACAGTTGTGGCATGTGCTTTTGCTTTCAAGAGTCCAAGAGTCCTCACTTTGTCCTAACCCCACCCCCTCCCCTCCATCCATAATCCTGCTCTGGGTGATTGAAAAATGCAGCCACATGGTGCGCCAGTACTACGACTACGGCGGCTACACTCTCGACGTCACTGGTCCGCTCATGATTCTCACCACCAAGCTCACCGCCTACGCCTTCACTGTTGCCGACGGCCGCCGCTTTGAAAAGGTACCGCCAGCTTGCTTGCAACCTCCCAGCGAATGCACTCGTCCTGCTCGTCCTACACGAGTCACGGAAAATTTCATTCCTGGGACGACTAACAACATTCCATTTCTGCTTTTTTTTTTTTTTTTGTGTTGTTGTTGTTGTTGTTGGTAGTGCACTCCCGATCAACAAAAGTACGCCACCCGCCAGGTGCCCTCGGTTCTCGAGTTTGCCGGCTTTGTCTTCTTCTACGGTGGCTTCCTCTCTGGCCCTGGTATCGAGTTCCAGGACTACATGCGCTTTACCAACTTGACTGTTTTCCCTGTACGTCTGACTTTTGGTGTTTGACGGCCTCGATTGTTCCCCGCCTGCCCTCCATCTCACCATCCATTGGCATTTGAACGCCCTGTGCACAGAACGGCAAGATTCCCAGCACCATCAAGCCTGCCCTGATGCGCTTCCTTGCTGGCATTTTCTTCATGGTTTCGGTTGTCCTCGCTGGCCAGTTCATCCCCAACATGTACATCAAGACCGCCGAGTTCCAAAACGACCGCTCGTTCTTCTTCAAGGTCTTTTACGTCATTACCGGAGTTGCCTCTTCGCGGTAAGGTTTTTTTTTTTTGAAGAAGTGCAACAAACAACAAACAGCTCATTTCTCTCGCCAACCAATGCCTTTGGTTTTGGCGGCATCAACCATCCAGTCTGCCGTACTACTTTGCGTGGATTATGGCCGAGGGCGGTTGCGTTGCCGCTGGTCTTGGTTACAACGGCGTCGACAAGAGCGGTCAAATCCAGTGGAACGGCGTCGCCAACGTCAACCCCATCGCGATCGAGACTGCCACGAGCTTCAAGGTTGTCATTGACAACTGGAACATTAACACCAGCAACTGGCTGCGCCGCTATGTTTACGAGCGTCTCACCCCTGCCGGCAAGAAGGCTCCTCTTTACGTTACCGTTGCCACTTACATGACCTCCGCCTTCTGGCATGTACGTGGCGATCTTTGATTTCGTTTGTTGTTGTTATTCTATCGCCTAGGGTCTGAAAATGTCCTTGTGTTGTGTGGTGGACGCTGACGCTCGTGACTTTGTTTCTCTCGCAGGGATTCTACCCTGGTTACTACCTCACCTTCGCCTGCGGCGCTCTCGTCACCGAGACTGCTCGCAACCTGCGCCGTCGTTTCCGCCCTCTCGTCATGGAGGCAGACGGCAAGACCCCTAAGCCAACCAAGGTTGCCTACGACGCTGCTGGCTGGTTTGTCACCCAGTTCACCCTTGACTACATTTGCGCCGCCTTTATCATTCTGACCATCGAGGATTCGCTCAACTTCTACGAGTCCATCTACTTCTGTGGCCACATTGGCATTGCCCTCGCCATGCTGTACTTCAACCAAGTTGCCAAGCAGGAGCGTGCTGCCGCCAAGCGTGCCGCTCGCGAAGCCAAGGACGGCGCTGCTCCCGTCGCTGCCCCGGCCACCACTGCCGCATCCCCTGTCGCGGCCAGCTCCCCCGTCACGCGTTCGCGCAAGGCGGATTGAGCACTGAGCAAGCAGATTTTTCGTGTGTTCTGATACCTTCTCCTTTGTTTTTTGCCCTCGCGAATCGCTTGATTTTGTTTTGTGTAGTCTCCTCTTTTCCCCCTGTTTCAGAGTGTTGCTAGTGGGAAACCCCCATCACAATACAAACAGATGCCCCCCAAATGTCCAGTAATGGCGCCAATGTCGATAGATACAACTTTTATTGGATTGCAGTATTTTACATTCAGTTGGAATTGTACATGTTCACTTTTCGATGAGCCTTTTAGTCGCTGAGCTCCTTGACAGCTCGTAGAACTACGTTGGTGTCAGGAATGCGAGCAAGGGTGCTGGTGCTGGTGCTGGTGCCGGTGCTATTCTTCTCGGCCAGTCTGGTCCATTCGTACTCGCCGCTGCGTTCAACGAAACCCGCCTGATCAAAGACGGTCTTCCCCCAAGCGCCTTGGACACCCTTGTCAAGAATGCTCATCGACGGCTCCTTGGAGCCATTGACATTGTTCAAAAAGCGAAAGTACTCGTCGACAATCACGTACGAGTTGCGCATCACCGAGTTGCTCTCGGCGATCGGCGACAGGGCCTTGTGCCTTGCTAGGAATGCCGCAAACTGGTCGTCCGTTATGACAAGGGCTCGAGCATCTCGAAGGTCCTGGCCTCCTGCATTTTCACCATCGATCAGCAAGCATTGGAAAACCTTCCATCTCGCAGGCTGCAGGCGCGCAATGTGCTCGGTCATGTCCTCATTCACGTTGTGGGTGTTGACCACGGTGTTGAGCTTGAATTTGACGCCAAATCGTCCACAGAGCTCTTGGACGCGGTAGGCGACTTCCACCTGTCTGGCGGCGGCGTTGGCGGCTGTACGACCGATGAGCTCGTTGGTGCCTTCGTCGAACGAGTCGCAGCTGATGGCCATAATGTCCAGCCACTGTCCGTACTGCTCAAACCATTCTTCAGTCACGAGACTGCCGTTCGTGACGATTGTGACCGATTCAAGCTGGAGCGTTTCCTTGGCGTACCGGACCATCTGACCAACCTGCTTGCCGCGCCGGATGAGGAACGGCTCGCCGCCACTAAAGTTGATCTTGCGCATGCCGGCCTCCTTGAGAAGCTTCATGCCGCGACATGCCTCTTCAATCGGCACGAGATGAGAGGTCTTTGCTGTGTGGAAGCAAAATTTGCAAGAGTAGTTGCACTGGCGCGTAAAGTGGTAGTTGACGCTCACGACATTGGCAGCATTTGCGGAGCAGTTGATGGCTTCTGTGCCGCCGAGGGATGGTCCTGCGAGAGTCGAGGCATCGACAGGGAGTTTGAGGCGAGCGAGCAAACTGGTGTTTGTTTGTACTCCGCTCGTGGCCGAATTTGGGCGTACTCCAACTTTTGCGTCAGAACTTGTCGGCCTCTCGCCCAGAGTTTGACGAAGGCGGTTTCTCATGTAGAAGAGGGTTGTGACAACTCCAACCACGACCAGCGCAATGTAGCTGTAGATGGCAGAGGAGCCGGCGCACTGAATCAGCTCAGCAAACAGGTGTTTCAGCATTTTTTTTTTGGTTCGGATCTTGGAGTATTTTTTTTTTGTAACAAAATCCAGGTCAAATCGACGGGCTTTCAGGGAGATTAAATCAAAAGAAGAGTGACCTGAACCTGACAATCTTCATGCACTCGAGCAAAAAAACAGGTGAAAAGAGACACTGGGAGGGTTTCGAAACACGGATGAAAATCGGTGCATTTACGGGTTGTCAATGAGTCCCGTATCCTGATTCATGGTTTATCACTAAAACAATGCATTAATATATAATACTGAACAACATGCCGCTTGGCACCAGAGGGAAGAGGGAGGGGGCCCCTTGGCGGATGTCGCGTTTCGCAAAGTCGACGCCGGCACAGATGAACGCCCGACCGTTCAAGCTTGAGGCTCTGTGAGTGAGTGCATCAAGCAGCCTGATGTGAGCAAAAGTTTTTGTTGCTGCGGCTGGTACCAGGCCCTTGCTACTGACGCACAAGCACCAGAGCAAAATGAAATGGGCGACGTGATTGAATGCGTTGCGCACCTGCCCTTATTCGTCTGAGTTTCCAGATACCAAGACGACCCACAGGGCCAATCCAACCAGTACAGTGCACACGATGAATGTAACTGCAGAGATGGGTCGATGCAAGTGGTCTGGTCGCAGTTGCACCTTCTGCACCGGCGAATTTTGCGGCATTCTGTTGAAAGGGAAACAAAGGAGTGATCTCTCCAAAGCGGAAATCTTCCATAGCTTCATCAATGGTAATATTTTGGGAGAGTTTGAACCAAATGCTCGATTACCGACTGATGCTGCCACAATCTGAGAATCGGCGCCAGTCTTTTTTTTTTTTTTAACTATTTTTTTTTTCATTTTTTTAACAGTTGCTTTGTTTGGCATGAGTGTTGCCCCGCCCAGCAAGTCCGCGTCGTCGCGTGTCCGGAGCCGCAGCGCTGTCGGACACATTGTCGAGCGACTGATGATTGTAGCGCGCGATCGGCGAGCGCCCGGTGCGCCTGTTGCTGCGGGCGCCTCGCGGGATGGGATTCGGGTCTGCGAGGCCTTCCCGGCCATGTCTGGCAGCTCGGTCTCTGCCGCCGAGGACGCCGCCTTCCTCAACAACGCGGCCAAGTTCTGCTTCCCGTTCGAAGAGAAGCTCGAGGCTCTCCCGTTCGATCCGTATGTGCCACTTCATCACGGACTTCTACAACTCTTTTTTTCTTTTAATCTTCCCCCTCACGCGGCGGTGGAGCGATTCGCGCCGTCTCAACCCCCTTTCCCCCCACCCAGGCTACAGAACAGCAAGTAGTAGTGATCAAAGCCAGGAATGGGGGACGGCCAGACAGCTGATCCAATACCATCCCGCTTGAAACCACGAGGCCCTTTGACGAATTGAATGAATGAATGAAAAGCCCACCCCCCACACACACACGATTTGCACAGACATGTCACTCACACTTAACTTGACCTTGCTGACGCTTGTTGTTGTTGTTGTTGTTCATGCTCTGATTGTGTCGGCTAGGCGCACATTCACCTTTGTGCTGACGGACGGCGACGGAAGCCAGCAGTTTGGGTTTTGCCGCTTGGTGCCACGCGCGGTCGAGGCGTCGAGCAACGGGTCGACGTCGACACCGAGTAAAGGGCAGCTGCAGCCCGGTCTCAGCGCGCTCACACCCGGAGCCATGTCGGTGGCTGCATTGGAGGGAAGCGCAGCAGCAGCCATTGCCAACGCCAATCTCAAGTCAAACCGCTCCCAGTTTGACCTCGAAGCCATCTGCATCCTGTCCTATTTGCCCTGGTTTGAGGTGTTTGACGACGTGCTAGACAAGCTGATTGAAATGCGGAAAATGTAAGTCAGCCCGTTCTCCTCCGTTCCTTGGTTCCTTTGGTTTGACTCTTTGTTGGTGTGCTGACCTTTTTTTTTTTTTTTGTTTTTTTTTTGGCGACTTTCTCGTCGCTGCCACAGCCCCCAGCACCACCAGTACATTGAAGAGTTCATCAACTGCATCCACACAGTGCCAATACCACGCTCAGGCGACCATTTTGTTGTGACGCTGGCCAGCATTGCAAATCTGCCTCCAACAGCCGTTAGCAACAAGAAGCCATCGCCATTACCATCCCCAAACTTCGTGTTTCACTCACCCGATGACACAAAGATGTGGCGCATTCCGGACCACCTCTGCCTGTCGCAGCTGTGCGTGTATTGCCTTTCATCGCACGCGTTGATTGGCGTATTTGCGGCTCTGCTGATGGAGCGCCGTGTGCTCGTCTTCTCGTCCAAACTTTCACGCGTCTCCTCGGCCATTCATGCCTTGAATCATCTTCTATACCCTCTTTACTGGCAGCACGTCTTCATTCCGATCATGACGCCGCAGTTGCTGGACTACTGCTCGGCTCCCATGCCTTATTTTATTGGCGTGCATTCGTCCATGATGGAGGTGAGCCATGGAGACTCGCTTCAAGGGTGGTTGTTGTTGTTGCTGTTGTTGTTGTTGTTGTTGTTGTTGTTGTTGTTGTTGTTGTTGTTGTTGTTGTTGTTGTTGTTGTTGTTGTTGTTGTTGTTGTTGTTGTTGTTGTTGTTGTTGTTGTTGTTGTTGTTGTTGTTGTTGTTGTTGTTGTTGTTGTTGTTGTTGTTGTTGTTGTTGTTGTTGTTGTTGTTGTTGTTGTTGTTGTTGTTGTTGTTGTTGTTGTTGTTGTTGTTGTTGTTGTTGTTGTTGTTGTTGTTGTTGTTGTTGTTCAAGGGTGGTTGTTGTTGTTGTTGTTGTCCATTCATGCGCTCACTTTGCTTGTCTTCCTTTGCGATCTCAGCGAATCTCCCACATGCCCCTCGAGGAAGTCGTGGTCGTCGACTTGGACGAAAATCGGATTATTCACACGCAAGAGTCCGCCAACAGCGGCCGCGCGGGCCCGATGGGCGACATCAACCTGTTGCCTTTTGACGCCACGCACAATCTTCACGCTGTGCTCACAAAGGCGCAGTCAACAACAGACGATGGCATTCCGCGTGCCTTCTTGCAGTACTTTCTCAGCCTCTTTGGCAACTACCAAGAGCACATCATTCTGGGACAGTATTCCGGTCCGCCGCTCAATTACGTCAACGGGGTTGCGACTCTGACGTCGCCCTCTGCCGGCGTCTCGATGGTGACGAGCAAGGGAGTCAAAATCTCGTTCGATCTCGACGGGCTGGTTGCCAACAAGCCTCGACAGGTTGCCGACTTCCTGAACGTCTTCCTCCGCTTGCAAATGTTCCAGCAGTTTATCATTGAGCAGCTGCACAAAACCGCGCTGAATGGCGGCGAGGCTCTCGGGGCAACACTCACCAATTCGACCTTGTTTGAGCGTGAGGCTTACAAGCTTGGCAATGCAAAGTACAAGCGGTACACGCGGCCCGTGGACTCTCGCGCGGCCATTCCTACCGATCCGAATGTCAAGCTCAAGTATGCACCACCAACCACCGAGAAGGCTGTTCGCAAGTGTCGCGACGAGCTCGCTCAAAAGCAAGCGCAGTACCATGTGCGACTCAGTCAGCTCAAGCAACTGCATCAGCTGCAGCAGCAACGCGACCAATACATTACCCATGCCATGTCGCCACAGCGCGGGCATGCGCGGGCTGCTAGCACCGGCTCGGCGGCGATCTCTCTGCCTCCATCGACTCTGCCGACTGCTTCGTCGTCGTCGAGTGCTGCCGCTGCAGACGGCCTCGCCAAGCGACCGTCTCCGCTCGGCGGTGCAGCTGGGGCGAGTGTTGGCGACAAGAAGGCGCCGCCGCCACGGCCTCCGCCGCCGAAAGCGGCCAATGTTGGAACCATTCGCCAGCAGTCCGACCCGACGTCTGGCAACCTGATTAGTCTCACACCACCTGCCAGTTCGATCGAATTCGATCCACTTGCCGCCAGAGCCTCAACTAGCTCCGCAGGATCGATGACGCCCATGTCGCGCGACAGTCCTGACGCAGATGCAGCCGATTTGGACCCGCTTGATAAAAGTTCGCATCATCCTTCGCTGAGCCGCGCATCGTCGACTGACTCATCATCGAGCGTGAGTCGCAACACTAGCGACGTGGATCTCTTGGATGAAGACGGCAATGTTGTGCAAGAGCACGAGGCAGTGTTTGTGCCGCAGAATACCCGCTCGCCTTCCAGCTCGTTCTCAATCTCCGAGTCTATGAATGCGATGCATCTCGGGCAGACTCGGCAGCGTGGCAGCGTTGTAAGCCGCGGCAGCGGCTCTGGATCGAACTGGGGCGGCGGTGCAGATCCGTTCACGGATTCTTTCGTGCCTTTCGTTCGCAACTCCACAACCACTGTCCAGCCATCTCCGCTCGGTGCCTCGTCTGCTGCGGCTGCCAACCCACCGAGCTCGACCACCGTCTTTAATATGCCCAACCGTACGTCTGTTGCGGCCAGCTCAAACCCTCCCACACCCATTGCGCCCATCCGGACCAAGAGCATTTCTGCCGCAAATCGCGCTGCGATGGCCAATGCATCGCTCAACACTGATCTCCAAGCGTTCGACCCTCTCAACGGGTGAGTGCTGATATGTGCTTTTGTACTGTTGTTACGCTGTAGAATACATGAACATTTTTTTTTTTTTTTTCCGTTGCGTTCCCTTCAGCACGTATTTGAAGCACTTGCAAGAATTTTTTGGCTTGTCTTGAATCATCAACTAATATTGGCGGTAGTAGTCATCCCGAAACGCGCGATTCACATTTTTGGTTAGTGGGTGACAGCAATCTCTGGGGAAAATTCTGGAATGACAACATCCGCCCAGTTTGGGATGGACTTTGTCTGTTGGTAGGTTTCTCGAGTGACGAATCGCTCATCGTTTGCATTCAATGAGCCGAGCAGTGAGCCTGTGCGTATGAGCGCGCAATAAGAGCACGCGTTCGAAACGAATGAGCAAAACACAACAAAAACAAAACAACAAACCAAATAAGAAAACAGCGACAGCAAATACGAATCGAAACTCACCACCAACCCAGGCAATTGTGTTGACGGGGAAGACTGAATCCACCACGCCGAAGGCAGGTCGCGTGTCTGTGGGCGTGAGCAAGGGAAGAAGGGATTTGAAACGAGGGGTGTTATTGACAGTGTGGTTGAGCTCGACAGCAAACCGCTTGAGGAATCCGGCTGCCCCGGAGGTTCCGCCGACGAGTAGAATGTTGGCAGCCAGTGCTGCGCGGTCGTCGACCGAGCTCTGAAGCAAACAAGCAAACACAACAAATCAATCGAAAAGCCGCATTCCCGGGACCAACAACCAGAAAACCGCGACCTCCTATACCTCAAGCAGAGCCTGAAGAACACTGGAAACTAGAGATTGCTCGTGCTCGTCGCCGTCATCGACAGGATCATCCGCGAAAAGCACATCGTACGGAGATCCGATCAAGCTCTCCTGCAGGACGAGCGGCTGCGACTCTGGGGCGCCTTGCAACGAGTACACGAGCGTCCGGTTGGTTGTCGCGGGTTCTCGGCTAGCGCGGACATAGCACGCGCGAACTTTAATGTCCTCGATGGTTTGACTGGTAAACTGAACGCTCGGGAAGGATTTGCCCAGCTGCAGCGCGAGCTGTCTCTCCACGGCGGCGCCACCAATCGGAAGCGTCGTATAAGCGGCCGTTACTGGAACGCCATGCACGATCGGGAGAATGGCTGTTCGTGCATGAGCACAGTCAACGAGCAGAAACGTCGCGGCAGGCCCACCGCCGACTGAAGCAGCGGTCGGAGTCGGCTGTCGCGCAGTGCCGGGCTCTGTCGCCTTGCCTGCTGCTGCTGCTGGAGCGAACGACGCCACCGCCAGCGTCGTTGCATCGTGGCTCTGAACAAAGCTCACGGCGGGGACGTCGAGCTGAGGACTGAAGAGCGCTGCAGCGAGCGCGTTCCGGAAGGCCTCGGGCGTATCGCGATCCTCGACGACAATGACCCTGCGATCGCGCGGGTTGAGCAGCAGCAAGTCCACGTAGACGTGCTGCATAAACCGGACGAGGGCGCCCGTGAGCAGCGCGGTCTGCGATCGCCGAGCGCTTCGCTGGAAGAGCAGCTGCAGATCGGCTGGTCCAACAGCATCGCTCTGCTGGCTGGCGGCTGTGCTCGGCGTCGTCGTCGTCGTAGTTGTAGGTGTCTTGCTGGCTGGTGTGATGGTTGGGTCTGCAAAGTGCGACAGGGGCGGGTTTGGGATGAGATGCCGCGGGCAATGCTCGCTCGCAAAGCCGACGCGGATCAAGCGCGAGCCAAACTCGAGCACGACAGCGCGATGAGCAGATCGAATGACATATTCAACGCCCGACGACGACGACGACGATGATGAAGAAGACGAGCCGGTCGATGTTGTTGCCGTTGTGCTGAGGAAAGGCGAGGCCATGGTGGTCGACTCCAAGCAAAAGAAACAACCCAAAAAACTCAGACTGAGCAACTTGACTTGATGAAGGAGTTGGCATGAAGGGCTGGGTTACCATGAGCACTTTTGAGCACAACAACAACAACAACAGCTAGTTTGTTTCGATCACGACAAGAGCAGAAGCTCAGAAGCTCAGACGCTCAGAGATTGTTGGTTTTTCACATATTCCTCCCTCCTTCTCCTCCTCCCGCCCCCCTTCAGCACCCGGCAACCATGCGCATCATTTTTAAACTCATCTACATGTACCATCGGCAATAATCGTTGTCCCCGTTCCCGACGCGTCCCCCGTTCCACGTCAGCAGCAGGCTGCCGGGATTTTGGTCGCCTGCCCTTGTTGTTCCTTTCCATCGTTGTCCCAAGCTCGTCTCATCGCCTTGCAACATCCACCAACCTTCTTCCCCCAATCGTCGTCTTTTTTTGCTTTAGTCCTCCACTGAATCACAAGCACAACACTACACAACAATACAGAAGACGGCTCGACGTAGCTGCGGAACAATCAACTTCTTTTGTCTGCCTTTGCCGGTCTTTTTGCCGATTCTTCCGCTCGAATACTTTGCCTTGCGTTGTTACACCAAAAACTGCTCAGTCTTTTTCTTCTTATTCTTCATTATTCTTGTTCATTCGTTTTTGTTTCATTGCTGCTGACGACGACGTTGGGAGCGCAAACCTCGATCAACCGACCATGATTGCAATCGTGACGGAGGCCTCGAGCTGGTCGCTCGTTCTGACCGCGGTCGTCGTGCTCGCGACGAGCTACATTCTCTACTACGTCTGGCTGTATCCGACGTACATTTCGACGCTCAGGCACCTTCCCGGCCCCAAGGGCCACTGGCTCACGGGGAACATGTCGGACATCTTTAACGAGGAGCCTGCTGCCCCGCATCTGCGCTGGGCCAAGCAGTACGGCTCGTACAGCACGTACCGCGTGTTCCTATCCGAGCGCTTGCTCATCGCCGACCCCGAGGGCATTCGGTAAGCGCCAACGCAACGAGTCGCAGAAAATTCACGCGGCGTAGCGTGGGACGAGAAGATTTCGCAGCGAGAAGCGAACAAACCAAAATGGATTGAAACTTCTTCACTCGCTCACACACTTTGAACTTTGCTTGATATTGGGTACCTGACCCCGCTCACTGGTTGTGCTTTGTTTGGTACTGCACACCCCCTTTTGTTGTTCCCAACCGACAACCGGGACGTTTTCGTACAAATCTCAAATCGTCCAGCCACGTCCTCTCGGCGCATCCATCCCGGTATGCTCGACCGCTGCTGGCCACCAACTTGCTGAAGCGCGTCATCGGACACGCCTTATTGACTGCGGAGGGCAAGGAGCACGAGAGAATGCGGCGAATGCTCACACCGGCGTTCCACCACTCAAAGCTCAAGAACTTTGTCGAGCTGTTTCGGCTGTCAGCACAGCGCCTTGAGCAAAACTGGATGGGAAACATTGAGAATGCAGAAGCCAACAACAAGGAGCTCGCCGTGGATGCGACCTCCAAGGTGGCTGGCGCCAAGCCGCTCGTGGTGCCAGGCGACTCGGCCCTTGTCAACGCTCATGTTGATTTCAGCAAGTTGACCATGGATGTGATTGGCCACTCTGCCTTTGGATATGCGTTCAAGTCTCAAGAGAGCGGCGACCGCGCCATGTTTGATCTGTTTTCAGATTTGCTCGCCGTGGGCCGGTTTACCTGGAAGCAGCTGGTGCCGTTCGCCAAATACTTGCCCTTCCCAGAAAACATTGCTTTTAAAAAGGCCGTCAAGACTGCGGACGGAATTGTCGACAAGGTCATTGCCGACAAGTGGCAGCAACGCGAGCAGCAAAAGTCGAAGCAGCAGCAGCTCGTGAACGACGACAGCAACAACAACAACAACGACGAGGAGGAGGAGGATGACTTGGACACCAAGGCTGCTTCACGCAAACGCGACTTGCTGGATTTGCTCATGGATGTGCGAGACGAAGAAACCCAAGCTGCAATTTCCGATCAAGAATTGCGCGACCAAGTCAAGACGTTCATGTTGGCCGGCCATGAAGTAAGGCACACCAAGCTGCATTGCGGCAAACGTCTTGAGAAGTGCTGATGCAGATGAGGCTTTCGAGCGAAAAGGTTGTGATCAGCAGTGTAATGCCAACGTCGATGATGTACATGTCGTGTCTCCCCTCCACTTTCTAGACGACCTCTGTTGCAATGTCGTGGATATTGTATGCCCTTGCCCAACACCCTGACGTCCAAGACCGCCTGCGCAGCGAGTTGGAAGACTTTGACGTCGAGCACATGACGTGGGAGTCCCTTGAGAAGCTGTCCTACCTTTCTGCGGTGATTTCCGAGGCAATGCGCCGTTACCCTCCCGTGCCGATTACCAATCGCGTTGCGATGCAGGACGACGTGATTGGCAATGTGCAAGTTCGAAAGGGCATGACAATCATGATCCTTCCCGGAATGATGCACCTCCATCCTGCACTCTGGGACAATCCCGACGAATTCCGACCCGCCCGGTTTTTGAGCGAGGAGCAGGGCGGCACGGGGGAGGCTGCCAAGGTCAACCGCTTTGTGTACATGCCTTTCCTGCACGGGCCGCGCATGTGCATTGGTCACAAGTTTGCCACCATGGAAATGAAAGCGGTGATTGCGACGATTGTGCGCCGCTTCTACTTTTTCATGCCCGAGAACAGCCCCGAGTACGTCAGGAGGCTCACCGTCACGATGCGTCCCTTCCCTGACTTGAAGTTGGGTATTCGACTGGTGCAAGGCTGAGAGAGCGCGTTTGCCAAATTACATGGAGTCAGTGTTGTAGAAATCAATTGCGAGTCTAACCTAAAATTTTGATCACAATTTTCGAGCCGCTTTGCACAGCCAGCGGGACAGGATTGATACAAGGATTTATTCATGGCAAAAAAAAAAACGCATCTCAAACACACATCTAATACTGTACAAAAATTGATACAAAATCTCTAAACATAGCCAGTTGGAGTGTCAAGCTCCAGAGCAGCATAGTGGCCCGGTTGCAAGTCTGGTGCCGCGTAGGTCGGACCAGGGTGCGACGACGCTGCACTTTCGCTGGATAAACGCTCGTCCCGTCTGCCCACGACAACATCCGAGTAATTGGACCCGGGTGCTTTTGGTTGGGAGTAATTGGATGTGTCATCGTAGTGGGATTCCTCCTTGCGGCCTGGCTCTGCATAGCTCGAGCCGGAGCGCTGATCGATTGCGGCATAGTTTGATTCCTTGGGGCTGGCGTAGTGCGACTGCAGGTCGTCATACAGGGGGTTGGCGACCTCTGCGGCCTTTTGATTTCGGACCGCGACCAAATCGTCGTAATTCGAAGTCCGCTGCTGTTGAAGAATATCGTACGCCTTGTCTCCCGAGGTCGAGGGTGCGTGGCGGTTTGCGAGAGGATTGAATTGCAAGGCGGTCGCTTGGAAGTCGTCGTCCACTCTCGGCTTGCGAGAATGGCGTCGGCGACGAAGCGCAATCACGAGAATCAAGACCAACAGCACGAGCGCGCCAACGACTCCTGCGATAATTGGAACGATCGACGCGGACGAGCCACTAGCGGGCGATCCAGATGGGCCAGCGGCGCTACTGGATACGGCCGGAGTTGCCGACGACAGGGCCACAATAGACGAGGAGTGCGGGACAGAGGACAAGGGCAAGTGTGTCGAAGCTGAAACCTCGGTGCTGGAGAAAATCTCGGTCGCTGATGATGATGATGATGATGATGATGATGATGATGATGATGATGATGATGATGATGATGATGATGAAGAAGAAGAAGAAGATGATGATGTCGCAGCGGCGGTTGATGATGCCAGAGCTGGGGTCTCCGAAAGAGTGGTGGACACCGCCTGATGCTCCGTCTGAGAGGAAATCGAAGAGAGCTGGGCAGTTGATCCCACGGTTTCGGTTGCAATCGACGCTACTGAAGCTGCAGAATGCGCCGAAGCTGCAGAATGCGCCGAAGCTGCAGAAGCTGCAGAAACCGACCGGTATTCCACAGAGCTAATCGATGCTGCAGAACGCGCGGAAACCGAGGTGATTGACTGATATTGCACGGAAGCAAATGACGTGACGGATGCGGCCGAAGCTTTCGAGACGGACACGATCGAGTTTGACACCACGACCGCGGACGACGAGGAAGCGATCGCCTGGCATTCGTCGATCACATTCAGCATCCAGGCTGCTGCTCCATTACTGGTAGCAAAGGGACAGAAGGTACCAGGCGCGGCGTTGGCATCTTTGTAATTTGCCGTAGTGCCAAAATCGTTGAAGCTGGTTTCGTCCGTCGTACTCCAAATGACGACAAAAGTCTGATCACTACCGAAATAAACGTCATAGTTGGGATATAAAGCGTCGGGGCTAGCTTGTCCCGATGCTAGCACCTTGTACATGAGGAGCATCGGCGTTTGACCGTTCACATTCGGTGTTGCAATGCTCCCTGAAAACGCACCGGGCTTCACAACGTTTCCGATGAAAGAGGTGTCATAGACGACTGTTCGTGTCTGTGTGTTTCCAACATGTAGGAATGTCATTGAGCATCCAGTCTGCAATCGATACTGCCGCACAATTACACAATTGGTTTCACAAGCACATACCGTGGATGAGCAGCCAAGGTACAGTGCATGCCCGGTGGCAAAATTGGACGGGGAGCAAATGTTTGACGTAAACGTAGACTTGGAAATGGACAGCTGGGTGCCGGCCACACCATTGACAGTACCGATGGCACCGCCATTGTAAGCTTTGTTGCCGGAAAACTGCTCAATGCAAGTGAGTATGCCAGTCGGAAACCATCAAAAACCAACAGGCCTTGAGCAATGGAGCAAGCTTACTGTGCTGGACGTAATTGTGATGCTTGCAGAGTTTCCAGCAATGCCAATGGCCCCGCCAATCGAAGCACTTGAGCTGTAGGTTGCCTCATTGTTTGTGAATGTAACATTTGTCACTTGGACTGAGCAGCTGGCACCGACTTGAATAGCACCTCCGACAGCTGCAAGTGCAAGAGAATATAACGGTAAGTTGTAAAGTGGAAGCAAGAGCGGAGGTGATTGGTTTTTGACAATTCTCAACTTACACGGAGCAAGGCTGTTGGAGATTCGAGAGTTGGAGATGCTGATGACATTGTTACTGACAAGATGAATGCCGCCGCCTTGAGACACAACCGAATCGCAATTGTTCAGAGTAATGTCAAACATTGTGGACTGGGCAGTGTTCGCCAAATTGATGCAAGTGCGGGCGCCGTTGATCCTGAGTTTTTCAAAGTTGACGGTCAAGCCGCTGTTAACAACGAATACGTTGTTTCCGGTCGAGGAGATGACCACATTATCCGCGGTGATGCCCGTTCCGCGGAGTGTCAAAGAACGGGCGACCGTTTGACTGTTGGAAAAGGCATACGTTCCGGTTTGCAAGCACACCACAGCGGCGGTCGACCCTGCAGTGAGTTGCAGGGCCAAATCACCTGTATTGCCGACGGTGACATCGCAGGCTTGCGCTTGTGCTGACACAGCAAGCGCCAGCAGCAGCAGCAGCAGCGAACTTTGGCGCTGCATTCCTTGGCCGGTGATTTCGGGTCGAGCAAGAGTGAAGTTTTGCCGGATGCTTTGGCTTGTCACAAGTCGGAGGTAATGTTAAATTCTAAATTCATACAGCACAATTCGCGGATGGCAAAATGCATTTGGTGAGGGGCGGCGTTTCAGATCACAAAGCGAAGACAAGCGAGGTTGACACAGATTATCCTTTCCCCCGCTCTCCGAACCGAACATCCGGAATGTTTTCCACAGCTGTTACCAGGCATGCCATGATTGCAATGTTTCGAAAAAGGGCAAAAAGGAAGGGGACAGTCTGTGTCCGCAGATCACCGAAAACTGCGAGTCTCCTAAGCCTCATTGCGGCAAATTGGCGATTGGGACGAAATCACAAGTCACCTGCTCGCTGCGTCCGTATACTCGCGCTCTCTCTCTCTCACATTCTCTCCCTGTTTGTCCAGAACAACCACCGTAGACCACAGAAAAAAAAACCCACCACCGCAGGGGCAGGGTTGCGGGTTGTTGTGGTTGAAACGTGATGACAATGCTGCAGAGGAGGAGGCTGCGGTTGTTCATCCATTCTTGTGGCATTCTTCCAAAAAAAGCCGAGGCGCGGCAACGAGTTCAATAGAATGGAAAAACCATCGTTCAATTCAATCCTCGCATCATTTTTGTCGCAATGCAGTAATCCAAAAAATCAAACAAAAACAAAAACAAGGGGTGGGCGCAAAATTTGACTTTCGAGGCCACCCCCCTCTTCCGCGAATCCTACTGCTACCACAGCACGCCTTTCTTGGACTGCTTCCGCCACCCTCAGAAAGCCTTTCACTACCATTCATTGCAGCCACACTGCAAGTGAATGTGGCTGTTGGGACATTTTGGTTCCAATTGACAGCCACAACGCAAAAAAGGACTCAAGAACCACAATTTGATTTTTTTTTTTTTTTTTTGGCTTTTTCGCATTTTTTTTTTTTTTTATCGCGCTTGACTCACTCGAAACGCGCGCCCACACGACACGTAGTCGCAGCGCATGAACGCTCGGTTTGAAGCGGAGGTTGGATTTTTTTTCAGCCCCGTTGCAGCCACCGTGTTTCGAGCACAGGCCGGGTGCACGACCATTTAGCATCGGAACCCCCAAGCCATCATCATCAGACTCGTTTTGTTTTGATCTCGTTGTTTCAATCCGTTCTTCCATCGGATGGCTTTTGTGGCTGACAACCAACACTAGTTTTTTTTTGTTCGCCGACCAGCCTTTTCCCCACACAACACACATAACAACGCGTTGGGGTTTGTTTCGTGCTGCTTGTGCTTCGGGTCTGTGTGTGGGAAACCATTCCCGAGCGCGGCGAGTCGTGTGTACAATCGACTTTTTTGTTGTTGGTTGCTCGGGAGAACAAAAACAATTCCACCGTTTGATCGGTCAGCTTACCACCGAGCACTGACCACAAAGAAATGAAATGAGAAGTAGAAATGAAGAGAGAAAAAAAAAGGACTGTCAATTGGATCAATTTTGCTTTTTGAAAGCAACAAAGAAGAAGAAAAAGAAGAATCAACAATCTGAACATGAAGAAGCGACGAAAAATGCTATCTATTCGCGTTGGTAACACGGACAGTCGGCAAGTCGCACGCAACTCGCACACACATTGACACACTTTGGCACACATTAACTGCAACAAAGTCCCATACTCAAACAAAACGCTCGAGCAAGGACCGCTGCAAAAGGGTTCAGACAGAATTTAACAAGCATCATCAAAGCATTTACAGTTTGCCATGCAACAGGTCGGCGTACTCTGTCGCCGCGCCGCCAATGGCAGGAGCGGTCGATCCTTGCGGCGGGATGTAAGACTCGCGGCAAACACTGATCACGCTGGAATAGTCGGTGGACGGAGGCGCGGGCACGTCGTAGGACATGCCGGTTTGAGCCCCATCGGCTGCCGCGTTCGGGTTTTGCAACTGATCGTACCCGGCAGCAGCCGCGGAGGTCTTGCTCACAGGCTCATACGCGTCGGCATCAGCGGGATTCGCGTACAGAGGATTGGCCGCGGGCTGGCCATACTCCGGCGCAGGTGGGTTGGCATAGGTGGGCTCCATGGCTGCGAGCGTTTCATACAGGTCCTCGGTGGTGTGGGAAGAGGAAAGGCTGTCGCGTTCAGCCTGGCCGACGAGACGATCGTAGCCTTGGCTTTCGTTACCGCCCACTTTCAGCACATCGTAGGCCTGGCTAGCTGCCAGAGGGTTGTACTGAAGGCCAGTCGAATAGAACTCGTCACGGGGCTTGGAAGCTCCAGCCTGCTGGCGCGCGCGGCGACGACGGACCAAGACAATGACGACGATGAGAGCAAGGAGAGCGACAACACCAACGACGCCAGCCACGATTGGGATTATGGATCCGGCGCTGCCAGACGAAGCCTGCAAGGTGAGAACGTTCTTCAAGGACACCGAAGCAGCCGACTGCACAGAGTGGAGGGAGACGGCAGCCTCAACCGAGCGGACCGACTCGGCAGACTCGACAGCCGCAACGGAAGCGACCGACGCGGAGCTTGCAGACACTGAGGAGACAGAAGCGACCGACTCCATCGAAGCTGCGACGACCGATGCGACTGACGTCGCAGAGGCCGCTGATGCTGAAGAGACTGAGGCGACGGAGGCTACCGAAGCGACGGAAGCGACAGAGGCGACCGAAGCAGCAGACTCCAAAGCGGCGGCGACGGATGCAGCAGAGATCGCAGAGGCGGCGGACACGGAGGACACGGAAGCAACTGAGGCGACGGAGGCAACAGAGGCGACGGAAGCAACTGACGCAACAGAAGCAGCAGACTCCAAGACGGCGGCAACGGATGCTGCAGAAGTAGCGGAGGCTGCCGAAACGGAGGACACGGAAGCAACAGATGCTGCGGATGCTGCAGAGGCGGCGGAAACGGAGGACACGGAGGCAACAGACTCCAAGACGGCGGCAACGGAGGCTGCAGAAGTAACAGACGCTGCAGACGCGGAGGACACGGAGGCAACTGAGGCTGCGGACGTAACCGAGGCCGCGGAAACAGAGGACACAGAGGCAGCCGACGCCAAAGCAGCAGCGACTGAGGATGAAGAGATCACAGACGCGGCGGACGCAGAGGACACGGAAGCGACTGACGCAAGCACAGCGGCGACTGATGCCGCAGACGTAGCAGACACGGAGGAGGCCGAGGCAGCGGACACGGAGGAGACCGAGCTCGCCGACACGAGGGACACGGAGGCGATCGATTGCGACACCATTGCCGCAGACGAGGTCGAGGCAATCATGCACTCGTCGACAACATTCACCATCCACGCCTGCGCTCCGGACGAGATGGCCGAAGTGCAGAATGTGGGCGCAAGATCCAAGCCCACCCAGGTTGGAGTGCCGCTCTTGCTGACTGCACTAACATCGGCGTTGGTCGCAATAACTGTAGCGCTGCCTCCGAAGCCAACGTCCGAATTGGCAAACCCGTTTGACGACACTTGGCTGGCAGTGATCATGTTGTAGATGAGCAAAGTAGTGGTCGCACCGGACGCAGTATAGATGCTAGAGCTGGCTGCGGTGCCTGCGACATAGTTGCCATTGAACGTGCTCTTGTAGATTGCTGTACGAGACTGTTCAGGCGATGGAATGAGGTTTGTACGTTCAATTCAAGCTGCGACGTTGCGCTGATGCTTACATTCGATGTAGTTCCGAGACTGAGGGCATGGCCCCAGCCAGAGCCCGCACAAGTGTTTCCGGTAAACGTGGACTTGGAGATGGACAGCGAGTTTGAGACTCCAGCCTTGACGCCGATCGCGCCTCCGGAATAGGCTCGGTTGTTTGTAAACTAAGAGTCGAGAAAAGGTGAGTCATCCTCGGTTCAAGCAGCCCAGGCGGCCATTTCAGTCACGCCACAAAACGAGCCGGAACGTACTGTGCATGAAGTGACAGTAACAGTGGTCACAGTGTCAATGGCGATGGCACCACCATAATTGGTTGAGCCATACATAGCGCCCGCGTTGTTCGAGAACGCAACGTTTTGGAGTTGGACGTTCGAGAACGACCCGATACGCATGCCGGCACCATAATCTGAGGAGCAGCGTTGGTGAGTCTCACCATACCACAATTCCCGCTCGAAGCAACAAAGTCAGGACATTCTAAATAGTTACCCCAAACTTGATTGTTGGAAATGACCGAGTCTGTCATCACAACATTGTTGCTGCCGAAGAGGTGGAGACCGGCAGCTTGGGACTGCGTCGTCGAGGTGCAGCCGTCCAGAATGACGTTCTTGAGGACCGAGCTGACGCCGGTATTCAGGTAAATGGCTCCCGAGCCTTGAGTAACTTTGAGATTCTCAAAATTCACGCTGAGGCCCGCGCCATTCGTGACGTAAAACACAATCTGAGAGCCGTATTGATTGGAGATGACTACATCTTCCGGGCGGGTGCCCAGACCTCGAAACGAAACCGATCGATTGATTGTTCGCTGATTGGGGAAGGCGTAGGTTCCGGGCATAATGCACACAACTGTACTCGTGCTCGGGGAGCCAAGTTCGTTGTAGAGCGCAGTCACGTCCGAGACGGTAATGCTGCAAGGCTCTTGTTGTCCTTGCGCGAACGGCACGGTAGCTGCAATGGCTGCAAGCACCAGCAGTTGGATCCAATACGACCGCAAGACTCGCATCTGTATTTTCCGGAAAAAGAGAGTGCGCGATTCCAATTCAGAATTAAGGTCAGCATTTTGGTCGGGAGAGCAGGTTTTCGGGATTTGGAAAGCGTGCCCAAAAAATAAAGCTTGCAAACGCGGATTTTTTTGTTCATTGTGTGTGCATAGTCTCAAGAGCAGAAGTGGCTAGGTTGGAATAGCCAGGAGAAGGACCAGGAGGGATGGGAGCGAGATACACAAATTCAAAATAGACATGTTGTGACAAACCCCAAAAATAAAACGTCGGGTTTTTGTGGGTTTTGTTGCTCTGGGAATTTTGCGGCAAAACGCGCGTCGCGCCCTGACTCTTCTGCGTGTCTCTCTACGAGAATCTCATTGCGCACTCCTGTAACTATATTGTCAATCCTTTCACTATAGATGAGGTTTAGATGAGGTTTATTGGAGTGTCACTGGGGCAGGAGGAGGCCACGCGCTTGCCCGCGGTTTTTTTTGTTTTTTTGTTTGTTTGTTTGTTTGTTTCTGATGGATTGCGTCAAAATAACAACTCCTGCATGACGCGGTTTTCGTGTCGTGTGTCGCGTCAGATGCGAGCACACAAGGCAGCAATTTCTGCTTTTCACTCATCCGCACAGATCGAGCTTCAGCACGAACGCGCGACAACAGAGACAAACGACAAGTTGAATCCATCGCCAAAGCACAAAGCCCAGAATACAATTTGCCGAAAATAACAGAAAACACGCTGGGCCTTGATTGCCCTTAAAATGGCCTTCCCAACACCTCGTTGCTCCCGCCTCCTGACCCTTCGTCCCCCACTGTTTCAAAAGGAGGATTCGGTTCAGGTTCATAGCACTCTCCTCCGAAAATACGTTCTATTGAGGCTGTCATGAATTTTAAGCCTCCTTTGCATTGGTTTTGCAAATCATGCGAGGAATCGTGTGGTACAGCTTGTGTGCGTTGTTAGAGAATTTTGGGAATAGAAAATTCGGCAGATAAATTTAGAAAGTGTAGAAATAGACGACGTTGCGCTTCATTGCCAAGCATACTGTTTGAAAAAGAAAAAAGAAAAGAAAACTGAACTCGGTTCGAATCGGATTATTTGACCCAAATCGAAAGCATTGGCAAAACCCGGCGTTCGACCGGACATGGGCGTCCAGCATGTACCCACTTCAGTGCTGCAATGTTTTGATTGGCTCTGCCCCAGAATGGAGTGGCTGAAGGAAGCTACTGAAGGGTTTGAGATGACTGCCACAGCAACACATTGCAGTCCTCCCAGTCGTGTGAGTCATGGTTCAATACAGATCAAAGCTATTGTATAGCTCCTCGCCTGATGGCAAGTTTCATGCAGCGAGCCGACCAGAATATCCACAACAACAGGATGAATGAGGCCTTGATCTTGGTGCCAAAGCCGCCATCGCCGATTCGTTTCCACAAACGTCCCTCACGCACTTCTTGCTGCTCGTTTCGAGACGGATGCCGCCCGCAGACACTGATGCTCAACAATGCCTCGCCTGCTATTGTCTGAGCAACAACTTCAGTGTGTTTTGTGTTTTCAATGTCTTTTGACGACGTGTGTTCTGATCCTGACATTCATTGCAACCAATCATCCAACTCTTCCATCATTCTTCCCTGTGCATATCGCGCAACCAGCAACCGAATACTTCGCAGTCAACCAAGGAGCGTATCCCCGAAACGAAACCAAGGGAGTCAGTTTTTTTTTTCTTATTTGTTGATCATTCGTGACGTTGCAGTCAGATTTGATCTCACTGGAAAAGCCCCGCTGATAAGCCCCGCTGCCCCTTTCCTCAAGACCACCCGCCCATCGCCGTCCCTTCGCTCTACCCTTGTCCCCGCCTCGACTTCCAGCTCACACACCCCCTCCCCTCGCCTCCCGCATCCCCCGGTTGGCTTTGGCGCGCTTGGCTTGTTCGCTTTGAGAAATGAAGCTCGCTTTACTCTCAACCCTCCTCGGCTTCTGCTGCTTGCTGCAGCATGCGGCCGCGATGCACATCCACACCACCGTGTCCACAACGGATCCAATCACGTACCTGAACAAGTTCTGCTTCGACCAGGGCGCAGACACGGGCTACATGTGGGGCGATGTCCGCCCAACGACGGCCGCGGTCGCTCAAACAAGCGCGTTCAACGGCGCGTTTGTATTCGTTAACGACGATCTGTGGGCCACGCTCGGCGGCATGACCGACTGCGCAAAGATTGTCAACCAGATCCGCGACTGGGAGAACAACGACATTCCGTACCTGCACTGGTGCGCTCCGTTCAGCAACAACCGCACGGCGCCAGCGAATTGCTACGCCGTCCCGCCGTTTACTGAGCCCAAGGCCAACATTGTCAACGAGTACAGCGCATACACGCGATCCCGCTTCTGGTATGCCAGTCTGGTTGCGTGCGACTTTTCGACCGCCACCCCGTCCGCGGGAGGCGTGCACGGCGTTGTGGACGTCTGGGTGGTCAACGGCAATCCGAACGTTGTCAGCCACGACTACTTCATGTACCAGTTCTCCTTCGAGTACCAGGGCGCTCTTGGTCTCTTTGTGGCCTACTTTGTCTTGTACATCGTCCTGGTCTCTGCACACGTCTTTGTGCACCTGCGCAGCGGCGGTTTTGCCGGCATGCCGCTCTTTGTGCGTCTCGCGTCGGCCGCCATGTTCCTCGAGTTTCTCGCCGTCCTGGCCAACCTCATTCACTTTGGCCAATACTCGCAGGATGGCGAGGGCGTTCCTGGAATGCATGCGTTTGGCTTCTTTTTGCAAATCATTTCCCAGTGCGTCTTGATGCTCCTCCTCCTCTTGTTCGCCAAGGGCTGGAGCTCCCCTCCCAGCAGCGGTGCCAAGCGCCGCCTCATGCTCGGTCTGTTTGGCGGCTATTCACTCTTGTTCATTGTCCTCTTCATTTGGATTGAGGCTGGCCAAGATCCGCAATCGCTGCTGAACGAGTACCAAACCTGGCCCGGCGCCCTGATTCTGACCCTGCGTTGCCTGATTCTTGTTTGGTTCATTTATGAGCTCCTGCGCACCTACCGCAAAGAGGTCAACTCCGACACACTCAGCTTCTACCGCCGGTTTGGAGCATTCTTTGTGGTTTGGTTTGTCGCCTTGCCGCTCATTGTCATCGCGGCCGCCATTGTCGATCCGCGCTGGCGCTACAAGACCATCAACGGCTGCTTCTACACACTCAACTTTGTGTCGTTTGCCTTCCTGGCGTTCCTGCTGTCGCCATCCCGCTCGTCCAAGTACTTTAAGCTTGATCAGGCGCACGACGACGAGGACACATCCGACTCGAGCGCGCTGCCCTATGATTCCATTTGAGAGTGCGGGCCACTCGGATGTCCATCCCGGCAGTTGCAGCATTGAGCAAAAGTTTTCGCTCTTTGCGCGTTTGCAAAAGAGGTTAATCCTTTGGTGCACAAGTGTTTTTTTCGTTTTGCTTTTTTCGTTTTGCTTTTTGCGAGTGTTATTGTACATTCCGATTCGTTTCGTCAGGCTAACAACCAATTAGTAGTGGCTTTATTCAATTTGCATCATGGTTCGAACGAGCCTACCACGCGAGCTGCGCGATGGACGTGTTGTCCAACATCCTCGGGCTGAGGACTTGTAGTGGCTGGTCTGAGGGGATCGGAATCTTCCTCGCGCGGCCTTTTCGAGGGGGCCATGTAACTGTTGCTGGTGGCTGGGACGAGTGGTGTTGGTTGAAGATTGCGCGAGGGGGCATCTCGCACACCCTCGGCGGTTATTTGATAGGTGATGGTTCGCTCCTGCATGGATGATGACTTGTACAGGGTGGCTTGTCTGTGATGGGGGCGGGCAGGGGGGGGGATGAGGGGATTTGGATGGGATCACAAAGCATCAAAAAAAAAAACCATGCAAAGCTTTTACCTCAGGCCGTCCTTCCAGAACATGATGACTCGATTGGTGCTAGCATGACCCCAGCTTTCTCCTGCAATGTCAAAAATGGCGGTGTATGTGTGGATGCCACAGCAATGAGCACGATGGCACAACAAAAAGCCACCCCCTTTTTTGTTTGGGAACCTACCAAGGGCGGGCACGAGATGGGATTGTCCACGCTCAGAGCCCATTTTTGTGGTCATTTGGTTGACTAACACAATCTGGAAACGTCTCATCAGGCACGGTGTCAGCTCATTGTTTGCTTCAATGTTTTTTTTTTTCTCCTTGCAACTTACAGCCACGGACGAGTCAATCGCCATCTTGAGGAAAGACTGCGCCATGCCATTGAGCAAGCGAGTGCGCAGTGCCATATCATCAAAGTGGTGACGGAAATGGAAAGCCACACTGTCCACAATAATGACGCGGACGGCCGGATGCTCTGCGAGAAACTCGGGCAAAATATTAACAAGAGCAAGCTGCTCGATATAATCGTGAACTCGAAAGTAGTGAATTCCTGCCAAGACCTGTTGAGCGGTCATTCCTCCGAGGCCAATCGCTTGTTGTGGAGGCAGCTGCGACGCGACCAGTTCAGCCGCGAACCGCACGCCGCCTTCGGCAATGTCTTCCGACCGCTCAATGATAAAGCTGCCTTCCGTGTCTATATGTCACCCAAAAACGCGTTTCAAAAGTTGAGCACTCAGAACCCACTGTTTGGTTTTGAGGGTCGATTTTTCCTCACCAATGTAAACAGCCTCGCCCTCGAGTCCACCGATGGCCCGCGGCATGTGTGCATTCACAGCTATTTGTATCCTGTCGGTGTTTGTGTTTTCAAAAAGAAGGTACACACACACACACAATTGGGTGCTCAACGCTGCAACCAAACAGTGAAGCAAAACGTTACCCAAGTTGTGTTTTGCCAATTCCTGGCGCGCCACAGAACTCGGTGATCTTGCCCACAGGCACGCCTCCACCTCCAAGCATGGCGTCCATGTCAAACGAGCCTGTCCGAATCGCACCACGCGATGCCTCTTGTTGTAACAGCGCAGCGGCTGACGCTGAATCATTCCAAAACAAGCAGCAACGCGTGAGCCTCACAGACACACGCACACCACGCAGCGGCCCAGCGCGGGGAAACGGATTCACGATGCAGCAATTGCAGACCACCCACACACCGAGCCGTACCGGAAGTGGACACTGGGCTGGCGGCGAGCGCCGCTGTGCTTGAAACAACGCCTGAAACGCTCGCGGCGCTTGCAAGTGGCGACTGCTTGGCCGCGTCGCCGTCCCCGCGCACGAGGGTGAGTATTTCCAGTGACTCTGTTGTTGTAATGCCAAGTTCTATCGCGCACGACACCGCGGTGGTGGTGGTGGTGGGGGAGGAGGAGAGAAAGCAGGAAAGGTTTGATGATGAGTTTTTCCCGCCAAAAAACACAAACGTCCACTTGCATGCACACAGCCCCATTGGTGTTGACTTGCCTCGACTGAGGTCAATCACAGACACTTCGAGCACATCCTGCACGTTGAAAAAGCCGGCCTTGGCAAGCTTTGAGCGCTGCGTTGCCGACAACGGAAAGCTGTCGAGTGCGCGACCGAGCTGCGGCATGGATGGAAACTAGAAACTAGAAAAAGAAAAAAAAAAGTGACTGAGAAGTCACACAACAACAAAGCTCAGAAAAGAAATGACACTGATGTGCTGATCTAATGGTACAAAGGGTATAGGAAAGAGCACAATGCCAAAAAAGCCAATCCATGAACGGGATCTCGACCTGGCACGCTCTAAAACAACATTGTCTTAGTAGAAGGCCGAACGAACCAGGTGGATGGGGACCCGCTTCATTTGCTCGCGGAACTCTTGCGCCAAATCCCAGAGGAAGAAATCGATCTGGATTGCGTTCGGAGGAGGTCGGCGAGGGTCTTCTTCGCGCAAAATGACTGCGATTCGAGCTCGGATTAGCTGGCCAAGTACGAGGCAGCAAGAAGTGAGCGACGAAGCCAATGCAGTTGAAAAAAGGCTACGCCGAGAATATGTTGCGCCATACCTCCACAACCCAAATGGAGCAGCCACGGATTTCAACTTCATCAGGATCCCCCGACAACATGAGCTCGTGTCGTTTTAGTCGCTCAAGTAGTGCAGGGGAATACTCGAGGGCACCCAAATGAACCAAAGCCTGTAAAAACAACCGTCACAACAGCGGAGAGTGAGCACACGACAGTTTCTCGCGGTGACAATTGGTCTTCCAAAGCACAAACCTGAGGAACTCTGCAACAAACCCAAATCAAAAGGAGCAAAACACAAACAACCACCAGTCAGCAATCCTGAAGTAGCAGTAAACCAGAGAGTACCCTTTGCAGCATTTCAGACAAGCGGTCGAGCGTACCGATAATCAGCAAACATGGTGATCAAATCAATGTCGGAAAAGTAGCCATCGCCTTTGCCATCGTAGCAGGCCCAGATATCGGCCACCAAGATTTGAAGCCGCTTGTAAAAGCACACTACACGCACAGAGGATGGTAAGCAAGCGTTTTGCTGCCGCGAAAGAAAACAGCGACAACACGAACCCCCCCCCCCACGCTTCGCACACTTACACTCTACTCCATGGTATGCCGCGCGATCCCGATACATGGGCATGTGTTTTAGCACGTCTCGCATCAACACGTCCGCAGAATGGCTGGCCAAGCGAAGCATGTTGGCGAATTTGCCGTCAAAATGCTCGACGAGTGCGGTGCCAGCTTCGTGCAATGCTGCGAGCCGCTCGTTCAGCAATGGAATTGGCGTAGCGGTGGACGATCGGAAGACATGCTGCAGCTGCTCCATCGTGATTGTCGCATAGTAGGCCGGGTCGGTGATTGCAATGCCCTCCTGAAGAAGCACAGTGGCGCAACAACAACAACAACAACAAAATCAGTCAACCGTCAACAACTATCGCAACTCATCACTCGACGCAAAAGTGAAAGCATCAGCGACTTGTACCTCGAGCGCTCGGTTGATTGCGGCGCACAGCGACCAGTAGTTTGTGTAGGACTTGTCTTTGTACTCGACCGTGAATGGTACTGCCGGGTCCTCGGGCCAGAATGAAAAGTTGAGCGTGTCTACAACGAAAATCCTTCAAGGGCAACGATCGTTATTGGCGTGAGACATGATGCATACTTTGGTATTCAATGTGCGTCTGTAGTGTTTGTACCATTCCAACGTGGCGTCGGATAGAGATTGCGGATTGAGTGGGTTGGACATCCAGAGCTCCCGAGTGGACTGACGATGGCTGCTGAGCAGCGAGATGATCTGAGGGTTTGTTTCAAGATGCAGAGTGAGCGCGAGTCAAATCATGTTTTACACCTGGGATGCTTGGATCCGGCTCAGACAATGACGCTGAGCAATGATGTGATGACCAAACTCCAACTCCAGGCAAACTCCACACATGCGATGGTGAATTGAAATCGAAGGCCAAGTGTGATGAGCTTTGAGTGTTTGGCATTCACACTCACAACGCTTCAACTCTTTTGCTGACTTTGCGGCTGAGTTGGCCAAAATGTCAATGTCGGAGGTAGAAGTGAGGCGAGCGAGAGGGGCGCGGGAGGTGAGTGATAGTTGCAGATGATCTGCACCTCGTCCTGCGCTTGGGTGCCGATGCCCTCATCGCCCACCCATCATAGGTCTTGTTGGAAATGCGTCTGTTGATTCGTCGTGGTGGTGGATGGGTGCAGTGACTGTGACTGTGACTGTGTGACTGGCGTTGAAAATCGCAATTCAAAAAAAAAAAAAAAAAAAAAAAGGGAAAAAAAAGCATGTG